ACCTACATATTGGGCTTGTCCGGTTCGTCCAGTCTGAGGTCGCCAACGGACTCAACGGTCACGTTGATACGGGGACACATGACTGTCACCCGACTCCCGACTCCCGACTACAGTTTAGTCCCCGGTCCGGGTCTACTGCATACACGCTTTTACATACAAGCTCAGACATATTATGAGACAGACAGAGAAGCTGCCACGGAGTCGCCAAGGTTCTTCTAACTCCGACAACGACAAATAATGACACTGATACTAACCAGCCAAGCACAATCTGACAACGAACGAAGACTACCTAAAACGTCTTGGAAGTGAATCAGATCAGCAGCGAATGAAAGGCAGATCGCCAACCACAATACCTTTTACCGTTGACGGACGTTTCGCACCACGGCCCGGCTGCTTACCCATCTCATCATCTGACATGAAATCCATGCCCGTCCTCTAGGTAGTTTCCATCTACCGTGCCTCGCGTGCCACGATAGAACATCGGTCTCCATATGCCTCCACGAATCCACGCCGCTCGCTCTGGCCAATCCCCGAATGATCGACAAGATAAACAGATGATGAGACGAGACAGAAACTGGAGATCCGGTCCGTCTTACATTTTTGAAGACGAGTGCGTTGTCAAAATTTGACTAGCCGAGCTAGCTGAGGATAATAGGTAGGTGGTATAAAGAACGCCCAATGAGTTGCGAGGCCCTACACGGTAAAGAGCTTGGTGGTTTGCTTTGCTCTTCGGGTCATGATCCCTTATTTATCCCACTTCTCAATATTCACCCAGCTCCCCAATCCTTCGTCCGTCCCGGCACGCTGTCCCCAAAGAAATGGGATAAGGATGTATGTAGGCAGACATTTTTAGTATCGTTTCTTTTCCCTTGAACACCACCATATGTAAAATCATCACCATCCGCCGTTCCCAACTCCCAAAGTGAACTTCAAATCTTCAATTTCAGCCTTTCACTCTCTGGATCTGGGGTCCATCATCTCTTGTTCAAATACCCTCGCTCCCTCACTCGCTTGGGTTAATCCAGATCATCAAAACCCACTACCCGGTCCTTGTATCTATCTCCGATCTCATTTCGGTATTTTTCTGGGGAAAGTGCCTCGCTCGCTTTCTCGAACCTTGAAATCTACATGTTTGATTGGGATCCCGAATTTACAGAGAGAGGGATTTGCAAAAACCCGGAGAAAACTTCCGTATTGGGTATTGTAAAGCACCGCATCGTAGTGCGCCAACATACGCCGCCGCGGGCCAGCATGGCATGTCTGGCTGGCACTCTGGCAGGGCAGGGCAGGACGTCGTCAACATGGCCGGCATGCTACGGTACGGTGGGTGTGGGCATGCACGCGGCGGCGGCCTGCTTACCATGCCTGCTCTGCCTTGTTCGTGGCTTTCAAGGGTTTTAAAGTGCTTGCTTATCTCATCTTGAACTTTCTCTCGGTTCGATGTCGTCTACACAAGTGGAAGTTTTGGGGGGGGGGGGTTTCATGGAGGGAAAATCTCGTCTTTCTTCTTCTTCTTCTTTGATGAACGAAAGACAATTACTGTCTTAAGTCTTTTGATGTGCATCCTCAGCGAGACGAGTCAATATCAACTAAGTATTCAGCGTCAAGAGATGATGATGAGATGTTGACCATGAAGCCGCTTCCCTACTGCTTGGATGTGTCTGTCTTCTTCAAACTTAAGTTGTTGAAGTACTTACCCAAACACAGTGCAGTATACCAGGCCCCATACCGTATTCCCTTTCTCGTTTCCGTCTCGTCGTCTCGTCGTCGGCTTCCAGCTTCTCTCCGGGAAGCGACGAAATGGAGCCTCCATTCACAGTGTGTAACCATCCGCTGTGGAGAAAACCAAAGCGCGGGCGGCTATGTATGTACTGTGCTGTGTACAGTTCAATGCTGGTTTGATTGTTAGCGCGGTTCTTGAGACAGGGGTCTGCAAAAATACACAGAAAAACAACAGGATAACCACATTCGATACGGAAAATTGGATAGAGCGTATAAAGTATCCAAAACGCATCTGGTTGATACCAGTTTCTTGCATGAAATTTGATGGAATAATGGTTGAGTTGCGCAAAGTGCGTAGTCAAGTCCCGCGCTAACAATCAAACCAGGGGTGAACTGTATAGCACTGTACCGAGTACAATTGTGCAATACGATTTCGCGGTTTCATTACATAGGTTGTTACATACGGCGGTGGAGATGCGAGATTTTTATGTTTTCACAATTCAATGTTTTGTGGGAGTCTGGACCTTTCGCTGCGGCGGGCTGCGCCCAGGCGAAAACCGGTTTTTGGTGGTTCTTCATTTCCCAATTCCTGGCGAACGAAAAGACGGCGGGTCTTGGCATGAACGTTCGGCCATTTGCGGTTTTTATGATTGGCTTGTTCTTGGCTTCTCCAGCTCCAGCTTCTCTGATGTTTCTCAATTTGTTCTTTTCAACTCTCATAGGGCAGAGAGTCTTGTTGGGGAATTACGGTTCCGTCATGTTGGTCGGTCTCCCCGTGGCCGATGACCGAGGACGAGGCCGGTCTAGCCGGACAGGCGGGGCGGGGCGGGGCGGATCGGTTCCTTCCACTTCCCCATGTCTCCCGCAAATGTGCCATGCGGATGCGGATGCGGCCCATACCGTCGTCGGGGAGATGTCCGTGCTACGCCATACGGCCATCCCGTCCCCGGGTTGCCGGGCTTCAATTCCAGGGCGGCACTGTGCGGTACCGCCGGTACGGAACTCAAGCTCGAAAGCTTTCATTGTCCATCCGTCTTCAAGACATAAGCCGAACTTACCTCTATCATAGGAACTGTGGACTTCCATCAGGTGCTTAACAAGTCTGTCTTGATCCAGTACCACATGGTCCACGCCGATTCATCGCCACACAAGATCGCTCTCTGAAGTTTCCTTGTGCATACTCATGAAAGCTGAACGTGAAACGGAGGACAGCGTTTACCTCCAAGGCCAAAAACCCGAATGGACTCTCTGATCCGCCACGAAGGAGTGAACCAGACCACGCCACCACACCATATGGACAGCACGCCCATCACAAAGAAGACTCCCCTGACTATAGACCCGAGGAATCTGCCGTCTTCCCACATTCATGGCTATATTCGCGGTATCAACCTTCGGGCACCCCGACTCATCCACAGATTGTCCCGTACTGCGCGTCGATACTGCCTCGTCTGGCCGCGCTCCCGACTGGAGGGCTTCCGAGTTGATTCGTTACCGGATGGTGCAAGTCTGCCCATGTGCCAGAGGACGAGATCTGTGCATAAGTGTTCCGTATGATTTCCCCGATGCTTGACGTCCGATGCTTCGGAAACGACCGACCGAACGATCCCAACGACAGGATCCTTGAAGAAGGTAATACCCTCACTCGTCTGTAGGTAGCACCATGGAAACTTGATGAAGTTGGGAGCAACAAGAGCGCGTGCCGGACGTCTTCTTTTTGGTTCTGTCCTCCTGTAATTTGGACGTGTCTGGTTACCAAGAGAGGTAAAAGTAGCCAGTGTGTCCCCACCCTCGTCCCGAAGATCCGGTGCGCCGATGGCCTAGGAGGAGTACGAGATGACGGATCTCTGTAAGACATTGGGATGATCTCGAAGGTCGAGCTCCTTTTCCATGGATAAATAGAGTGGTGTGAGCAGCTGCTTCCGGTGCTTCACCTCTCTTGCCCGTTACTTCAGTCGCTTGAACCCACAACGGCATCTCTTCGGTCCCGGAAAGTGCTGGAGAGGTATGAGCATGACTGAGTGCCGTAGCCCGCCGATGTCCGGGCTATACTGGCCCTCGATCAGACCCGAGTCGGCCGCCGGCTGGTCCTCTGACTTAATGCTTGGCAATCGGACATTGGCATTTTGCTGCTTCGCGAGTCATCTCCGTTCCGCCGTTTCTCGGGAACTTGGGTGGGTCCCGATCCGGAGGCTAGGTTAGATCGGATCGGAGGCTAGATGATGGATGATCGGATGGTTCCGCGGGCCCCGACATATGCTTAATGCTGTGCAATGCACTGCCACTGCTCAAAAAGTGTCAGCACAGATATGCTCAAATGCAAACGTCAGGCTTTTTTCCAGTCATCCCTTCCAAATCCTCATGTCGTCTTTGACTTGCATCATCTCTTTTCCTCTGTCGTCAGAAGTCGCATTCGAGGGAGTCCACTCCTCTGACGTTGACAGAGTGAAAGATATTGTCAATGTTCTTGGTTATTGTAGGGCTGTGTTGACCAGATCATGGCACTTGAGAGGTATGACGTCGGTGTCAATCAAGTTGACAGGGGACTGTCGTGAACAGACAAGTCTGGCGTTGAAGGGGATGGATGCCCTTGGAACAAGTGTTTCAATCAATATTTGCTGATGGAGTTCCAGCGACCTGAATCAGATGGTCTCCAGGCACGACTCCTCTGAATATCGTCACTCCAGAACTTAGCCAAGTCGAACTTGCTTGTTGATATTGCTGGTGGATAGGGGAACTATCACCTCAGCGTGGATGTGGATCCACTTTTGTCTCTGTTTGGCAGGAACAACGTCAGAGCTTCCGTTTGATGTGTTCCTGAGAATGGATGAACGTGTGGATGCGCGATTGATTGGAATTTCGATGCCATCGGTTGGTCAAGGGATGAGGCATCAATATGAGTTCCGAGAGGGTACAGAGCAATGTTTAAGAGGTATTCTTGAGGGAGCAACGAGCATTAGATACGTGGTAGGGCTTCCTGCTAGTAACTTGATCCAACAACCATACAAATCAACCGAATTGCATCTCAAGCTTTCAAAAGCCGATCATATCCCTTTGTTCCTGACAGAGATTTGCACGTGTAAAAATGGGGCTCCAGAATTGGCAGAGGTGCTGGTCGTTCTTGTTGCAAACATCACGATCATCCGTTGTCCCGTTGGCCCAGAGGTGTAATGACGTCATGGTAGACCGCGAACTGCCATCTCCGTCGACCTGCTTCAAGGCAGCTACTACCGAGGGCCCCTCATTATGTTTTAGCTATTGCTTCCTTCATAAAAGCTTCATGTCTCTCTCGCTATCTTAGCCTATCTTTTCTACTTTATCAGACTCCCGATACCCTCCATTACCATCCAACCAATCAACCAATCGACGAGACCAATTCCTCATCTCGACTTACACACACCAACTTAAACACAAACAACAACACCACAAACCACATTCAAAATGTTCGCCCGCATCTCCACCGCTTCCGCTCTCACTGCCCGTCAGACCCTCGTCGCCGCTTCCGCGCGGAGGACCATCGCCTCTACCGCCAGCCTGAAGCTCAAGGAGTCGTCCAACAGTATGTCTCCCTCCCTTCCACAAACTCCTCTCCCCATACATAGTACTAACCCAGCCCACCAACAGCCGACCCCGACCCCCAACACTTCGAGAGCCACAAGCAGGACTCTCTCAAGAAGCAGAAGGAGGGCAAGGGCCACTGGAAGCCCGAGCTCGCCTCCAACAGTGAGGAGAACGTCAAGGCCGACCGCATGTCGGACGCCGAGTTGGCCGAGGCCACTAAGCGCCATCTGGAGGACCGCGCTGCTGAGGCGAAGGGTACCAAGAAATAGGCCCAGTAAAGGGATTCGAAGAAGAAGAGGGTGTATGATGATGCTATGAATTTCTCTTTCTCGGGTTATTTTTCTTTTGGTTTGTTGCGAAGCAACTCTTGCATTTTCAGCCATCATGGGAGGAGGAATGAGAGACACTATTACCCATTGCATTAGTGTTTGATGGATTAGGGATGGGGATTCTCTAGGGATAGACACTGGCCATCTTTGCATGCATGGATATGATGGTTCGTGCTCATCGAATTGAAGAGGATTGAAACAACATTTTTGTTCAGAACATATCCGTGAATGAGGCAGATTGTGTGGGATTAAAGCTGAAGGTCTTAGTTCGTTTTACGAGCCAGTGAATACCCTGCCTGCTTTATTTTCTGTTGAGTTGTTAAAAAGTGTTGCCACTGAAGTTGAAGCAGATGTCATTCACTCGACCATGTCAGTTCTCAAAACCGAGAAACCAAAAGCGGTACGAGTAACGCTGAAAGGGTCAAGGAAATAAATATCTTCCATCTGTATAGCAAGTTCAAACGTCTACTGTTTGCACTCGCTGTGCCGGTGACGAGTTCCGGCCGAGTGACGATGCCACTGGTGGAAACTGACCTAGGATGGTTTTGTGAAGCGGGATGAAAGGGGTAGGCAGCCAACTCCAAAGGCTCGAGATGATTACCACCTTCGACTACCTCACGCACATCAACGTCCTTGGATTGAAGAGGGTATAAAGGTTCGCTGGTTTCAAGATTCCTCCAACCTTCCTCCTTTCACTCTTTTCTTCCCGCTGAGTAAACAAATGCCAGTCCATTGCGAGGCTGAGACCTTTCCTCGATCACCTTCATCAAGATATCACTCTTGCCTTCTTTGCCTACGCTCTTGATTTGTCGAGCCTTTCGCGGCTCACCTCTCATAATACCTTCAGACCTAACCGACGAACCTTGACTCACTCACAATCAACTCGACCATCCATCACCATGCCGCCCTCCAGCGACGACGAGATTCCCCTCAACGGACGTGGTCCACACGCCTTCGACCTCAGCCGCACCGAATCCCGCCGGAGAGCCACATTCGGCAGAGTCGCAGGAGGTACCTCTACGAACGAGCCCCAGCCTCGGCCTGAGATTATCCCCATTCAACGTGGCCCTGAGCCATCAGGTCCGGGTCCATCGCCCCCATCATCATCCACTGCCACAGCCACTGCCACTGCTTCATCTGCCACCACTTCGTCAGCCAGTAACCACGAAAAGAGCTTCAAAGAACAGCAACGGCGGAGGCTCCTGTATCTTCAGGAAACTAGGCAGCAGAATCAACAGAACCAGCCGCAACAGAAGTGGCAAACGCAGACCCTCGGTACCGGTACCCACCCGCTCTCAAAGTCATTCACTGCAAACGCCAAGGACCGCGAAGTCCACTGCCTGGACACCCCTCCCCCTCCTTCGTCTCATATTTCGTCCCTTGCGGGCCCTTCGGAGACTGCGCAAAGTGCTGCTAGTATTTTACAGCAGCAGGTGCAGGGGGAGCATCAGCAATCTCAGCGGTCGCAACAACAATCCCAACAATCGCAGCAGCAACAGTCTCAGCAGGAGCATCAGCAGCAGGAGTCTCGGCAGTCCCAGCAGCCTCAGCAAGAGCAGCAGCACCAAGACGATAATGAGATTGCGATCAGAGAAGAGAGCCTAGAACTTCTTGAAAGCTTGACATCGATTTCTACCTCTAACGACATGAACAGAGGCAGCGGTGGCGGCGGCGGCGCCTTTGGCCAAAATGACAGGGACAACATCAACAACAGCAACAACAGCAACAAGAGACGCGCAGAGATAGACTTGGAGAGACCTACCGCTCGCCGACTATCTACTGGCAATATCACACCAGGCCACATGTCTGGCTCTGGACACATATCTGGCTCTGGACACATGTCTGGATCTATCTTTGGTCAGCCTGGCTCTGGCGTCGGTCCGTATTCTCCGGTTCCGGGCGCTTCCGCCCCTCAGATGCCGACACATCCTGCTTCTTTTGACCTTAGAGAAGGACCGGGTGTTGGTGGGGGTGATGGTGGTGGTCAAGGGGCGTATCCTCCGTTCAGCCGCGGAGCATCTCCCATGCCCCAGGTCCCCTTTGCCCAGCCTCAAGTCCCCTTCGCTCAACCTCGCACTCCCGGTGCTGTGACTATGACGGGAGCTGCGCCTCAGCGGGGACAAGTAGCTCCGGAGAGAGGAGAAAGAGCCGGAAGTGTAGCTTCCGTCACGAGTATCACCTCACGCAACGGACCTCCGATGGTTAATCCGAGTTTGCCCAACTTGCCTCCTGATGGGTTAGTAGTATCTCCCCTTTTCTTCCAGCATCATCGCCATCGATAATAAAGAAAGAGATTACTGACCATTCTTCCACAGAACCAACTGGCTCACCGGCCGCATCGTCGTCGTCTCCGTCGGCGCCGAGCGCCGCAAGTGGAACGTCCACGAACAGCTTTTGTCATACAACTCCCCCTACTTCAAGCGCCTCTTCAACCCCGAGCCCGAGCCCGTTGAAGGTTCCTCCTCCTCCCCCGGTGATAACGACCACCACCACCACCAAAACCCCGCCACCGGCGCAGCAGACGGAAGAGAGCCTGTTCTCTCCGAACCTATCGAAGAAGTGCACCTTCCTACCACGGAACCCAAGCTGTTCGCCCTCCTCATCCGCTGGCTCTACGGCACCGCCTTCGCCACCTCGGGCGGCCAAAAGGTCTTCAAATTCCCCCCTCCCCAACTCAACCAAGTCACCGTGCGCGACTACCTCGGCCTCTACATCCTCGGCCAAACCGTGCAACTCCCCGGCTTGCGCAATGCCTGTATCGACGTGCTCTACAACTACTACGCGGCCGAGACCGAAGAGGTCCGCGTCCCCGATCTGCACGACGTGCAATACATTTTCGAGAACACCGCCCACGCGCCCGATTCGCAAATGCGGAGACTGCTGGTTGCTCATTGCATGTTTCATTTGTATGGAGTGAAGAGGAGGGGACCGTTGCCCCCCGACTGGCAGGAGGTGATGGAGCCTAGGTGCAATGTGGCGTACGAGATGTTCAAGATGTTGGCGGATTGGAAGTGGGTGATTGGCGAGAATGTGCCGACTATGAAGATTAAAGCCAGGCATGCGTTTCATGAGAAGCCGCGGCCGGAGGAGTTGTTGCCGTGGCATAAGGCGCAGACGCAGGAGGAGGCGGGGATGCCGCTTGTGGGGGTGGTGAAGGCTGAGCCGGTTGATGAGTAGAGAGGACTCACGGGTGAGGGGGAGAGGGTGATGTCGGTGGATGTCCTGGCTCCTGGAGTTTTGGTCGGGCGTGGGGTGAAGGAGAATTGAAGGAGACTGACCTGACAAGATATTTCGTGGTTGAGGAGACAAACGGAATGGACCATGGAGCGTTAAGTAGGTCATGCTTGCCCCGGCATGCAGACGGCCGCCTTTCGAGCACGCTTTGGGATTGAGGGAGGAAAGAGCGATGCCCATACATAAGGTATGAAGGTGCAAAACTTTAGTCATGGAGAGAGGATTGATCCTTCCTTCAAAGACATTTGGGTTGCTTCCATTCGTTTGCGTTCCAGTTTGCATGCAAAGTATTCTGGTAGAGATGTGGAGGAGTTCACCTCATTGGGAAACCAGAATAGGATGCAGGTAGCACAGAATTTGCAAGTCTTGATCGTCTTCGTTACCACACCTGTCTTCAGGTTTAGCCTCACTACAGTAATAGAATCATGATAAGATCTTTGCAGATTGAGGAGCATCGGTTCTTCCTCGATAACCCCCTCGCATGCATAGTGTATGTCATTTGTCACCCCTCGCATTACCAATCGGTAGAAAGCACGATAACGCGCGCCCGAGGAGGTACAGATATGTACCATAGCCTTGCATTCCGTACATACAACTGAACTCGTAGAACCACGGAACTTAAACAACAACTTAAACAACTTTTAACGAGAGAGCGACGGAGAGGAAAGAGCAGGACAAACGTGGATGTGGAATGAGAAAGGCTGATTGACCACTACAAGAATATGAACTACTACTGCACTGTAATCTCCTCAACAATCACTCGACCATGTCGACCACTAGCCCAACAACCACCCCCAAAGACGAATGGCCCAAAACCATCCTCATCAAAGAACTCCACCCAACATTTGGAGCAGAGATCCTCGGCGTCCAGTGGAGAGACGACGGCGTCATCAGCGAGGAACAACTTCAAGAGCTCAGAGATGCCGTGCACAAGGCTAGTACAGTACACTCTTCTCCTTTCCGCTTCCCCTTCCCTTTCTTCTTTTCTCCCCCCCGAGACCCCGTATCAAGCCGTAACTAACAACAAACCGCTCACAGTACGGCTTCATCATCCTCCGCGCCACCCCCCTCTCCGACGCCAGCCACGTCTCCTTCTCCCGCCTCTTCGCCTCCGGTCCACTCGACAACATCACCCGCTTCCTCCCCCCCTCCCGCGCCCTCCGTCTCCGCTACTACCCACACCTCGAGCTCTTCGACGCCAGCAACCTCTCCGACGACGGCAACGCGATCCTGGACCCTTTTTGTGCGAGAGCAATGCTACTCCGCGCCAACTCGCTGTGGCACTCGGACCTGGCGTATAACCCGCGGCGGTCGAGCTATTCGTTGTTGAGGGCCGTGGAACTGCCACCTCCCCGGGACCCAGAAATGGAGGAAGAGCAGGAAATGGGGGGAAACACGGAGTTTGCGGATAGTAGGACTGCGTGGGAGGAGTTGGCTGTCGAAAAAAAGAGGGAGTTGCTGACGAAAGATTGGACGGGGGTGTATAATGCTGCGCATAGTAGGAGGATGGGGGCGCCTGAGTTCTTTAAGGGTCTGGATCCGGAGGAGGGTCCGGTGTCGAGGCATAAGGTTGTGCAGAGGCATGTGGAGAGCGGGAGGATGAATTTGGGTGTGGGGGCTTATTTGTGGCGGTTGGAGGATGGGGAGGGGAAGACGGTGCCGGAGTCGGAGGAGATGATCAAGTTTTTGAATGAGCATGTGGCTAAGGAGAGGTATGTGGCGAGCGTGAGGTGGGAGGAACCTGGGGACTTGGTGATTTGGGATAATAGGGCTGTGTTGCATCGCGCGGGTGAGTTTAAGGGTGTAGGTAAGTATACATCAACCCTTAAAAGTTTGTTAGCGCGGTTCTTGTGACAGGGGTCTGCAAAACTTCACAGAAAAACAACGGGACAACCACATTCAAAACGGAAAATTGGATAAAGTGTATAAAGCCTCCAAAACGCATCTGGTTGATACCAACTTCTTGCATGAAATGTGGTGGAATGGTGGTTGAGTTGCGAAGAGTGCGTAGTGAAGTCCCGCGCTAACGAACTTTTAAGGGGTGATGTGTATAGGAGGGATATGAGGAGGACGACGGCGTTTGATATGGGGCCGACGGCTTGGGGGCTTAATGGCGAGGGAGCACCGTTGCCTACACTGGAGAGTATAACGAAGGAGAAGGGGCTGCCGTCGACGCAATCGGCTGCTGTTGGGAGGTGATTTTGATGGAAAAGCCAGGGTGAAGGTAAGAGTTTGTTTGGTCATTTCGACGGTGAGGGACATCCTTCTTTGACTGTATTACACTTGTCCGCCGTTTGTTTAAAACGTAAAGCTTTGATTATCAATACTTGTACGGTCAATATCAGAATGTCACTATTGCTCTTGAGAGAGATGCGTACACCTATCAGCTTCAGAACCCATAATATTCACAATAATTGACAGTGTCCCCCACAGAAAAGAAGAACAGAAGACGGGATTAGGGGTCATACCAGTCTAAGTCTGATAGTAAGAAGCGGTTTCCGTTGTGTAGTCGCAATGCCGCTGTCTAGCAATTCGCCAGGCATTCATCGAATAAGAGAAGTTCGGTCCATGATGCCAGAACAAATACTTTACTTGTCCAGCCCGCGAGCCTTGACAAACCTATTGATCTGCTCCCGAGTGTTCTTGTCATTGTATTGCTCATGGCATTCATAGAAGGAGATCAACTCCTGTGTGCAGTCCACCATTGCCTCAATGTCAATGTTACTGTCGGAGAGCCATGCAGCAAATCGGTGAACCTTTGCCATACGTGGGTTCTTGTTCCCTTCGGCAGGACCTTCCCCGGCTGGTGACTGAGGCGGAAGCATAGCCTGCAATCCAGAAGAAGACGACTGGTGGGCGAGACCGGGCACAGTCTGGCCACCTCCCGCCATCATGGCAGCGCGTGCCTGTGCTTGCGCCTGTGCCTGAGCCAACGCTGCCGAAGCGGCTGCCAGTCCCGAGTTCGACGCGGCTGTTCCAGGGAGGCGACCGCTGGGATCCTGACGCAACACCAGAGCCAAGAGAATGGCTGTCAAGGCTATAACATGTGGTGGGTAGAGTAGCGGCAGATCCGTCATGTAATGGTCGTTGATGACGGACCAGGCAAGATTGACATCCTCTTGTGCCAGACCAAGTTCTCCTTGTAAGCTGGTGAGGGTACGGTAGGGCGAATGGACGATGAGATGCGAGCTCATTTCCGAAATGAGGTAGAACTCGCACTCTCCTATCCTTGCCACTTCTGTCTGGGATTGGAAGTCGGTAGGCCAAAAGCCGCGGGCCTCGTTAGCCATAAGCCGAATGTGCTGGGGACATTCCTCCATCTTGCAGGCCAGATATAGGGCGGTCACGAGAACGTGGTGGGGATTGGTGCGACGGATCTCGACTTTGGTGTAGAAGCGCTTGATGTAGACTTGGGCGGTGGCCAAGGCCTGCTGTCGGATTTGCATGCGCTTGCCGATACGATTGATTTCTAGAGAAGAACCATGGTATGTTGGTGACTTTGTTCATCGACTTTGTTTATCGGTTGGGGACATGGGGAGATACGACGAACGTTGGTTGAAGTAGATGTTCAGATGGCGCAGTTGCGGGAGAGGGAATGAGGCCACCAGGTTGGGATCTTCCGCCTCTAGCTTTGCGCGCATAGCGGCGAGCTCATCTTTGGTAAACAGCCAGTGTTTGCGCTGGGTGGATTCCCAGTAGTTGGCCGCCATGGTGATGGTGTTGACTCGGTGTGTCTACTTGTAGCTGTGTCCTTCCCAAGGCGCTGCAGACATGAAAGTCCGCTAGGCCTGTAGGAGATGTTTTTGACGGTCGGAAGAAGTGGAATCACATGTAATAGAAGAGGTCTCGGACCATTTTGCGACGCGCCGCTATCCAAGACCTCGAAAAGCCTTCAGCTCACTGCTTCGATTCGGGGTTGCTCAATGTTGAACGGGAAGAAACATTACGTGATGGCTTGCGATCGGATGGACACCGCGAGCGTGTCAATGATAAGATAAGCTGATAAGATTGGCGATAAGATTTGCATGGAGCTGACCTGCCCGACCTCGAAGGGCCCGAGGTCGAGCACGTGGTCGAGGCACTTTAAAGGAGGCCCACATGCTGTGACAGGGCTGGCGAATCAGGTAGGCTGAGAAAGAAATGACACTCGAAGCTGGAGTCTTGTTGCTTGCAGTGTTTGAAGTACATAGTAGATGCAGATGGGTGGAGTCAAGAAGCTGCCAAATGCCGAGGTATGTACTCGACCGAGTTAACACCAAGTCCAAAATGAGTTCAAGAATACCCTCCTCTTGACTTTGTTAACACTTCTGAACATGTTTCGGGTGTTCGAGGCTATGAAAAGCATTCCGGCCAAGCTAATCTGGGTTATCTCGAGACAATCCAATGTTGTCGATGTTGTGTTACCCGATCCAAAACAAAGGCCAAGATAACAGACAGTCCACTATCACTCGCACCACTTCGGCCACTCGCACCAGTTCCCCTCCATTGTCTGCTACAGATCAACAAGTCTCGAGTTTCAAAAGAGAGGACTTGATTGAAGGTTGTGGAGAGTGGCAGGTGCAATGTGCAAAATGAAGTGCTTGGGAAGGATCGATGGACAGTGACACACCGCCCGTCCCATCAGTGGCTTGGCTCCAATCTCTTTTCAAACAACGAAAATGACTTTTGTTTTCCCCTTGAAAGTTTGAGATCCCGTCCCTTTTTGCATCCGCTCACTGCGAGTGACTGGGCGCCCGTCATTGCTGCTTCCACTTGATCGATTGGACTTGGTCATTGAACCTTTTGCTCCCTGCCCTACGTCATACCCAATCGATTACACCAAACAGTACTAGAACCCTTTTAGACTTGGGCGCTATCGTTTTCTGCCATTCCTGACCACTCCCGACCTTGACTATCGGCCGCCCGAGCCAAGGTCCTGCGTACCACCCGATACCCTCAGCTGCGAGCCAGCACTGCTGCACATAGCAGATACCCCAGGAACGGAAAGAATTGAAAAATAACCACCTACTGCGCTGCGCTGCACTTCACTCCGGGGTCGCATTGCACTGCGCCGTACCTTACCTGCCTTCTTATCGTGCTGCCGAACTTGCATTGTGTCTTCCCGTCGTCTGGTCCCTTCTCCGCGCCGACCCCTCCCCCGCCGTGCGCAATTTCCCGAAAACAACGCCAACCATCTGCGCATGCCGCGTTGGATGATGAAAACCCGACAGCGGGAATGAAGGTTTCCGATGTGGTCGCAGAGCTCGAAGCCGGCATGGAGGAATCGCAGAACCAGCGTGACAAGCGCGTCGAGGAATTATGGACGAAGCTAGATCCCCAACGCCATGGCGAGCTCGACTTCAAGGGGCTGCAAAAGGGGTTGAGGAGGATTGATCACCGTGAGCCAACAATGCCAATGCGAATCGCTACATATGCGCATCTTCAGAAATTGCCATTATACTGACACCAAAGTGCCCGTCTTCCTCTAGCCATGAAAAATGCCGACAACATGCTCAAAGATATCATCAAAGTCGTGGACACCAGCGGCGACGGCAAAATCCAATACGAAGAGTTCCGCGACTTCGTCGAGACCGCCGAGCGCCAACTGTGGCTGCTCTTCCGATCCATCGATCGCGACAAGGATGGCCGGCTCGACAAGAACGAGCTGCGCAGCGCTTTCAAGAAAGCCGGCCTGACCGTATCCAACAAGAGGCTGTCGGGCTTCTTCGACGAGGTCGACATGGACCACGATGGCTACATCAGCTTCGACGAGTGGCGGTAAGTCACCAATTTTCTTTTATAAGAGACCCGAGAACAAGAAGAAGAGGACGACGGAAAAGAAGTGGATCACCAAGTAAACAAACCGACCCACTTGAAGCTGGGGAAGCCAGGGAATCGCCAACTTTTCACCAGTTCCACTCGCCCAATTTAACCCTGTAATGCCAGCTAGCGACCGAGTCAAAGTGATTTTGACTTTGCGCGCGTGCTAAAAAGGCTGCTGCAGTGTTGTCTGCCCCTATACGCATCGCCGGGTCTTGGGAAGTCGAGTGAATGAGAATAAGGAAGGAGGTCGAGCGAGTGTTTGCTTGGTCACACGAGGAGACGAGAGAACCTTGAGAACCCGTTGGCTGACCTGAACTCTCTGTCTGATTAAAAAGGGACTTTCTCCTGTTTATGCCCACCACCCACGACCACGACCACCACGCCTCTGCACTTGAAGCCGCCCTGTCCTTTTACTCCTCCATAGTGACTGTCAATGCAGAGGGCGACTCCCTCGTCAGCGAAGAGCCACTTGAGGGTCTAGGTACGACTGGCTTCCTTCTCAACGCTCTTTTTGGTTCTCTCTTAAAGATTGCCAACCCGGGCGCTACTACTACTCCTACCTCTCAGTCGCCCGCACCAGACTCAAAATCACCACTCTCCTCACCTTCATTTCACTCTCCCGACGGCATCGCCGAGCCTCGTGCTGGGGCAAGCATGGCGCCGTCCAAATTCGCACCCGTCGGTGCCGCCACCCCTGAGCAAGTGTTAGCAGACAAGGCGGCCAATGGCCAAGTTATCAAGCAGATGGAGGGCGCGGAGCAACACGACCTCCGCCAAGAATCCGATATCAGCCTGGAGGATGAGGAGGTCGTGAAAAGCGGACTGACAGAGTTACTACCCGACGCAGGTTACTTCCTCGCCGGTGCCGTCTCAGGTGGAGTGTCGCGAACTGCTACCGCGCCTCTCGACCGTCTCAAAGTCTTCCTCCTTGTCAACACAAAACCAAAGTCCACCGTCGCAGTCGAGGCTGTCAAGAGTGGCCAACCTCTCAACGCTCTGCGCAATGCAGGTGGCCCCATTTACGAGGCCATCAAGACGCTATGGCGGGCCGGTGGAATCAAGACCTTCTTTGCAGGTGAGTTGAAACCGAAATTCTATGAACCACGCCGCATTCGGGACTAACAGATGCATAGGAAACGGGTTGAACGTTGTCAAGATCATGCCGGAATCTGCCATTCGGGTAAATAGCCTGACCCTGCCTGTTGAGAGGCTTCTCAAACTTTCGGTGCTAATGCTCGGCTAGTTCGGCTCTTATGAAGCCTCAAAACGGTTTCTTGCGGCCTACGAGGGCCACGACGATCCGTCACAAATAAGTACTGTGTCCAAATTCGTCGCTGGCGGCATGGGCGGTATGACGGCCCAGTTCTGCGTTTATCCCATCGACACTCTCAAGTTCCGCCTGCAGTGCGAGACCGTCGAAGGAGGCCCCAAGGGTAATGCCCTCCTCATTCGTACGGCCAAGCACATGTGGGCGGATGGCGGTCTTCGTGCAGCATATCGAGGTCTCGGTCTCGGCCTCATCGGCATGTTCCCCTATAGTGCCATCGACATCGGCACTTTCGAGTTTCTCAAAAAATCGTACAGGCTCGCCAAAGCTAAGTACTATGACGTGCACGAAGACGACGCGGCGCCAGGAAACGTCACTCTTGGCGTTCTCGGAGCATCATCGGGAGCATTAGGTGCCACAGTGGTGTATCCGCTCAACGTCCTCCGAACAAGGCTCCAAACTCAGGGGACAGCGATGCACCCACCAACCTACACCGGTTTTGTGGATGTCTTAACGAAAACAGTCCGTAACGAGGGCGTTCGTGGTCTTTACAAGGGCTTGACCCCAAATCTGCTCAAAGTAGCACCGGCTCTTAGCATCACCTGGGTCTGCTATGAGAACATGAAGACGGTTCTTGACTTGCACTGATCGGACACTCTGGGGGCAGGGTTGGCGACCTGTTGTTTAACACCGTGAGCGGTCACCATTTCCGAACCACGATGCGGATTATGGCAGTGTGGCAGCTGCTCAGCAATGCTCCCAACAGGCACTAATGGGAGTCTCACAACTTTCACATACATCTATATATGTTTTGGCTTACATCTCCCCCAAGCTACAATGCGCTCCCTTCTCGCTTGTGGATACACAACCTCACTCCTAACTGGCAGTTACTGGAGCGTAGCAGAGGACATACCCAGCCGGGATTCAGCCCGTACCCACAAAGATGTGTACACACAGCGTGGCGGCTGCTCAGCCTTGGAGCGTTGCTTTCAAAGACGGAGAGAAGCGTTACACATAGCAATTGGTTGATTTTTATTTTTTGTCGTTGAGAGGTTGGCTACCTTACCAACATATAGCCCTGGCGTTTGGCATAAGAGGACGAGAGATACCATTAGACTCAAAGGGGTAATGTCATTTCAAGTGAAACGAAGGCGAACCCTAAAAACATGTTAAAAGCAAACCATAGCGTTGGCGACGGTGTCGAAGGGCTGCAGGATTGGATAGGAATGGAATGGGATGGAATAGGATCAGAGGATGGGACAAAAAAAAGGGGGAAGTGGAGGACCGTATTTGTTGGTCCAGATGCTATAGGTAGCATGGGAACAAAGTCGACGTCATGTACGTTCTATATATGCGGCTCATCTTGACGGTCGTATTTCCTCTTTTGGTGTTTCTTCTCTATGAATTAACATGTGTAGGTAATTCAGCTAGGGTCTAGTTGGAGGCTGACGAAGCTATTGCCATTCCATATCCATACTGCACTACGGCCCATCGCCACGCACATCCCATTTGTTCACCAATCGATTGTTTTGAAGCTTCCAGCCTTACGACGACAAAGTGACCGGGGGTGGGTGTTGAGAGAGCAAGCACTCCTTGACACCATCACAACCTTTGTGAGTTTTACCCCGCGCTTATTCGGCATCACACTTTTGTTCATCGTCAGCCCACTCGGGCTTAACCATCCCGTTTAGGAAGCTCGTTAACACGCAACAATGACAGACCAATGTTCTTCGACCAACAGCCGAGAATTTCCCAGGTTAAAGACAATCGAGGTTCGGTGGGAAACCAGAAAAGTCGCCCTGAGGACTCGTCAGCTCCCGTTGGGGAGTCATAAACTTGCTGCAAAGTTCTTGATATCCCTCCATCGTCAATGTAACCTCTTTCTTTTGTCGACCCCTGTCCATGCCTTAAGCTTCCACTAAGAGGCTCGCATTTGTTTCTTTAAACCTGAACCGTTCCAATGGAGTTGTCTGGAGTTGCATGCAGCTTACGACTGAGGATGAAGAGGCTATACCTCTTTGGCATAGCGGTACAACCTCCTCGCCTTCACCTCAACGCCCTTCAGCCCTTTCTTAGATTCGTAATCTTTTTTGTTTTGATAAACTCTTTCTTGTACAACTCACAACTTTATACTACCAAACGCGCGTTCTTCTTCTTTTTTCCTCGCAGATTCAGAGAGTCTTACATATGACTTGACAGGTTACATGCCGTCGTAATTTCAGCTTAACGCCGCCCGTGGTCCGTGATATTGACGGAGCCTCCGACTACCAAGAACAACCTCTACTCATTTTGTCTTGTTCTGTCTTACCGAAGCGGCAAGGGAAAATCGGCGCCGGAATCTTTGACGGTTACTCCCGAGAATCGACAGCGAGTCTACTCTCAAAGACGCGAAGAGTCCTCAGCTATCATGTCGCACCCCTATTCAGACAACCTTTACTCGTACCCGGGCCTGGGAAACGACGAGGACATCGAGGAAGCTGCTGGTCCCCAACAGGACCAAAGGCAAATCCAAAATGTATCTCTGCCTATCGATGACTTCATTAATAACACGTCAGAGTCTTCATTCAACTCTCCATTTTCTCCCCCTCCCTTGGACGAGGACCCGTCTCTCGACCCGTCAATGACCGGTGATAGCAAGGCGAGAGAGGCGGCTCGCTTGTCAGGACGCGACGAAGACATTTACGACGCAGATGAGGGAGAGACGACGCATCAGTCATCTCGGATAGATGGCGGCTATCCATCTCTTCCCGTTTCCAGTTCGACATATGCCACGCCATCGGCCCACTCACAACCACACCAGGCCGCGTACTACCCGCACTTCCCATCACAAGCCGACTCATCATCATCCCCATATATACCCCCGACGTCTGGTTCACCCTACGCGGCTTACCCTCAACATCATCAATCAACATCCAGTCAAGGCTCTTCACCATTCCTTTTTGAAGCCCCTCCAGCCTACACTCCTTCGCCGACGTCGGCTTCGCCAACAAGCCCCTTGAACTCCCACGCAGCATCCTCAACAACCTACCAGACCTTCCCTCAGGCAACAACACCACCCTCTTCCTCGACCGACAGCATGGGTCGTCCGGACGAGTCCACTGGCCTGCTGAACCGTGGCCCAGAAAGCATGGGCAACCCCGGTGATGGGCCGGAGAATACGAACCCTACTTGGACTGAGCGAGCGAGGAATCGTCTGCCCTCCCGGGAAACCGTCAGGAAGACTCTCCTGGCATTGATTGTTGCGGTCCTGCTGTTGGGCATTGTTACCCCTTCATCCAATGTAAGTTGGCATTTGTCATGTCTTTCTCTGCTCAAGTAATGCGGGGGATGCTGTACCACATTGGACGAGATTCAACACGTGCATATGTCTCGCATACTTGTATCACACTTTCCTGATCCATCTGATTTGTGACTAATCCATTTCCCCAGTCCGACCACAACAACAACCCATCATCCCCCTCTCGACCTGGCCATGGCGACGGACGAGGAGGTTCTTCCCCATCAACACCGCCCGTCATGCAATACCCCGACGTCGACAACGAGTCCGACTGGTTCTCGCGCTATCGCTGCCGCGGCGGCCGCACCATCACTCGTCCAACCGAGACCTACGACGTCTCCTTCTCCTCCAGCAAGCACCTGACCATCAACCAAGAGCGTCTCGACGACGGTGACACGCACCACTACGACACGTACGTTCAAATCCAAGGCGAAGTCATCGTCCGCCGTTCCGGTAAAGACACCCCCGACCCCTCCATCGTCCTCGACGTCATCGTCAACGACGACCGCATCCCAATCGAAACGCACTGGAACCCCAGCGACCAAGCCCTCACCATCAAGACCCCCGACGGGCTCAACACGGGCGAGCGCAACCTCAAGTTATGTGCCACCGTGAAGGCCACCGTCTGGGTGCCCGAGGACGCGGAGCTCAATTACCTCCAGATCGCCACCATCCATTTGGGCGTCCAGCTGCTCGATAACCTGTCTCTGACGGTCAAGACCCTCGCTAGGTTCGACGCTGTGGTCGGAAACATCATTTCCGCTTCCTCTGGCGCCTCAAAGAACAACAACAAGGAGGTCCCGCGCGACACCTCCCCCGACTCTTACACCTTCCACCCCCGTAAATGCGAAGCGGGTACCACCTCCGGCCAGATCTACGGCGTCTGGCCGTTGTTTGACTCTCTCACCTTAAAATCCACATCAGGCGACATCAAAGTCGGCATTGAACCCCACGACAACTGGGACAAGGACTCCATGTCTGCTCCTCAGTCTGCAGAGCTCTCCATCCGTTCCGCCTCCGGCGACCTCGACTTCCGCGAGCATGGCGTCAGTGTCACAGGCAAAACCCCCCCACAGGTTCCCAAGAGGGATTATATTCTCGACGTGCACACCACGAGTGGTAACGTCCATGGTCTGGCGGCTTTTCGGTCGTATGCTACTGTGAAGTCAACCAGCGGCACGCTCAAACTTGGACTTCTTCCGGTATTGAAGTCTGCTGAGGACGACCATCCGGTTGAAGTGTCGACCTCGTCCACCTCGGGCAGCACAACAATCACCATTTTTGACCCCGTCTACTTTTCTTCCTCTTCCCAAGTAGCAACCACCCCCAACCCCGCCTTCCGCAACCTCTACAACCAACACACCTCCACCTCGGGCGATTTTCACCTCTACCTCCCTTCCTCCTGGGAGGGTGAGATCGTCATGACTTCGCTCAGCGGCAAGCTGGCAGTTGCTGGGAAGGATGTCCAGATTATCAAGAGTGGGGAGCAGTGGCCGGGGTTCAATAAGGAGTTGGTCGCCAAGAAGGGCTCGGAGGGAAGTAGAGTTAGGGTGGGGTTGACTAGTGGGAGTGGGGAGGTTAGGGTTGGTTAGAGTAAAGGTAGGTAGGGTGAGGTTGAGGGGTTGAGGGGTTGATGGGCTGGATGTCAATGGGATTCTGGATGTGGGTATAGGGGACGTGTAGGACTGGGCGACGAGCATGGGCTGGGTGTTGATGCCTAGGTAGCTTTGTGTTTTTTTTGGGAGCGAAAGCTATGTTTCACGATGTCTTGGGGTTTGTTTTTGGGGTCTGTGAGCTCGAAATATTTCACATGATTGGATGAGGACGGGCACATGTAATGCGACAAATAATGAAGGCATGTGATAACCTGTGGTTGTTACCTTGGGTGAAAACCTCTCTGTTTTCGATATGGTCAATCTTATGATAAGCCATCTCACTCCGATTTTCTCATGCTGTCTTCGTGAAGCCCGCTTGTATGTAACAGGACGATGTTCGAGTGATTGCACACATAACGGTACGGAATTCTTGTATTATATCCTGAAACAATACAGCTAACAAAAGATATTTTACGCTGGGTATACATACTGAGGTACAAATATACCTTCGAAGCAGAACACACCGAACTTCGCTTGTTGGTAACACCACTGCTCATAGAACGTATTCCTCCCCATATGTGCTCCCATTACCCTGCCCAAGCTTGCGGCCATGTCGGTGAACACATAGTATTAGACGAGCCCTCGGCGCGTTCTCGTATTCCAGGTCGTCAGTGCGGTACTCTATGTATCCAGCATAGAGTTTCCCTGCGCGATACAGCCTCAGACCGTCAAAGACGATGCATATCGGCAAGAAAGGTGGGTGACTGGTAACAATCCTTCCCTCTTTTCCCATCGGCGTATCCTCATTTGCCGGTCCAGCTTTACCAGGAGCCACTTGAATCCACAGCTCGGGCAACTCCAAGAGGTCCTCTTCATTGAACGCCGGCACAATGAGATCACCCGGTTCTCCTACCAGGTACTGACCATGACCATCATCATCATGGCCTAAAATAGCCCAACCAACACCGTGATTAATCTGCATTTCCCACGCCACCTGGCTTGAAATATCCAACTTATCCAACTCATACGCCCAGAGCTCCTGTTTCTCAAGCATGGCTTTGATCTCTTCTTCTTCCAAGTCCCGGTCAACAACTGCACCCCCATCTTCAATCGCACAAGCCTGCTTCTCCCATCTCAGCCACACCCTATCCCGCTCCACCATCTCCCTACTTATCTCGTCCAGCTTGTGCTCCGATTCCTCGTCGTTTGATGCAGCGGATCTCCTGGGCACCCACGCCACCCACATGCGGAACCAAATCCTCAGCCCCTGCTTCCTCCTCGAATTCGACAAATTTTGCATAGCAAACTCTAGCTTTTCCTGTTCCTCGCCCAGTTGCGTAAGCGGTTCAATTTGCTCCATCAGAAATTTGTAATCAGCTCTCGAACGGATGCGGTTCTTTTTGTGGTGTTTCCACGCCTCAAACCAGCGTTCTTGGGGTGTGGTCCTGATCCTGGCCCTGTGTATAGCCCCGAATAGTTCCTCATCCATTTGCCTCTGCATCCCTGTTAACATCCGTGTCCGCGTTCCTGCCGGTGTCCGTATCGGTGACCCCGTTGGTGTCCATGACCGTGTCGGTGGCGGCGGAGGCGAAAGTGATACACTCCGGCTGGACAGACCGGACCAGACACTTCTGTTGCGTCGGGAAAAATAGGACATGCGCTCTCCTGGAGGGAAGGCGGGTTCTTGGATGGTTCTATGCGCTGGGCGGGGGCGGGGGCGGGAGCGAGGACGGCGGCCACGGCCCGGCTCTGACCTTCTTCTGCCAACAGGATTCAGAACCTCAAGCATTCTAAATTGCATCCAATGATCGTCAATGCCTATCTCGGGACCCTCAAGGTAAACTCCGGGCCAAGGATGCTGCTGTCCTGCCGGGTTTGATGCTGATGATGGCGTTATACCTAGCTCGCTTGCTCGACGCCGTACTTCGACTTGGATTGGTGGCGGCATCTTTCTTGGTTTCCTGCAGTCTTTTTGGAGGTATGTGATGATGTGTAAAGGCGGTGCAAGTGTTAACCGAGTGTGCGTGGAAGTAAAATTGCGATATTCAAGAATACTTCCCGGTAAGACCTGGGGAATGGGAGAAAATAATGGTAGTACTTGAGCAACGATCGTGATGTGCGTAAGAATTTCCAATAAGCAAGTCGATAGTGCAATGATTGTACTGAAAAATGTGTGGATGATGAAAGAATTTGAACTGAGACTCGCATGGGAAACAAGTCGGCTTTATGTGCCTTAGTCCAGACTGTGCCGAGTCTGACTTTCTTCTTCCGTAGCCAATGATCTAAGAAAAGCGGAAGCGACGAGTGCAAGACTGTTCCTCGAGGAGAAGAGATGGAGCAGTTGGAAACGCAGTATGGAGAGAGTGCGGTGGGTGAGTACTCTGCGATTGTCGTAGGGAACGGAAGGCATCGCCCACAAGAACAACCAACCTGCCTAAAGTATTTGAATGGTGACCTCCCTAAACCTGAGTGAAGCGATTCGAAAAGCCGCGCTTTCCTCAGTTGGCCAGAATGGCCTATGCTTGTGAGAAAATACAAAATCCGCAAGAACACAACGAATCTCCTGCGCTCTTGTCTCTTGGAGCGTCACTCACCTCACCTTACGAAATGGATTCACGCACCCGACACCGAGATGTCACTCGACGTCCTAGAATCAGTGTCCGCCCCAAATGGCAAGTTCAACTGTTTTCTTGTTTGCCATTATGTAATGCCGTTAGAATTACTGTTGACTTTGAGATTCCTTGATTGTTCCTTTCAGGAAGCTGAAGTGATAGAAGCTGTTGAAAACTGCCCTGAGCGCACTTCCTACTCAGATGTTATCTAGTCTCAGAAACTCGAGGTCAGTAGCTCGTGTACATCTGAAAACAATACTTGAAAGGCCAAGTTTACTTTTACAACTTTACTAGCCGGTCTTGACACTTTCATTCGTTTGGAAGCATGTTACATGAATCCATAGCTCGGGTCAGATGTCCTGGTGCTCGAAGCGTCATTCTGAATAGCAGCCGGTGAGACTCCCCGGAGCACCGATGTAAGCGCCGATCTCTGCGAGAATGTGCCGACCGTCGCCCTTGCTGACTCTGTAACGACTCTGTTTTGTTGTTGCGCATGCTGCCCTCTAAGCGGTGAGCTGACTTCAACTCCCTGAGAGTGGCAAGGTGAGTGACGTCCTTCAGTGACTTCCGTTGTAGTTTGGAGCTCGATTTCAATGGTAGGAGCGCCGGTGACCATGTAGATGAAGATTGATCCTCCCAGTTTGCATTAAAGATGGGATCAGGTGCGCCTATGGCATCCAGGCCCCGTATTTATGGTTCTGTTCGTGGAGGACACTCGACCCTATTTGACAATTACTTGCCGGGAACTCCTTACTACGGAAAGCACATTGAGCTGGGGTGATTCCTGCATGAAATGAACAACACTACAATTGGAGAAGGAATAGACATCGCTCAGGCTTTGGAAGTGCCCTGTCAGCAGCTACAAAACTGCAGTCCCAGCGAGAATGTGAGGGCGGTGACTCTCAGTATTATTTCAGGTGCTTAAGATGGTATAAGGAGAATCGAAGGTGCAACGAGGATCAAGGGCCACCGAAAGGACATTCACACCACACCAACAACCCAGCCGAGAAGCTCAACAATCGTACCTCTAAGCTCCTGTCCTTCCCACTCTTTCCTCACCCCCTTATTCCTAATAACGACTAACCCCCTCCCCTCCGGTCGGCGACCCCCGCACCGTCCGCAACGCCTGGTACGGCTACCCAACCTGCTTCTCAGTCTGGGACCCCTCCTCCTTCACCAACGGCCTTAAAACCGGTCAACACTTCGTCACGGCGCCCAACTCCTCCTACAACGACGCCACCTGCAACGGCAAAGCCATCGCGCCGCGGCTCACCTTCCAAGCCCATTCTGCTCCTATCTGGAACACTTTTGACGACGAGGCCAAGGGTCCCATAATTGAATCAAGATCCGATATTTATCCTCGATGCTTTTCATTCATGATTTCTATGTCTTTTCCTCAGATTTGAGCAGTCGGCGTCGAATCTTCGATGCGTTCGCTGGAACAGAGAAACCTGAGTTGCAAGGGCGTGAAAACTGGCGGCAGTTGGCGTCAGTTGGACAAAGCCGAGTTAGAACCTGGATCCCTTCACTCACAAGTACTCGATCGTAGAGAGGAAGGTGCCTTGAACTGGTGCCATCGACTGGAGGTCGTATCCAGGTTGCACCTGCCCGAGTGAATTAAACCGAACATGTCGAGATTACACCTTCGGTGAATGATTTCACGTATCAATTCGTGTTCAATACACCTTCGGAAAATAATCAGAGACATCTTGCTGATTCAAAAACCCCACACAGACTCAGATATCTGTGTTTCTAACGTCAGAAAAGGCATATGAGAGTTCTATTACGGCATTTTCAAATTAGAGTGACCGGTATTGAGCTGTCCAATTTCGGTTTCTTCTTCGACGACTCGCGGCCTGAAGGCAGACAATACGGAGAAAAGGTGATCCAAACCCAACCTTGAGATGAACCTGAGACTCTGAGTGATTATGGTGCGTTAGCAAACAAACAAAATAGCTGCCGCTCCTTCCTTCTCATCCGAACTCTTGAACTAGAGATAAGCCTAGACCAAAGGTTGCGTGCAGACACTACGCGACGCGTCCAAGGTTTGTCAAATCGAGCTCTTGCCTTCCTGCTATTTTCCATCCGATTTTGTGAGGACAGTAAACCTGGAGTGATTAAGAACCTGAGTAGACGCGCCGCGTTGAGATTTTCAAATAAAACCCCGTCACTTCTTGAGCAAGCCCCTCAAGATTTTTTCTTCTTTGAACTTCAACCGCGCACTCATTCGTACTCCTGCACAAGACTTCTCCTTCCTCCCAAGAATCTTGCGTCGCAGTCTTCTCTTTTACTTGCAACAACAACCTCGAGTCACAGTCACTCTCACGTAAGTTCTTTTTTCCCCTTCTCTTCGACAAGAATTCAAGTCGCAGTCTGCTAGTTCTCAGTCGAGAGCCAGCCCTTCACCTCCCTCTCTTTCCAGTCAGCCCTTCACCATCCTCACTTTCCAGTCAAGCCCAGCTCCCAGGTTGTCTTCACTACCAAACTCCTCCATAACCTCGCAACCCTTCCTGCCTCGCTTGTTGTTTTTTTTCCGCAACGCTAACTCGAGTGGCATCAGAATGGCACCACCCAAGAAAGGTAAGTAACAGCCGACGCTGGACAGCCTGCTGAGTCCCACCACTCGTCTGGGCTAGAAACGCCCGTTCAGGCCCCAAAGGCGAAAGACGAGTAGATCCTGTCTTTGGCTCACTGTATACTAACACAACTAACAGAGATGAGTGCCCCGTCGCGCGCCGCGGTCTTGCAGGAGATCGAAGACATGGACGGAATCCTTGGTAAGTTCAGAATTCCATCAATCTCGCCTCACTAGAGGATCATCCAGGCCCAGTGATGAAGCTGACACCGGTTTCAGGCGGTGGACCCTTCCCTACCTTTCGAGGCAGGGCGACGAGCAACCCCCGCCCCGACGCCCAAGCCCAAGGCCAAGCTCGAGGCCCTGAGCGGCAGTTGGCGACTCCGGCCCTGGCGATTCGCCAGAGAAGCCGGACCCCCAGCCGGCCGCAAAGGCCTCATGGCCTGGAGTCGGTCCCGCCCATGCCCGCCATGCCCCCGGCCTTTCGGCCCCCCAACCCCCCTTTCGCCCAACCGGGCTTCGACAGTGGCCGCCCGAGCAGGTCACGCACCGGGACTGCTGGCTTCCCCCAGCAAGCTCCCCCGAGAGGGTTTGTCCTGCCGCCTGCGAGGCAACCTCCCAGAGATGTTCGGTCGCCCTCTGGCGGCCAACATATGGGCCAGCCGACTTTTTCCCCTCCGGGACCTTCGTCGCCGCCCCTTCCCCCCATTCCTCCCAAGTCCGCTCAGCGGCAAGTTCAGGACAGCAGGCGCCCGTCGGGATCGGGTTCGAGGCCCACCATATCGTTGAACCAGGCTGTTTCGTCTCGTTCTTCGCCCCCCGCTCCCCCTCCCCAGCCCCAAGTTTCCCGGTCGTCCGAGGGACACCCGGCGAGCTCCTCGAGCCGCCCCCCTGTGCAGACGCCTCCTTTCGAGGGTAAGATAGGCCACCACTCCTATACCGTTTGATATGTTGTTGACAAACGCTAACTCATCGGACAACAGATGACGTTTTTAAGGGTCACTTGAACCCGACCAACCCATATGGGTATAACCAGCCTCCGGGCTTTCGTGAGTTTCGTCCCGTGAATGATTTGAAAACGAATGGAGCTGACTGATATTTGAAAAAAAAAGACCACAACTGGGATACACCAGCCAGAGAGCGGTGTGTGGGCATCAAACCCCATGGAAGAGCGGGTCACCCTTTCCAGGGCCCCCCAACTGGATCTCGTCCGAGACCGTCACAGCAGCACCAGCAAACCGAAGTTGGTTTGCCGTCCCAATTTCTTTCCCCCGGCGCCTCGGCCAGGGCTGGCCAAGCTGGCCACCCTACCGAGCCTGGCTATTTCGATCTCTCTTCTCCCCAGCCCCAGGGACTGCAAGCGCAGCCCGGTAACGTGCCCCCGGCGCCCAACCCGGCCGCCACCCCCACACAGTTCGGGTATCACCCGATGATGAGCCCGTACGAGGCTGAAGCTGCCAGCGGTAAGATGAAAAACAAACAAATCATATCAAGCGATATGAGTATATCGAACGGGATGAACTAACGAAGCAAACAAACAGGCATGGCCAGGGCTCGGGTTGAGAGCCCCAAGAAGAAGACTCCCGGTACGCCGGGCGGAGACCACTGGGCCTCCGGCCACGATATGCTGTCGCCCGTCGAGGCAGCGGTGGCCTGCGCCGACACCAGGCGCACCACCATTTTTATGGACATGGGGGTGCAGTATGCCGACGAACACGAGGAGGAGAAGGACGACGAGGAGGATGGCGAGTAAGCGGGGGGCCGAGGGGTGTAGATTGAAGCTCTGCCAGCTTATCGTCAACCGCGATATCGAGCGTTTCATTCCCCGAGCTCAAGATTTTTGTTGGGTTTCTGAGACGATGAGGCTTTATGGTTATGATTATGAGGATTACGACCTTTGATGCCACGATCTTATGGTCGTGCCTTTTTTTCTTTGCTTTAGGGGAGGGAGGGAGGAGGGTGGGGGATTGGTTTTTATTTGCTCTGGGCGTTGGGGGATGGCGGGTTCCGGCCGGCAATTATTTCGCCCCATAACGACCGTTGACATCTTAATTTGTGGTGTACGAGTATATGTTGGAGTAATTGTACGAGTACTGTCAAAGAAAGAACCCATTGTTGTGAAGTGACGATGCATTTGATGTTGGGGTTGATGCCTTGACGTTGGTCAGGGAGGCACGTGGTGATATGTTATCGGTGTTATTGATAACCAATAAGGCATTATGATGCGTCTTTGATGCTTAAGGAAATGTTAACAAGGGACTTGTACACTTCATTGTGGGGTGGTTAACTTCGAGCTAGAACGTTTCCTTGTGCTTCGAGTTTACCGTCCCATAGTAATGTACTGTCGCGGACTATTGAGTAACCATCCCAGTTTTACTCATCATTGACTTTGCTGACTTCATCGGTTACTCTTCCCTTCATCTCTTTGTATGTCACTCTGAAGTCTGAACTTCTTACCAAAGCCTCTCACTAACAAATCCAAGACGACCCCCACCACGGCGCGATCGGCCCCACCGTTCGGCCGGCCTTTGCCTGCCGGAGGTCCCTCTATCGATAGTGCGTCACGAAATGCGACCCCGTTCCTGCCGTCCGATGCCGCCGTCGCAAAGGAAATGTCCAGAAAATAGCTCCGACCATCTTTGCCGAGGACAACTTACCGTCGACCTTTGCGGACAATTCTTTCGAGGCCAATTGCTTCTTGAGAGACGGAAGCTTAAGACAATTCAATTGGTTTCCTCGCAAATTTGGTCGACGGTTTTCCTTATCAGCACCTCCCAAACCGACCCGTTCGATAACCTCGACTTTCCTGGAATCGAGTCACATCCAGTAGCCGGCATTGCGCGCGCCCACCACCGTCGCCGACCCTACCAAACTTCGCGACTTTAACCTCCCTCCCTCCCTCCAATCCTCCTCGACAGCTCGAACCAGCCAGCCCCCGAAACCTCCACCAAACAAGGAAGCCCAACCCCAACGCGCGCAAAAAATGGCCTCCCAATCCTCCCCACCACCCTTCCAAACCGCCCTCCTAGCCGGCGCCCTCGCCGGCACCACCGTCGACCTCTCGCTCTTCCCTCTCGACACACTCAAAACCCGCCTCCAATCCGCCCAAGGCTTTTTTGCGAGTGGCGGCTTCCGCGGCATCTACCGCGGCGTAGGCTCCTGCGTCATCGGTTCCGCGCCCGGTGCCGCTTTTTTCTTCGTTACTTATGAGACTACCAAGGGGTTTCTTTCTTCTTCTGCTCCTCCTCCTCCTCCTCCGACGACGGGTTCGACGACGGGTTCGACACATAAAACGGGGGAGGATGTAAAAGGGAAGGGTGGGCGCTTCAGTCATCCGGGGGTACAGCATGGAATCGCGGCAAGTCTGGGTGAGATAGCCGCGTGCGCGATTCGCGTGCCGACCGAGGTGATCAAGCAGCGGGCGCAGGCGGGTCAGCATGGCGGGTCGAGCTTGAGCAGTTTGCTGCACATCTTGCACCAGCGGGGCGCGATCGGTCTCACGGGTGTGTGGCGCGAGCTGTATAGGGGCTGGGGCATAACTGTTATGCGCGAAGTGCCGTTTACCGTGTTACAGTTTCCGCTTTGGGAATCACTCAAGAAATGGGGACGGGAGCGCCGCCAACGGACAGGAAGGGGACTTTTTGGTGATTCCGCGACGGGTAAAAACGAAAAGGACGTGAGTGCTCCCGAAAGCGCGCTGTATGGAAGTCTGGCGGGCGGGTTCGCGGCGGCGTTGACGACGCCGTTGGATGTGCTCAAGACGAGGATCATGTTGAGCGAGAGGAGGGAGGGGGTGGTTAGTCTAATAAGAAAAATTTGGAGGGATGGGAAGACGAAGACTGGGAGTGGGATCAGACCGTTCTTTAGTGGGATTGGACCGAGGGTGATGTGGATTAGTATCGGAGGAGCGATTTTCTTGGGGAGTTATCAGAGTGTTGTTAATGCTTTTGAGGGGACGACGAGGAAGAGCAAGAGTGGTGAGGAGCTTTCGCTTTAAAGGGGCGGATAGTCATTTGGGTTTTGAGCGAGCGGTATAGACAAGAGGCAAACGTGGTGGTGTCTCGCACGGTCTTCGAAAACAAAAAGTGGGATTAGCTCGGTGTCGTTAATCTTCGACATCGAACAGACAGACGAGACGAGCGAGAAGAACAGCATATACATAGACATAGAGTTCAAGATACCCCAGTGGGAGTAACAAACAGTCATGTTACACCCCTATGTACAACAACCCTTACTGTACTAAATAAGAATACCCGCTAAGAGTCGAACACGGCGCTTTCTCAATGTCCATAACCAACGGTTGTCGAGACACCTCAGAGAATGATAGAGATAAGAGAAGCAGGCAGAAAAATACCACTATGTACAAACACGCTGACTCCAAGATAAACAAGAGCTTTAAGTCACGCACTGTCCAATCAAGACAGCGCAGTGACGGCACGAATTAATAATAACCGAATCCTTCCAGGGACGTCCACGGACTCTCCTGCCTGACAGCCTCATCTTCCTAAGCTGCTGCTGCCACAGCTTGGCCGATCTGTCCCTGACCGGCTGCTGTCCCGGCTTGTGATGGAGACTCCTGACTCTGGCGTTGGCCGCCATCGGTACCGCTAGGAGATGGCGCCGACGGGAACAGAATCTCCTTCTTTCCGTTGGCTTTGTAATGGAGGACGATATCATTACCGCCCTTCCAGACGTGTGCGCGGAGGGTTGCGAGGCTCATTGTGTTTGGCAGGAGCTGGTTTTGGTTGTTCATGTCAGCACAAAAGTAGACCAGTCAGGTTGGCAGTAGGGTTTGGTTAGACTCACCTGTTCATTGCAGTACAGCTCCAAGTACTCCTCCGGCTTCATCGCGTCCGGGTCCGGATTCTCCGGGTCGGCAGGCGGATCGATCCTCTCCGCCACGTACGCCAAGATCTTCTTCACCCTCAGCATCCTATTCGCATTCAGGCGATTGTTCCCGTCCGCTACCGTGATGGCCGGCAGCGTGTCCTGCCACGGGTACAGCACAAACGACACCTTGACGGGATCTTTTGGTGGGATGGCATTCAATAGCAGAACCTCGCCGAGCCACTGGGGACCCTTTTGCTCGATAATGTCCACATCGGCGCCCACCGACTCCACGGTCCCCCGATACAGCTCGGCTGAGCCGCCCGACGTCTCTTCCTGGATGATCACCTTGGTGCCCTTGGGCAGTTTGAGCACTGGCGTGTCGTTGGGCAGACTGGGGCAGATGCGTGTTTCGACCACCATGTCGGGGTTTTCGGTCAGCTGCTTCTCATACTCGTTGTGGATCTTCTGGATAACGCCGTGGAAGCTATCGGCGAACTCCTTCTCGTGGTTCGAAGAGGATTCGGACTCCTCGGCCTTTTCGTCCACCACGACTGGCTTATCGGCGACGGCAACCGAAGCTGAGCGACCGAGCTTTTTGCCGCCAAATGACATGTTCATCCGGAACTTCTTCCCAAACGTGGGGCTCTTAACTTCCTTATCCTTATCCTTCTCTTTGTCCTTCTCTTTTCCATTCTCAGTCGATGTCTTTCCGGCCTTATCTTCTGAGGGCCGAGACTCTGCAACTGGCGCGGGTGTCTGTGCTGTCTTGTTTGTATCTGCGTCTGGTGAGTTGATGTCGTCCGAAAAGTAGTCGACTCGTTCTGCAGATGGCTTATTCGAAACTTGCGACGAGAACCTGTCGAGGGGACTGAGCGGCGTTCCAACGGCTTCCGCCCCTGGCCACATGGGCGAACCTGGCGTAGCGAGTCCAATTGCGAACCCTGGTGTCGCAGGAGGGAACCGGGAGCCATTTGCCCGCGGCGTCGCAACCTGCGAGTCGATGCCACCCGGCGGAGGAGGGATTGATATCGATAACCCGGGATTCACCCTCCCGACGGCTGCCCGTTGCTGTGATACTTCGTTCAGCTTGTGTCTGTGTGCCTCATCGCGTCGTATCTCTTCATCTATTAGGTTCGCAAATAGATATCGTAGAATCCACTTTCCAAGATTTACTGTGGAGGGTTAGCACAATCCAAGGTGACAATAATTGGTGATGAAGCATACTCCTCTGGTCTTCCCGGAACTCCACAGGCTCTTCCAGCGTGAGTTCGTCGGCATACGCCTCGGCATCAAAACAGTTGAATGGCTCTAGAACCACTGTCAAGTTGCCGGAGCTAGTGTCTATAGAGCACCATGGAGCCACGGCCTCTAGGGTATTGACCTCGGGTTCTACGTCCTCCAAATGTCTCTTTCCAAAACTCTTGATGGGTTTACACTAATTGAGACAAGACAGTCAGCACAAGTCACGTTCACGGTCACAGTCACAAGGTTCGGAAGACTGAGATGTCTCACTTTGATCAAGTCCCACAACACTACATCCCCAGCCGTGTCCAGTGTCAGGACCCGCCTCCTGTCGTTCAGAAGACGGTGCTTGACCAGGCCAAACTGGCCCTCGATCGTTTCTTCCGGCAGGTGGTGTATCGGCTCCACTACGCTTACCGCGGGGTCTGTTATTATTTCAGATCCCTTTCGTGTGTGTGTTGCTACCGATTCTGCCCCATCCCGGCTGAGCGCACGCGGGAAGGAGGCCGTGTTCGAGATACGCAAGATCGACTTGGCCGGTATCTCCCGCTTGGGGGTAGGTGACCCTGCTGGCATCGGGGATCCAGACTGGAAAGTGCTCTCCCTGCTCCTCGTCGACACAACGGAGGCCTTCTGAGGCCGGAATCCCCCTGGAAGCTGAATGTCAGCACTTGTGTCCAGGCTCTGCCAGCGGTTAATCGATGACCGTGACGTCGCCGTCCACAAAGAGTTTCCACAAGCGACAACCTTGCTCACGCCATCGTGTTCCTGTGCGACGGCCAAGGACAGGCCATCATCCAAGTCACCCAAGGTGCCTCGCACATCTGTCTTGACCACCAAGCCCGACCGATCACTGCTGTAGAAGACGCCGAGTTCAGGGTCTTCGGCAAACAGAGACCACACGCTGTCATTGTGCATGGTGAGTGTGTGCATGCACCTGCCTGCAGTGACGCTCCAAACCTTGACCGTCTGGTCAGAACTGGCCGTCATGACCATGTCGCCCGAGGAGTTTACCAGGATGGCCCGGATGTTGTCGGTATGACCGACGAATTTGGTGATGCGCTTGCCGGTCTTGGGATCCCATAGGCGAACCACGCTCTCGGGACCACCGCTGGCGAGGATGGAGTGGTTGACGGCCAAGGCATAAACGCTACCCTTCTCTCGCACCTCCTCGCCGCTGACATCTATTTCCAGTCGCTTGCCGGCGCCTGACAAATCCCAGAGGTATATTTTACGGTCGAGGCCACCCGAGGCAACCCAGTTGGTGGACTGTGACGGTGTCGCAACGCACTTGACATAATCGGCGTGCTGGCCAATGGTGGCTGGTTCTTTGGCGTCGCTGCCGTGGGGACGCCATACTTTGACGAGCAGGTCGGACGAAGCGGACACAACCGCGGAATGTTGTTGGGCTAAAGCGAGATCGTTGATCCAATGTGTATGCGGGTGTGTTTGGGAACGGAATCGGGTCGTCTGCTTGGGCCTGGCATTGGCGCGCGAGGATGAGGTATCGACAACGGCGGAGTGGGAGGAAGTCGGGGCAATGCAGTCGGGGTGGACGTCCCAGGCGCATACTATGCCATCGCGGCCGCCGGAGTAGCTGTGCCATGTCAAGTTGAATTAGTATATGGGTGGGATTCGATCGATATCGGTGGAGAGACGAGGCTAAGGGTGTGTGCTCACAGAATAGCATTGTCGCGATCGACGGCGAGACCATTCACGCCGAGACGATGGCCACCTGGTGAGGAGTTTGGGAGCTCGAGAACTGAAGCAGAGTAGGAGTGTGGTTAGCCGTGCGCCCCGTGTTGTGATTGAAGACAACAAAGACGAACCATAGCTAATCCTCTGGCGAGCCTTTTTGGCCATGTCGTAGATGAAAGGGCCGGGAGAGCACGAGTCTTTGTACGTCTGCTATGACGGATGGGAGCTGAGCAGTGGGGACTGGGGATGGTCGGGTGAGTGCTGCGGGTTCAACGGCCACGCGCGATGTAATGGCTTTCCGTTCTCTTGGCGTATAATGTAACCGAGGATTCGACTGGACGACGTGTCCCCTCCGATCAATGTATCAAAGTCTAAAGAACGGTACCTGCTTATCGAGGTATAATATGACGTATATGGCTTGACGAGTAAGAGTGGACGAACGAGGGTGTATAACACGTCGAAGTCGTTCAGCTGCTGGAAGTGGGTGGATTTAATGGCTGGGCTGCTTAGTACATCATGCGTGCACTGCCCGGTGGTGGGTGGATGGATGCAATGCGGGATGCCGCTTACTGATAGAGACGGGAAAGAGGGGAGGTGGTAAGTGGGAGAAGGAGATCAAGAAAAGAAGAAAGCAACGACTTTGAACCGGGTAAATCGAAAGGGAAGGGATGGGAGTGAGAGTTGGATGTGGAAGTCGAATGTCGGATGCTACCACCTATAGAGGGAAGTATCTAGTGTAAGTTGGGAAAGCGTTGAGGCTGATGACAACTCCAGGGAAAGACGTCTTGGCATTCTGGATAAAGCTGTTTATTTCAAAGCAGCTGAAGAAAAGTCTCCAGCTCGGGATATTCCAAACGCACATGCTAACTGTCGTGTATCCAAGTCTGGTCACATCGACGCCGGGCATGGACAAGTCTTTGGATGCCCATGCTTTGTGGAAGTTGCTTGGTAATTCGTTGATAAACTCCGAGTGCTTTCTTGTCCGATCGAAGAGAAATGGAAGCTTCCAAAGTTGGGGAATGGAAAGGACAGCAAAGAGATTTGTACTCTTTGCTTAAAGGTACTTCAAGTCCGGCAAGAAACAGGTGTAAAGCAATCGCTTGCTAAGTACCTCTATCATATCTATACAAGCATTCACTATAACTTGAGCTGGAGAGTCTGGGGAAAGCTCGGGCCACATCACAATTAATTGTTAGTGCACTTTGGTGACTGTCATCAGTCAAGGATTCTGACACTTCAACATCCACTCTTTCTCACTTCACCACATTATCCATCCTCCTCCTCCAACCGCAAGGTGAGGTGAACACACCACATCTGGACAGGCGATGGAATGGTCACGCCGCTACAGGTCTTCCATCGCAGCGCCCGGGCAATCAGCGCCCGCGAGTTCGAAGATGCTCTCCACGCAATATGCCTCCCTCGATTTCCTCCGGCATTCAGTCCCAGGCATCGTCATATCGGCTGTGCCATAAGCGGCGGCGTGGATTCCATGGCGTTGGCCTTTCTGTTCAACCGGCTTAAACAAGAGAAAAATATAAACGCTAGCGTTTCCCCTAACGAGCAGTTCCGCATCAGCGACAACATTCTGGGCAAGGTCCGCGCCGTCATTGTCGACCATGGCTTGCGCGAGGGCAGCGACGAGGAGGCAAAGAAGGTGGCACATGCCCTCAAGACCAAGATCGGAGACTTGGTGGACCCTACTATTGAGACCATCAACTGGGAGTCTGAACTCGGCCCCGGTGTAGACCCCAAGACTCACCCGAGCATCGAACCCTTGGCTCGCAAACTTCGCTATGCCGCCATTGCGGGCGTGTGCCAGCGTCACAATATCTGCTCCATCTTCACAGGCCACCATGAAGATGATCAGTATGAAACGATCCTGATGAGGATGATAAGCGGCCGTGGCTACCGTGGTCTTCAGGGCATCCCAGCCGCCGTAGACATTCCAGAGTGCTACGATCTTCATAATGTCTACCAGAGTGGTTACCTGGATGACCAAGAGGCGGCCAGCCCATTTTGGACCAGGATGCCGACGGGCAAGCGGATGAAGAAATATCTAAAGTACAGCCTACGTGATCAGCTCGATCCGCAAATGCTCCAATATGAAATGGCTTATGGCATGAGGAGTGATGGAAGCCAGTACTTCAACGAGTACCAGCGCACACATCGCAGATGGGGAGACTACCCTCCAGTCCCAGAGGTCGAGGCCGAGGATGGTGGCATAATGATCTACCGCCCTCTGCTTGGCTTCAGCAAGGACAGGCTCATTGCCACCTGTGAGGAGAACGACATCCCATGGTTCGAGGATCATACGAACGCAGACCCGACTTTCACTCCTCGCAATGCTATCAGATACCTGGTCAAGCATCACAATCTCCCAACCGCCCTACAAAAGCCTGCCATCTTGCAGCTTGCAGCACGGTGCCGCGCCAGGGTTGCTGCCGAGGAAGCTGAAGCCGGTAGGGTTCTCGAGCGGCTATATGTCCATGATCTCGCAACGACAGCTGGGACAGTAGAGGCCGAAATGCCCAGGTTCAAACTACCAGGAGGTCCCAGACTGTCTCGGAGGTCCTCTGTTTGGCGCAAGAAGCGTCTTGTCCACTATCGCACCATTGCGGCTATCATCATACGGAGACTCATCTCGTTGGTAACACCAAATTACAACCTGCCAACCCTTGCGGATCTCGAATATTCTGTCTCACTGCTGTTTCCCGAACTGAGGCTGCCTGAGGAAAAGGAGAATCCAACACTCCAAGGCGAACCCAAAGGCTACATGATCTCCGGCGTACACATGGATCCATTGATCCAACCCAACGGCTCTGTCCGCTGGCGACTCTCCCGCGCACCTTACCAAGCCAAAACCCCCGCTCCAACCCTGCGATTATCCCAAAGCGCCTTAGCCTCGCGTTTCCTCAAAGAACCCTCCGAATGGGCATGGGCAGGCTGGACAAAATGGAAGCTCTGGGACGGCCGCTACTGGATCCGGCTCCGCCACCGCGCCCCCTGTCCCGTTCGCGTCGCCCCCTTCGAAGCCGTCTACCAGAAGGACTTCCGCGAGGGTCTTCTTCTCGGACAAAAGCTCAAGCACAAGGAACTGCTCACCAGCATGCTCAAGGTATACGCGCCCGGTCGGATCCGGTACACGCTGCCTGCCGTGTACGCGGAGACTGACCTCTCGGCGCTCATCCACGGCAACGGCAACGAGTCATCATACTGGCCCCAACCGCCGGAGCACTTGCGTCGGGCCGCGGCCGGTATCGAAGAGGATGACCACAGCACCACTCCCACTCCGGAAACAGTAACCACCAAACAACTCCAGAAAAACCTGACAAAAGAACAAATACACGAACTATTGTGGTTCTACAAAGACTGGGAGGACGAACAAGCCCTCAGCTTCAAAGACTATGACGAAGTCTGGGAGGAGAGCCGGTATCTAAGCAGCAGCCCTTCTTCCACTTCTTCTCCCCACCAAAGCAACAACAAAAACAAGAGAAAACTCCTCGCCCTCCCCACCCTAGGTCTCTCCCTCCCGGGCGTCTACGACTGGGTGCAATGCGAAGTCCGGTATCGCAAGATTGACGGGGACTTGTTGCGGCGCGGCACTTCGTGGCAGAGGTTCAAGTTTTGGCGGACGAGGGATTATGCGAGTTTTAGGTTGAGAAGGAGGGAAAGTTTGTTGGAGAGAAGAGAGTGGTTGGGTTTGAAGAGGAGGAAGAGGGCGGAGGGGGAGGTGCCGGTTAGTGTTGCTGATGCTTTCAAGGGAGGAGAAGGGGAGTGAGTAAATAAGGGTCGTTGTATGGTCACTTGGCTGTGTGTATTATGATGTACTATTTTGTCCTTATGGTTAGAATTGCATATACATATGCAGAGATTGGCAGATAGATTTCCAGAAAAAAAAACTTCCTATATACACCAATAACTTTCCAACAAAGGTCATAGTTCATTGCCCTTTTCATCATCAAACTCGTTCGACCAAAACACTCTTCGACCAAAAAGTACCTTGCCGTGATACCACCCTTCACCCTCCATTCTTCCATCTTCCCCCCCCCCCCCCCCTTTTTTCCCCCTTCCCGTTTCCTCTCCCCGCTCCCTTTAATATTTCGTTTGTCACCGTCTTAGTGTTGAACCCTGAAACAAGGCAGCCCATGCCAAGCGTAACGGAACTTCCACCGCGGCAAGGACTCGATGAAAGTGCTCGTTGGCACCCACAATCAACCAGGTGATTCTAGATGAGGTCCGGTGTCCATGATTAATGATATCCAGGTGACTGACCCACATCAACAACGATCGGTGATTAGTATGGGAAAGACGGGATGGAAGACAGGAGAGCATGCAGTGGGATGCCATGCCAGCGATGCCATGCGGTGCGGTATCATGGCATGCGGTACCATGTGGTACATAGCGTACATACAGCCCACGTGCAGGTCCGGCATCGGGAAGGTTGCAGACTGCCTGGTGTAAGCTTATACATGAACATCAGACAAGTACCCATTGCACATTACATTGGTTACACCTCAAGATCAATCTGGCGGGTATTGAGAAAGGATCTCCTCCATACCTCCCACTACATAAGGCCCACACACACAAAACGCACGCACACACACACGTACACCTCCCCCTTCCACTCGGCCCTTACACCTCCATAGTCACCCTCAACCCCAAATCCCTCTCCAAATCCGCCCACCTCCCACTGCGCATGGGATCCAACTTCTTCAAGCTTCCCAACCACCCCTTGAGGTCTTTCACTTCCTGCTCGTTCGGCTTTCTCTCCTGCAGCTGACAGAGATAGAGGGTATAGTCGAACAAAGCCTCATAAATCAACTTGGCGTCGTCGTAGTCCTCCAACAGCTCCTGGATGCCCTCGATCTCGCGCCGCAGGTACGTGACGCGCTCCTCTTGCGTGAAGGCGGGAGTGATGGTCGGGTGCCCGACAAAGTTGACGAGGTTCAGCATGAGGAATTGGTGGTAGTACCAGAGGGATTGGTCGTCGGGGCCGACGTTGATTGCTTCGCCTATTTTGCCGAGTTCTACGAAACGAAATTGGTTAGTTCTCTTCCTCTGATCTCCCGTTTGGTCAACATAGTAGTGGAGGGGCAAGCTTACCTTCTTCAAAGAAAGCTTTCCGCGCTTCATCATCTGCGTTTCTCTCGTCCAACAACCGGGGGATGAGCTTGCTGCGCGAGTGCCAGGCGGAAAAGTTGGAGAGGTTCTGCTCGATCTTCTTGGTCGTGAACTCGAACTCTGATTCGACTAGGCTCTTCCCTTCCAGCTCTGGACTTTCCAGCTGCTCGACGACGTGCCGCCTGTATCCCCAGGCGTGGAAGTTACGCTGGTCTCGCAGGAGCATCTTGGAGGTCAGGCCCAATTCCTCCTCCCAAATCTTTCGCGCTACAGGGACCGGTAATCTTTCAATCACCTGCTTGAGAATCCATAGTCGGTAACTCCAGATCCAGTAGCATTTGGGCGATTCGAGGAGGAGGGGGATGGTAAAGTGTAGTTCCTTCTGAAGTATTTGTTGATCGTTCTGTTGATCCTGCTGCTTTTGCTGGCCCTCCTCAGCTGTTGTACCACTCTTCCCAGTTGTCTGGGACTCGAGGGCGGGCGGGGTCTCGGTCGACAAAGAGGAGGAGGAGACGGCGGAAGAGGTTGTGGTAGTGGCGGTCGGAGAAGAAGTCGGCAACGCCTTCGAGGGCGAGGAGCCAGGCGAAGGCTTGGACAATAATCCAGAGATTAGGCAGCGCCTGCGGACGTTCCATACTGTGTAGTACTCGGGGTTGAGGCGCAGGAGCTTGGATGTGAGGGCGAAGACGTCGGGGGAGTAGTCGCTCTTTGCGGCGTGAGCGCGCACCTGGTCCTCAAGGGCGCGGTAGTCCTTGATGCGCTCGAGGTCCTTCTGACGCTGCTCTTCGGTGCGCGTTCTCGAGGTGCGGGCTATGCCGTGGTTGGATCCGCCTTGCTGGGATGCGTCTCCCCATCAGTCACAAACTAGCGTCTAGACTGGAGTCCGGTTGTGTCTTACATCGGCCATGATACTGCTATCGACTGTCAACGGGTTGGTTCAGGGGTTGGATGTTGAAGGGGACATGTTCCGTAGCCTTTGTTGAGGTGACGTCGGAGAGGACAGCATGGGGCAGGCAGCTGCTAACAGCGCGCTATGCCTATATTAGTGTAGCGTTTTACGGACTACCGGGAGAGCCCTGGTCTGTGTGGAGGCTTGGCGAGACAGCTCCAGAACAAGTGGGGCTTATTGGGCTTATCGGGCTTATCGTGGATGTCTTAGAACAACATACATGCAGGAACGACTTCCACACCCATCCTCAGTTCCTCCTTCCACCTTTCAACTCTTTGATTTGTTTCTTTGATGTCTGGCCCTGGATGCACCCGTGGCACTTGCCAAACAACAACTACCATTGTTACCTACATCTGGCATCGCGCCTTCTGAATCTGGGAGAGTGACTGCAGTCAAAATGCCCACTCCAGTCTCGCCCGGTCTCGGCCGCATGGTCTCGTTGGGGCAGTCACTCACCCTCTGCCTATTCAGAGTAGCTCTTTCCTATTGTCCAGACTTGGGATGACAGACTTTTTTCAATTGACCGGTCTCGCCTGCCTGCCTCCTATTGTGCCTCATTGATTGCTGGGTGTTCATCTCATGAGTCCACTCTGCCTGACTGACTGACCTCCTGACTGTTCTCAGCAAACCGAACTTCCCCCTTGAACCTTCGAGATTGACAAACCAAACTTATTTCATCACGACCTGCTTCATCCCCGGGAGTCGTTCTTGCAATTCGATCTCTTCCACTCACACAAACACTCACTTCACTAGGACATTGCGCTTCATCATCATTCAGTTGAAATGGCCGGCGTGGACGTCTAGGTGACGCTTTCTCAGTTTCTACATCAGTCTTCCCTTACAGAAAACTGCTGACATCAACCTCATCGTCAACCTCCAAATACGCCTCCTCGACTCCATTTTCCTTTCCTACTGCTTTTTCCTAGGAACACGCATCCGTAATTATTACTACGCTTCCACCACCATAGCAGCAGCACTACTAACCATACCAGCATCTGGATACGGTTATTAATCTCGGACGGCGAATCGAGCACCGTTTGAGCACACCAACGACAAGCATTGCTTCTCCGATCGTCCAGGTTCTCGCACACAGCTCGACATCTTTGTCGCTCCACACGCCCTTCGTTAACAGCAGATTCTCCCGGATTTTATCATCACCATCTATCACTTCATTCAGTCGACTTCACCGAGCTATCTCATCACTCCAGCTTCGACAACCTGGGTGGTCTCGGGCTTGATGGGGTCGCTTCACTAAGCATTCTTTTTCCACCTTATCCTTTTCTCACTTGAGGTCTGCTACTCGTGCTATCATCAGTAACTCGTTATATAGTCGGCTGTATCTTCGCTATGGGCAACGACAACAGCAACCGTGGCTCTCGAGCCTTCGTCCCCGGCCCCACAAGCACAATGACATTTCACACGCCGTTTCCCCTGCTCCAAGAAGCCCAACGTCAATATCACGTCTGTGGCTCGCCTTATGAGTCCCCTCACAGCTCCTCCGACTCTGGCTACGGCTCGGCTCCCCCAACTCCAATTACTCCTCACAAGAAAAGGACTCTCATCGAGGCCGACTACCTTTGGAGGCTGGGTGATGGGAATCTCTCGGACCAGGAAAACTTCTCCGAGTCTGACGATAAGAACACCTCAGATCAGGAATACAAACCAGAAGCCTACAATGACAAGGAAAGACGTCCTGCTGCGCTCGGCACAGAAGCAGTAGACATCGAGTGTCCGGACAACGAAAGCCCTAGGAAGCGCCATAAGCCCGCGACATTGCCCAGGAGCTCACCTCGCTCTCGTCCACCTCTTCTGTCCTTCTTCGTTTCCGACTCGGGCTCCAAAATCCCACGGCGAAGCTCTAAGATCAGCCAAAGCCGGGGAATTCCTGATCGCTTCATCCCTTCGAGGACCCTCTCATCAAACACTGTCGAAAAGTTTCGCACCAGCAAGTCGCCGCACGAGTTGACCATACCTGAGAAACTCCTCCGTCACAATTCAGCCACTGAGGATGCCTTTTCTAACCATCGGAGAGTTGTGGCAACCAGCACCTTCGATTTTAACACACGATCGCGCTCAGATAGAGCAGCAAGTCGGAACAGAGGTACGACTATCCATGATCTTATGTCTTGCAGAAATGCTAACTTGATTGTTCAGTAGGCAACGTCCTTGGTCCTGTCAACACCAACGCAGGTCACGGCCGAGATAGACAATTCAGCCTTGGCTCAATATGGGCCGTTGGTGGTCTCGCCCCGCCCGCAGAGACAGCAGTTAACAACGGCCGTGGCCATTTGATGAGGAGTGGAACAAACGCCAGACTCTTCCGGACCTCATTCCCCACCATCAAGCCGAAAGTCGAGGAGGAACTTGAGAGACACGAAGCCCGACTGGCAACTGCCTTGGGGCTTGATCGCGCGGCCCGAGTTTTGGACGTCAACATCATTCCCCACCAAAGCGAAAGCAAAGAGAAAAGGTCCAACAAATCACACACACAATGGAATGGAACAGAGTGGGTCAAGGAAGGATCGTTTCCAAGTGAGTATTGCAGAGTAATGCTAAGAGAGGACGCATTGGCTAACTTGGTTCAGAGCAGCAGAAAAAGAAACAAGAGAACAGATCATTGCCCGCCGCTCCTTTCAAGTATGTGGTCCCGTCCGTCCATGTCTTAGATCATGCTAACGTACTGTAGGGTCCTCGATGCCCCCAACTTACGAGACGATTTTTACTGCTCAATCCTGTCCTATTCTGCCACTTGTCGGACTCTAGCTGTCGGCCTGGGTGACCTTCTTTACGGCTGGTCAGAGTCCCGCGGAGTTCGGCTGCTCAATGCCGGAACCCAAGATGACTGCCATTTAACCAGTGTTGCTTTTTCTTCGACAGATGGCCACAAAGCTATTTTGGCATACGGTCGGTCTAACAAAACTTTAGGACTGATGTCTTTGCTCGACGATGCAGATCCCGCAACCTCGCGTGCTGCCCCAACTCCGCGTTTTGAGGTTCTTCATCCTTCACCTATTGCTTGCTTGAGTTGGAAACCATCATGCACCATGCGGCCCTCAAGCTGTCCGTCAAAACCCGGCGTGCTCGTTGCCACTGAGGATTTGCTAGTGGGAGATGAGGCAGGCCGCGTTTGGTACTATTCTGTTGAATGGCCGGACAGATGGGAAGTTGAGCGACACAACTGGCAAGGACAGCTGACGCTTCTCGCTCGCATCGACGTACACTCTCAACAGATTTGTGGCCTATCCTGGTCCCCCGCCGGCGATCGCTTCGCGACAGGAGGAAATGACAACCTGTGTTGTCTGTTCGAAACGCAAAAGGTTTTAGACATGAACTACGCACGCCGTAACATGGGACGCGTACGGCACACTGAAGTATCGCACCACTCTCATACGCAAGGAGATTCGGAGAGTTCGTCAGCGACAGAGGTCGCGACAGAGATTCGTACAACCCCAAGGCCCGCCAGCGTGATTCCAGTTCTCAAGCCAGGAGACGAAAGGTATAGGTGGATGCATAGGGCTGCAGTCAAAGCAATTGCCTTTTGTCCGTGGCAGGAGGGATTGGTGGCAACTGGAGGCGGATCAAACGATAAGTGCATTCATTTCTTTCATACAACTTCTGGCGCCGCCCTTGCAACTATATCTGTGGCTGCGCAAGTCACAAGTCTGATCTGGTCCACGACCCGACGCGAGATTGCCGCTACCTTTGGCTACGCTCAACCGGAACACTCGGTGCGGATTGCTGTCTTCTCTTGGCCCGACTGCCGCCAAGTTGCTGCTATCCCCTGGGTTGGAGAGCACCGAGCGCTCTATGCAATTCCTTATCCCGGCGGACCTAATGATGCTCGCAAATCCGGGAATAGCGGTGGTAGGGCGCGAGGCTCCAGCCGCACCGCGATGGAAGGCTGCATTATGGTTGCATCGAGCGATAAGAGCGTCAAGTTTCACGAGGTATGGACGGCGGACAAGAAAGCCACAACCGGAGGGGTAGGCATGCTTGGTGGAAGTGATATCTTGGAGAGCTTGGAAGGCATCGATAGAGAAGGTGACGTGATCCGGTGATAAGCAAACGAAACTCTGCCGGACGTCACAAACATGGATGAGATGCGAGGAGGATAAAGTGATAGGGCACGGATGCAATGGTTGGGAATGGGGAAAAGGATTTGAAAGGGGTGATGAGAATGAAGCCAGCATGAGGATGCCTGAAGAACCGACCTGATATTACGATACCCTTCAAGAAGCTAATGGTGTAGTGGGTTCGTATTGGTGTTGGGAACGTGGGGTAGGTAAGAAGCAGCACGTAGTATGCAAGGTCTGGGTGGGAAAAGGATGGGTCAGATTGGGAACAGTATTGAGAACAGTACATACACAGCAAGCAGTAAATTGACGTTTATATCCAAGCCCGCGGGCCTGCCACTGGTGTTTTCAGGGTGCGTTGCTGACATACAAAACTTCCAACTCTCTTGCGTCTCTTGCTAGCTTCATTAAACACGTACCATATCCCAGGACCATTTTTCCATTTCATCCCGCCCAGTCGGCAAACTGATTTCAACTTCATTGTCTAGTTTTGCATCTCTGAAGTTCGGTTTTCCAGTCTCGGGAGAGAGAGCCCTCCCCATGGAGACCACGAGCATAGTGACCATCCTGTTCCCAAAGCCGCCAAAAGCCGGGCATTTATGGGAACCTAGCGAGAAAGGGAAGTATGCTTTCTCCTGGAGAGGTGTGAGATTGTCAAACCGCTCCGGTCGAAACTCAAGAGCGTCAGAACCCCAGACATCGAAGTCACGATGACATGCTTGGACGTTTGCTGAAATTGGAGGTTCAGGGCCAGGGACGGCACGAATACGATAGATGCTGTTGTTGGACGGATAGAGACGAAGACCCTCCTGGAACGCAGGCAAGTGTTAGTGACGGATTCCTATCAAGTTCTGAACTGGGGACGTACCATTGCTAACTTGAGTGCCTCTTTCTCCGTAGCAGCGTTTCCCAAACAATATGGAATGTCCTTGACTCTCTTCTCCAAACTCCACCTATCAAACTGCCTATGATACGCAGTGACGTAGGTAAGCAGGACTACCCGCCACAGTGTCTCGTATTGCGGCATGATCAATCCAAGTGCTTCACTGGGGTCGATATCTTTCCCCGTATCGTTCTCTCCAACGACTGACGTCTTCAGGTTGCCAAAGAGCATACCCAAATCATAGTTTAGATTGTCACAGGTCTTTACCGCCTCGCCATCCTCCTTGCTCTTCAACCACTGCGCATTGATCTCATCAGTGATTCGCTTCACCAAGCTCCTATCAACCTTCTTATCGTCCGCCCCAAACTGCGAAACCAAAACGACAACAAAGCAGAGACATCGGACACACCCCGCCAAGCGAACGCTAGTCCTTCCATCCCTCGCCTTCTCATGCTGAAGGAAGTCCATGGAAACTCCATAAAGCTTCTGCCAATCGGCATTACTCTTGCTAATTGATGCGCTTGCCAACTTGCGGAACTCCTTGTGGACAGTAACCGACGAACTAGTAAGCGACGTGTTGATCCCAAACGCCGCCACCAGACGGGAGTTGGCTAGGGCTCGAAGACGAAGGCGGTCTTCCAGTTCAAGTTTGGGCCCGGCATAGGAGAAGTCGATAATGGAACGGGCGTATTCGACACGTTGGCTGGCCAGTGCTTGGGCTACTGATGCTTTGGAAGCGGAGGTTGAGTCAGGAATCGAGTCGGGAATTGTCAGTAGGGCTTCGGGGTCAGGCGGTCCGATAAGGCGGGCAATCTGGCGGGTGATGAAGATGTTTTGGTTGAAGATCTGGTGCAAGAGGCGGGTTTGGTGGGAGAGGATGTGGTGGAGGCCAAAGGCTAGGAGGAGGAAGAGAAGAGCAACAAAGGCTATTAGCATCTTGGCTGTGGTTCTCGCTGAATATGGGGGAAAGAGCTTGGGCAGAATGGTATCTCCTTGGCGAGGCAGAAGTTCTTTGCTGATGAGGATGAAGGTGGATTTCGGAGTGGGAGATCGAGGTTCATATACCCATCCATCGCCTCATCTTTCACAACATTCCACCCTCTCCTTTCCCTTCGGCCGTCTTCCATTCCGCGCCATGAAGAAACGAAGGACGCGGTTCTCGACATACTCTCCGTTGCATGAGAAGGGTTACTTGCCGCTTGAGGCCCGGCCGTCCGTTTGATTCTGAGGCTGACGAGGAGACATTGCAGTCCTTCCACTTCCAACCATGAATGGGGAAGATTTGGAGGCCCATCCCCATACATATGGAGGCAGTCAACAAGTGCAGAGACATGCCTCTAATATCCCGAAAGCTGATTGCTCCGGAGATAATTATCTCTTTGCCCGGCCGATCAAATTGTCCATTTTAGACGCCTCACATTGTCTTACTTATCGCTGCAAGTTCTAGGTAGACCAAGGTAGCTGATGAAGAAATTGTTACTGTTACGACCTCACAATTGGTTCGAGCCCTGTAGACGTTAAAATGATCGGCCAAAGCTGAGAGATGGGCGAACAAACGGCCTATGAATCCTGTTCAACCAGGAGGCATGCAAGTCTTGGCGCGGGAGAGGCCTACTGCCAGCACACCAAACACTCTGCGTATGCACTACTGAAAAAAGAGTGCTGCCTCCATTGCTACCTGATTCGGGGAAGAGAAGGCTGGCTGTGTGTAACGAGAGTGTTTGCGGCCCAAAAGGAGTTTGAATGCGACATTCAAAGCGTAGTGTCGGCGTCCATGCCTGGTGATGCTGAGGTTGGTATTTGCTTGCTTGGCAGAGGTGACCGACCAAGTTGAGGCGGACAGCTCCTGGACTCAAGGACAACAAGTTTTGAGGCAATAGCCGAAGTCTTTGCGCTTAACATCATAAAGCGGCAAAGGGGACTTGTCACCACTAGGCGTAGTCTCTGTTACATTGACCTCTCTCACCCCCCCCCCCCCCCCCCCCCCCCCGCGCCCCCGCCCCACATTGCATGTGGGTCTCTTCTCACTGCTACCGCAGAAAAGTGTGCCCGCTCGCTGATTGGTGGGTGGTGTGGGGGGTGGGGCGGGCGGGCGGGTTTCGGAGGTCCAGCAGGTTTGAGGTCTGAGACTACACTAGGCGAGTGATTTGATAAGAGCTTAACTTGCCGTCGGTACTATCCCTTTTGTTTTTGCGTACTACTTATTCCACTTAAGGCAGCTGCTGAAAGATATACTGTTTCGTATAGTATTCTGATGAAAAAATGTCCCAATATTTATGCACGTTTACAATTTCCTAAGTCGCTAAGGCCCAGATCAGCTGGCTGCAATTCAGGCTCATGCAGAGGGTTTTCAGCAAGTTTTAAAGGTTTGGTTACAATCCAAATAGATAACCTCTTCTTTGACCAAAGTCGCCTTCCCTCTTTCGTTGACGCCCGTATCTTGTTTCTTCTAGCGCCTTAGTAATGCTCTCTCTACACATGCATTCGCCAAGACACAATATACCAATTAATCTACTGTATCCACCTCTAAGCCAAGTACTAATAGTAATCTGAGTTTCGTCTGCACATTAATACTTTTTGACAGTTTTTTAGTGTTCTGAACAAGAGGTTCCAAACCACTCTTATAGAAGCGTGCAGACACTAGGGATCGATCCATTCTGAAAATGACCTATTTTTACTAAAATTTTCAATTTTCAGAAATTCCTGAATTTTCTAGGACCGTGCACGAGTCCGTGCCCCTATACTCTCCCCCCTTCAATATACCTATCTTTATACTTTTGCAACTATCGATAAGCTTCTTAGTATTACTGCTGTGCCCTCTTTCACGATGCCTCCAGCTTATAACCCTCGTAATAAGGTCGTCTTTAGAGAGTTTATTATTATAAATATCCTTGGCCGATAGACTCAATAAGTAATATGCCGTCACTACAATTAGCGCAATACGGCAAACGTTACTCGAATGCGCGGTTATTTCGATAATTGCGTAGGGTATTAGATAGTTCGTATTAATTAGTAATTTTAAGAACGTAAAGATATATAATATTATGCTATTGCTTTTAATAGTATATAGAAGGATAAGATCAACTAATATGTAATTAAAACCTTCCTTCTTAACGGCTGCCTATTTACTATATTCGAATCGTCCTTTATAAAGGTATTTTTCTATACCCTAGTGCTAGTCTATACTCCTCCCAACGTAGCTAAATTGGTTAATTACTAATTTTCCCTTATTTATATTAGAATAAAGTAGTAGATTATCGAGCGGTATATTATAAACTATATATATATTAACGTATTCTTTGACAAATCTAACGACTATATTAGCTAGCGTATTTTTAATATTTCCTTCCCCCCTTTAGATGAATAATCCTAGTTTTAGTATTATAAAGATATTAGTTCAACCGAGTATATGGTAATAAACTTTATTAGTATCGTTTTTAACGTTTATAATGAAATAGTCGCTAAACTAATTAAAATCAACTCGTTTATTACTGATACTTATAATAGTACCTAGCCTACAATTCAAAAGCTATTAAATGGCCGCTTTAAATCCAACTTTTCTATTTTATATAATTTGCACTCCCTTTAATTATTAATAAAAGACCTGCTCAATTTACTTCCATTTAAAATACTAGCTTAGTAAGTTATTATTATCGTTAATTACTTTCGTACTTCGAAGCTCTAGTTCTTATAGTTATGCGCGTTAATAATTATATACTATAGTAAGGTTGTAGCGCTTCTAGCTAAGTAAACTATTCTCTAAATATTTTCTTTACACTATTAATTAATTAAATCAGTATAATTACCTACCGGGGATTATAATACAAATCTATTATTTTAATCAAACGTATATAAATTACTCTATAAGCCTTCGCAAAGGATGCCCGCTTCTTTAACTAGTATTAAGAAATACTCCGCATTGCCGTTATCGCTAATAATGGGAATAAAACCTAATTAATAAAATTTATATAAATTTTCAAAATTATTGAAAACGTATAATTTTAATATATTTTTAACGTTCTTGAACGCTTTTTAATACTATTTTATAAGGTATAATTAATATTAAAAGCGGATAAAGCGTACGTCGGTTACGGTATTCTATACTAAATTAAAACTTAGAAAGATTAGTTGCATTTTCGTTATTCCCTTATCGCTGCAAATTAGTAGGAATTTAAACCCCTCTATATATTAAAGAGGACTAAATAATTAACTCCTATTAACTAGCTAAACCTCTTTTTATACCTATCTATTATACTAACGAAATTCGAAACTATTTAACCCCCTATTCAAAATATTACCAGCGTAATATTATCCTGCTTAAGAGAGTACATTTATATATTTAATAATATAATAAACGAGTAAGCCATCGCTGACTTTTTTACTTTTAGAAAGCCTAAGGGTATTTACGGTCCGGATAGTAGTCTTTAGAATTATAATAATTTCGATCCTAAATTGTAATTAACTATAGTATAAAATAACCGCTCGCTTATTACACCGCTAACTATATGGATATTTAATATTCTAATGAATAGCGTACTTTATAAGCGAACTTTCTCTACTATAAACTTTTTAGAAATTCCTACCATAACTGATTTACTAATAATAAAATAAGTATAACTACCTTTATTTATATAAACGGCCGTAAGTTTAAAAATTTAGATTAATCCTTTACTAGGTTATCTCCTATACAAAGGGACGAATTACTATGACAAATCAAAGAGTAACTATATAACTATATGTACGTAGACGATCAGATTCAACGCAACGAAGCAGAGTAAGTAGGAGGGTTCAAAACAAGGGTATTACTAAAAAAATAGTTATTAAATTCACCGATTTGCATTTATGCTTATAATCCCAGTAAAACTAGTAAAACTAATAAAATTAGTAAAATTAGGGATTTCTTACGACTCTAGGTAGCTAGTTGAAACCCTAAAACACCCTGATTTACCTATATTTCAGTCACGTGCCCTGAAAAGATGGAAAATATATTCATTTTTACATGAAATTTCTGGAAATTTCTGAAATTTTCTACGTTCAGAAATTTCAGATTGATCCCTAGCAGACACCGCGTGCAGACACCTCGTGCAGACGATAAAATACTTCCTCTCCGCCCTACCCAACTCCACACCCCTCAAGTACTCTTTTTCGTCTGCACGAGCCTAAATTGCAGCTAGCCGATCTGGGCCTAAGGCCCTAAATTGGCTCAAACTTTTCAACTTTTCATAGAAAAGTTTGGAGTTTTTGGTACTTGGGTAACATGAGAGGAGATGTAGGCCGTCGAAGTTGTACTTCAAACTCACAAACTCTTCCAAACTTTTCTGCCAGAAGTAGGGTCCCCCCTACTTCTGAGACCTCGTGAGTTTTAAGCCAAAAAGTTTGGAATCAATTGATTTCATTGGTACTTGGCACTATCTTGGCAGTCTCTTGGCAATTGTAGTCCAAGCTCAAAAAATGGTACATGAGTGAAAAAGTTAGAAAAGATGCAAATGACACTAGCCAAGGCGCTATCGCTACGAAAGGGAAAGCCAGCGCAAATTAATGGCCGTGCCCGCTTGAAGAAGGAAAGCCATTGGTAAAGAACTAGTCATAGCCCTGTTGCAGCCCTATTCGTACATAACATCCCTAAGCACCCTCCTAACTTTTCAATAAAAAGTTTGAGCCGATCAGAGCCCAAAGAACCTATTCGTTAGCGTTCGAAGCGCCTAGTCTAGCCCCGGCATTGGGTATATCGCCTCAACTTAGCGCATCACTAGAAGTAATTTCGGGCGTATCACCAAAACCTCTGCGCTACCTTTTTACTAACGTCCCTTACTTCGTATAATTCGATTGAATGCGCTCGTTGGAATTGAAGTATCCTATCCGATTGATCTCCTCCATCCAAGGCGATTCTTTTTTCACCATGGGGCGGTGTACTTCTCTTCGCATGTTGAAATTCAGCTTTGGCGACAAGGATGGTGACATTGGGAAGACGGAAACTTACACTTGAAAACGACCTGCTTTTTTGCCAGGTGAAATTGGGTGCGCCAAGTCAAAAGGAATGGTACGGCAAGTTAAGCTCTTTGATAAAATCAAGCGAGTGTGGGTGAAGTTGGGCTTCACTCATAACAGGTCAAACAAGCACAATCCACGCACTTCAAAATGCTATCTCAGTTCGTTTCCTCTTCTTCAAGATTTGTTTGGGCTCCTTTCAGTCACATTACATTCACAACAAATACTCAAGTAACTTAAACTCCATCGCTCCTTCTCAAGCGCCTTGCATTTCGGCACCACGTGCCTCCCGTCTCGACAACGAGATGGCCTACTCTTATCACACAAATTCCAAACATGCCGGCCACATGTAACGCCCGGTCAGTACTTTCTTTGACTCAACCAGGTCCTTTGCATTGCCAGAATGGTTTCATCCAAGTCCGTCACCACATAACCCAGCACCATTCACGCGTTGTACTTACCAATACGACACCTCACCTCACCTCACCTCCCTCCCCGTCAAAATCCTCAATTTCCTCGCCCCCCTAGGATGATACCCCAAAAACAACTCCACCAACCCCAAATCCTCCCTCGTCATCCCTTCCTCCACCACCAAATCATCAAACCGCCAAAAGATGTTGCCCAGAGTCGAGTACAGCTCCGCCATCGCCAGCGCCTGGCCCAAGCAGTTCCTGCTTCCTTTGCCAAAGGGGACCATGCACCGCTCCTGCATACGGATTCTTTCTTCATCTTCCCTGGTGTGAGGTATCCATCGCTCTGGGTCAAAGACGGTTGGTTCTTGTCCAGTACCGAAGGCCACGGGGTCGTGGTGCATTAGCCAGGCGGACATGGAGATGGATGTTCCTGGAGGGAGAGGGACGGAGTTGAAGGTGGCGCCGGGGGAGAGGACGAGGCGGGGGAGGTGGCCTGGGAGGCCGGGGTTGAGTCTGGGACGATGTTAGTCTTGGGTGTCAAAGAAGGAAAGATGATGAATAGTGGTAGTGGTGGTGGTAGTTGTCGTGGTTGAGAGGCAGGAGGGGAGTGGCACAGCACCACGTCTGCTCAGGGGTAAAGTAAAAGTCAACATACCTCAACGCTTCCTTAACCACGCCCGTCAGATACGGCAACTTCTCCAAAGCCCGAAGATTGATAGACTCCACATCCGGGAAAGCATCCCGCAACTCCTTCCTCAGTTTACCATAGATCTCCGGGCTGTTGACAACCTCAAAAATAGCCCTCCCGATCGTCGACCCAGTAGTATCAGCGCCCGCCCCCGTCACATTCACCGCGTCCGAAAAGACAATGACATCCGACAACTGCGTCCTAAACTTCCTCCCCTTCACATCCTCATCAGCCAACGGGTCCAGCTCTGGATCAATCATCTCATGAAAGATCGTCCTCCGATCCGGCTTTATTCCCATTTCAATCTCCCCCCGGACTTTCGTCACGGCCACACGCACCGTCTCCAAACTCTCAATCCACTTCTTGAACGGCGGAAATACTGTTATTGTGAACCAATCCGGGATCCAACCGAACAGTGTCATCAAGACCGGAAAAGTCTGGAACCACGGGAACAGCAACTGAACAACCCGTATAGCCTCCTGGTAATCCGACGCGTCGTCTAACTACTCCAGTTGGTTCCAACAGTTGGCGTAGGCGTATTCTGTAATGATATCCACGGCGTAAGCGCGGATGGCGTTGTGCATGTCAAAGATGTTATTCCCAGTTCCCCCCTTCCCCTTCTTATCTCCCTTCGCCTCTGTTGAGCAGGGGGACTCATCATGCTCATAAAGACAAGTCTGAATAATCATCCCGCACAACTTCTCCGTCTTTGTCTTGATGATCTGCTGCTCCAGCTCAAGCACCGACCTGCGAGAGAAGAACGGGTTGAGAGCCGCCCGGCGCACTCGGTGCTCGTCGCTGGACTTGACGGTTAGTAATACCGGGGCGCGGATTGGGGCCCTCCATGGCGTTGTAGAAGTCCGGGTCTTTGGGGTATTTGTAGGAGGAGAAGGAGGAGGAGGAGGAGGAGTAGATCTCGGAGTAGTTGGAGGGGTCGGAGAGGTGCACTTCGGTGGGGGAGATGCGGAGGACGGGGCCTTTGTTTGGGTTTGGGTTCTGAATGTTAGTATGGGCATTGTTTACCGCTGGCCTATTGGGAGGGAGGGTCACAGACACTCAACTCGCCCTTTACGAACGAATTCTTGTTTTTTTTTTGTTTTTTTTGGAAGGTTTCTGGAGAAGGTTTTTGGAAGGGAAACAAACACATACCGTACTTGGCATGCAACTTGGGCAGCACATGCATCAGTTGTCCTTCTCTGATGCCATTGTGGTAGAGGATCGGGAGGTTGGAAATCGACCAAAGGAACGGGCCGGGGACGTGGGAAAGAGGGTGGAAGTATCGGCGACGGATGACGGTGAAGCTGATCCAGGATATGAGGACCAGTGAGGCATATAGCCACCATGGCCCGGAGGGCAGGAGAGTTTCGATTGGGGCCATGATACTCTGAACACCGCGAGAGTTCGTTGAGTATTCTGAGACAAAGACGTGCGTTCTCTCCCTCACTCAGGGAAGAAAGATGAAAGAGGGGGGGGGGGGGGGGGGGGGGGGGGGAAGTGACTGATATCTTTCAGCAAGCCATCATGAGATATGTTCTATCCTCATTCTTCTTATATTTATCCTTTTTTCTTTTTTCTTTTTTTTCCCTCTGCTCAGTCCACCGGATATCAGCACTAACAACCTCCCATTCTCTTCTTGACTTTCCACTTCTGGTCGATATCCCCGAATTCGAGGGAGGCTTGACTAAAGGGGCTACATTCAGCACTGCTACCCACAAGCCCGCCATACATTTCAACAAGGCTGCTAATCTAGCAAAGATCGGCGAATAACGTTACCGCGGGTAGGGGGAAATTTGCTTGGAGTTTTGGGCTTTTGGGGGTTGGGTCTCACTGAGGTCTCCTCCTTTGGTGATGGCGTCGGTGTTGGCTTCAGTCAGCGCACTGCAGTTTGCATGCAGGAGGAAGAATGGAGTGCATTGCACCCACACAGACACCAATCAGTCAGTCATCAACCATCCATCACATCACTCCTTCAACCCGCAGCCAATTGAATAGGAAATTCAGTATTTCATAATTTCACGACTGAAGGATGAGGGAGGATAACGGGCGATTAAGCGCAAGCAAGATAAGACATCATTTACCTTTTAGCGGTATTACAAAAAGTGTTGCAACCAAAGCGAGTAATCCATGATGTCTAAGAGCAGACAGAAACTGCATTCCCTCAAAGTTATCTAGAGTTGGAATTGAGGGAGAACTTTGGCGGATTTCCGACATTCGCTCTCTTGAGGCCTACTTCGATCCGAGGTTTTTAACAACAGTTAAAGGGATTGTAGTATAGTGGTCAGTACTTCTCGTTGTGGTTTCTCGCAACGATCCGAGAGGACCCAGGTTCGATTCCTGGTGATCCCACATTTTTTGGCGCCTCGTGGATCATCATGGCTTTCTTTTTTGATGTTCTGGAATCGGGTACTTTTGTGGTTTCTTTTTTTGGTGTGCTATCTTGTCTATAGTGTTCATGACGGTCTAGATATATAACGTGATTTGATTCGTAGTAAGTGAAGACACATGTCGATACAATCGTTATAAGTATATATACTGAACTACAAACCCTTTGTTCGCGGCAACCAAGATACCGAAAACAAAATAGGCTGTGTTTGTCGTTGACTCGTTTAGATGTTTGCGCATGCGAGTAACAGCTCATTTTTGGCACAGACTTCCTCAGCTGTTTCGTTCCTGGTTCCTGTCGTCGAAATTAGCCTCGAAAATGTTAACAATGTTATTCATACTTTACAGGAAGAGATGCGTGCGCCGGTCTTTAGGCAGTGTCCGTCATCGGACGAAGCGTGCACAATACCTAAATCCGAGAAATAACTGAAAGGTAGACGATGTTCTGCTTCCTAAGAGGACTCGGATGTACCCACTATTCACCATAATAGACAGTGTCTGGAGAAATCAGCAATGAAGTTCAACACCCAGTGACGGCCGAAAACGACAGCCAATAAAAAAAAAGAAAAGCAGGAAAAAATGTAACACCATCACCTGAGCTTGATGATGATGGAAAGTTCTGACAAGAGTGGGATTCGAACCCACGCCCTTTCGGACCACGGAACTCTGAGAGGAGATTAAGGGTTAACCTTAACGTGGCGCCTTAGACCGCTCGGCCATCTTGCCTTGATGAAAGAATTACAACGATTACTGACGTTAAGGACCAGCATTGCAGTATAGCACATGTCTTGGAAAGATGATGCGCCGTCTATGGTTACAGCTCGGTTTGAATCCGTCTGAGAGGTGTGGCTTGTTTGATGAATGACTGCCGAGTGCAAAATGTTTATGGTTGATTGCGGTTTCTGGTCCGGCGGGAGGATGTTGGCATTTGTGAACTGGCAACAGATCCTACTCCTTGATTGATTATTCGAAGATGTTGACATGAAAGCGCATATACTCATTGGTTTCCGACTGCAATGACTCGACGGCAAATTCAACAAGACCACTACTCAAAGATACTGTTAGTAACAACCCACGACTCTCAAAGCAAAAAACCTAAGCGAAAAAAACACACAGAAAAGCGAAACCGAACATCTTTCAATGAAAGCCATGCCGAAAACACCAAAAAAATCCAAAAATTTGGGATTGCCAGGAATCGAACCTGGGTCCCCTCGGATCGCTGTGAGAAACCACAACGAGAAGTACTGACCACTATACTACAATCCCCTTTGTTGAATCGGTCGGCCTGGAGTAGTGACTATGAGCGAACAAGCGGAGGACGGTGAGGACGACGTGGTTCCTACTCGACAATCCTGCTGTAGGCAGGGCTACCGTTTCCAGAACGGATATTGTAGTATAGTGTTCAGGTCGTTCCATGAGTAATCGAAGTTGCAGGTTCGAGGGAGTATTGAGTCCTTGTTCGGAGGCGGCCGACACGACAAGGCGTCATCCTCTTGCCATGATTCTAGGCCGTCCATATCTCATGTCGAGTCGGGCGACGGCAATGAATTAGGCAGTCCGGTGTAAGTGAGCAGCCCCATTGTGACAAAGTCATTCCGATTCAAACACAAAGACGTGTCGACCCAATGGTGTGTGTATGTTGAATTTCGAATTTGAGAAAGATTGAATGACAATCCTGTACCAAAAAGCGCTTGCTGTATAAGCGACCGTTGTACATGATGCGACGCCTCACGCCAATGTGAAATGCAAATACCCATAGATATACCCAGTCCAACAAACGCAAGTTCAAGGAAAATGATGAGAATGTGAGTGAGCGACCCTCCAAAGCCTGCCGTTGATGTTCTTCCCCTGTTGACCTGTTGAGGAAACACATTGCCTGACAAACTTGTGACACTGTCCATGTCCACCGAAAGTGAATGTGTCTTGGGGGATTTCCGTTCAGACTCGCCCCATACTCACTTGAGTATAACGATCAGAAGCACCAAAATGATGATCAATGCCAGGATGATGCCCATCTGCTTTCCCTCCCCGCTGTTGTTTGCTGCCCTCGCAAAGCGCCCGACCCGATCCCTGGCCCGATCCAACGCACTTTGATGCCTATCCACCGCTCGTTCGCTCTCATCCAGCATCATAACTTGACTGTCCAACTCATCGCCAATTTGCATACTCAGCTCGCGCTGCCGTGAGATGCTAGCTCCTAGAGCGTCAAGCTGGGCGTCCTGCTCTTCCAGAATCCGCTGATGATAGGCGTGTACCTGAGTGTTGTCCATGTCTTGCCCATCGATGGTGTCGCGGTAGCCGGCTGAGTCGTCGCCCAAGACGGGGTCATCGCGGTATGGAAGTAGCTGGGAGCGAGCAGACTTGTTGGCGGCAGGGGCTTGGGCTTCGAGGTCACTGTTGGGTGACGAGAAACGGACGGTCTTGGAGGCACGACGCTCTATGGGCGGGGGAGTCGTCGTGGACGTGGCTACGGGTTTCGAGGATTGGGCATGGGCAAAGTCTTCGGCGAGAGAAGGGTCATTGGGTTGGGTGAGTGTTGAGGTGGTAGCAGGCGAAGCGTAGCCGTGGAATTGGGAGGTCAGGTCGTCGAATTGCTTTTGGAGCGAAGACAGGGTATCATTCAGCGTGGAGGCCTTTCTGAATGATGTATCCACGTTAGTGACTACTATTATCAGGAGGCAAAATAGGACAAAGCATACGCTTCGTCGCCGGCTTCTTGGAGACGCTGATGCTCGGCTCGGAGAGATTCAAGACCCTCGCGGAACTGGTCGAGTGATCGGGAGATGTGACCATCTTGAGTGTCACTCGACAGCTTTAATGTCTTGGCCCGTTGTCTTTCGAGAAGTGACAGCTTGATGTGGTCGGCGAGAAGGAGGAGGGCGTTGGGATTCGACATGATGGTTGGCGGTGGCTTGTTTGCGGGCTTCGAGATGCCGCGGTTAATACGCTATCTTATCGTGTATTTAACGACCGAGGTGTTGCGACAGGTCACCAACAAAAGCCGGCAATCCAATGAGCAAAAGGCGCAGGGTATAAGGAGGTCACAAAAGAACAGCTGAACAAAAGGACATGACCGTGATGTTGATGGATGGACGTCTTATCGAGGAGCGAGGTGGTTGAGGAGAGGTTGAGGTTGAGGTAAAGTTGGCGGTTGTTGCAGGAACATCAGCGGGGGTTTCACTAGAGACACAATGCATTCCAGGTTGCAGCGACGGCATGAGGAGCCCCATTACGCACCTGCCCGGGGGGTTCAGGCCTATCGCAGTCTGGGCTCTCCTGCCAAGACACGTTCTGTCTGGCCTCTGGCCAATGCCCGTTGAGAATGGCCCGTGCACTGGGGAAGCACCACAATGGAACTCGAGATCACCCTCGCGCTTGGCTTGTACTTCCGTACAAAATAAAGCCTCCGGGCCTGTCGCCACCACTACCTTTCTTGTAGGCCGCTCACCCCCAATTGGTTCTCATCGGCGAATCCATCTCTCAATACCCACGACATCACGCCCATGGCAGACTCGGGAGCCGGCGTAGCAGAGGTCGGGGCGCAACCCCAGGACCATGCTCTCGCGTCGGCCGTGCCCGGGAATCCCAACACGAACACACACACCATCGCTTCTCCAGTGACGGGTGCGGAGACATTAACTGCTATTCAGGGAGAAGGTGGAGATATCACCCACGGCGGAGGAGGAGGAGAGCTTCCTGCGGCCTTTCCCAAGAGACGTCGCGGTCGTCCTCCCGGTCGCCCAAATAGGACAGTCAAGGAGGATGATTACCAGGAGAATCCGCTGGTCAAGGCGTGGAACGCGGCCAAGGAGGAGCAACCCCTGGCGGCTGTCGCCATCCGAGTCAAAGACGCCCTTACTGCAGACTCTCTTGTCCACGATACCCAAAGGGCCATCTTTAACGACTGTCCCAGCCGCGAATACATCTACTTTGTCAACGGATGGATCACGGCCCGCCACATTGCCTCTCAGCGGCCCAGTTACGTCAACGGTCTGCTCATTCACTCACGCGGCACAGATGCCCCGGTGCAGTGCACCCAGTGTGCTGATCGCCGCACCAAGAATGCCTTGGGTCCCTTCATAGTTTGCCGGATCTTGCCCGGGAGCTTCCACAACAGCTGTTCGAACTGCAAGTGGTTCGACAACACGTCAGCCTGCTCGCTGTATACGGGCCCTACCCCCAACCGAAAGCGCAAAGCCAAGGCCCTTTCAGCTGGACCGAACCCTGAGGAGAACAATAACACCAACGGGACTCCCAGTGTCGGTGCTGATCAGCAACATGTAGCCCCAGACCAGACGGAGATGGCTCACCAGAACCCCCAGTATACGTCCATGCAATTAGGCGTGAGAATGGCGGCCCCAGAGGCGGATATGGAGGGAACTCAGGAACTCCAGGGACTTGGTGACGCCCACGAGTTACAACACCATGACGCAGTGGAAGAGTCTCAGGGCGATCAGCTATCAGCCGGGGATGATGATGACGACGACGATGAAGAGTATGAAAAAAACAACACCCCCGTCTCCTGATACTGTGGTAGCTAACATGTCGTTGTGTGAACAGTAACTCTGTCGACGCTCAGCTTGCCGCTCAGCTTCTTCCCGAGATTCATGGGCACAATGATCACCGGGGCTAGGTACCGTTGAATGACATATATTTCACGCTTCTCGGTTCTTCCTGAACAAACAATACTAGGGATATTTCTAACTGGGTTTGCTTTACGGTTTCCTTCCCACTGGCGCTTTTCGACGTGCAGGAGTTTTTGTTATGGGGTTTGCATTTCTTTCTTTTTTGTTGTTTCCGATCATCTGTCGTATGCTCTGGGATAGATTCGGTAGGGTTATTGACTCCTGGTATTAAACCACGATATCTGTAAGGCGTGGAACGGGGAGGACGTTATGGCATGTATCTGGACGGGTTCATCAACTCACGTCGGCGGGGAAAGAGGAGGATATACGATGTTATGAGGATCATGGACACGATATCTGGAATCCACGGTATCGCTTTTCACATGTGAGTTGGGTGTCAATGTGTCACGTACACTGAGTGTTCACCCTACTCCTTACTCGTTCGACGCACAAATACAACATTCATTCCATTCCCGATTCACCCAAACGAGGAGCCACGAGTTCAACCATTCTTCCACTGGCAAATGAGTTGCCCCAATGTCGCGGTATTCTTTTGTATGTTCAACAATCCTCAAAACTCTGACGATGACAATCCAAACCAGATGGCATTTTATAATTTCTCGACATCCAGTCGTCGGCCAACAATTCGGTACCGAGCCGCTCACAGCCACCCAAAATGGAAAAGACAATCTCCATCAAGCATATTTTCGGTATCTAATCATGGGGAAAGTTTCCGAATCCGGAAACTTGGTGATGACTTCCGTCCCACCGTCCCATGAATTTCCGTCCTTACCGATATCCACGATCGACGGCATCCGGCAAACAAGCCGAAGATCTCCATTGCTATGTTTGGTAGCCGAGATTGGACTTTCTCATCTAGCGCTTAACGCTCATTTACATTTGTCTTCCAGCCCCACTACCAAACATACCATGACCTACCGGTATTCCCAACTTTTGCTTCACTTACTTCGTCAATGACGATGATGTCTCACCCCTCATGAATCACACCGTTAAACAGAAATCAATCTGTAGCCGCTCGTTTTTTTCCTATCACGGGAACCTTTTAACAGCCTCAACCTCGGCTATTAATGCACCGCCATCGGACACCCTTGACTTCCCGGAATTGCAGCTCCAATCCAGTATCACCAGCTTCAATCACCCAAGAATACAACAACAGCAGCTTCACCACAGCTACAACCACAACCCACAACCCACAACCCAACACAGCTTCCACAACCAAACCAACCAACTTCACAGCTACACACCAACAAACACAATCCCCAAAAATGCCCGACTGCGCTCACAAAACATCAGGCAACTCGTGCGGCTGCACCTCCACCGCCCCAGCCGGCGAAACCCTCTGCGCCTGGTGTCGCGACGGACACAAGACCATCGTCAAGAACAACGCGAACAGCGCCATGGAGGATCAGGGACAGGACCAGAACGACGGGAATGTTGGGTTGGAGTTTTGCTGCTCGGGGTGTGGTGCTTCCAAGTACTGAGAGTTTTGAAAGGGTTTGGACTTGAAGTCGTGAATGGAAGATGGCCCAGGCCAGGAACTGGTGGATGGGAAATGCTGTGCGGAGAGAGAGAGGGGAGACGGAGAGAGAGAGAGAGAGGGAGAGGGGGAGAGAGAGAGAGAGAGAGAGAGAGAGAGAGAGAGAGAGAGAGAGATATGGGGAATTGAATGAAGGGCAGGAAGATGGTGGGATTTGGAGAAGTGGTGTGAGAAAGGGAAAAGGGGGATAGCGGAAGGGTAATAGGCTAGTGTAGGACTGGAATATGGAAGCAGAAGGGAAAGAAAGTGCGAGAGAGAAAAGACCGGCGGGATGAAGGTCATTTGGTACTAGAGGTAGCGACAGCAGCATCTTAAGAAGGAAAAAAAAGAATACATTGAGCGATCCACTACCTTGGACTCGTCCTTTCATTTCCCCACGTTTCATCTGGCTGGATAGCCCTCTTTTCTTGTTTCGGGCTTTTTGCCTAAGAATTATCTCCTCATGGCTCCCGTCGACTTCTTTACACTCCATGCGGTTGAGAAGAAGCATGGCGATATTGGCGTCTTTGAGAGCACTGTGTTATGATCCAGTCACGGATCACTTATATAAGCAGTACCGGATTAGGATTAGCTAGATAGGTCCCGGAGTCCCGAAAGTACCTACGGGACTACGGGACACCGCCCCCACGGTCCCGGGGTCCCGAGAATACAGGACCACGGGACGGGCTTAAAGACTAGTATATAAGAAGGCCGCTTCCCGGCCTTCGCTATTCGGGTTCTTCAGCAAGCAATAGCTTCTACAATCGATCAATACCTTTTGGCTACTACTACCGCTGTTCCTATTCCCAGCGATATACTCCTGTGCTTGTAACGGTTCGTCACACACTGGTGTAAACTAGCAAGGAAGGGAAGGTTAGATGATCTCAATTATCAAAGAGGAATACCTTTTGGTACCTACCCCTTCTTACAATAACATCAAAAGCTCTTCTGCCCAATCCTGGATCCGGACGCTGGATTGTACTCGCAAGAAGCATCGAGGGCAGGAGGGGACGGAGGTCCTACACACACTGGGTCGTGCCAAGCACCAGGGTTAGGGTCAGTATACATACGATCTTTGTTTACTACCCCTGAGCAATACGAGGACTCCAAGACGTTGTAGCAAAAGACCATTTGAGCTGGCCTCCTCGTTGGTATAACATCAAAATGTTAGTTTCATTGGTAGTGGGCTAATATTGATGTTTCTGGAGAATACAGCTGGAGGTGGTCCGTGGGCTTGCTTAAGGATTCCGACTCTCGTTAAGGCAGGTACGATGCGGTGTCAAGGGTGTTCATCTGAAGTCTTTCACTTTGGAAGGAACACTCAAGCAAATGTTTAGGGCAAGGTTAAACACTTAAAAATGGCAGTCACATTATCCAACCAACCGACCTATCACCTACCTCGCTCCACACAAACGACATCACTTCCCAACCCCCTCCTAATAATCATAATCCCTCCTCCACCCACCCTTCGTATCACTATGCCACGCGCACTTCTCCCCCGCATAAACGCACATATTCCCATCATCCTGCACCACCAACCGCGCATCCGTCCCGGAACCAGCCGTCTCACTCTGCCACTTAACCTTCTGCTTCTCCTCCACGCCCACGCACAGATTCCCATCGGCCGTGATCCATACCGAATTCGAATTTGCCGCGCCCTTGGCCCGCCACATGATATCGCCCCGGCGCGCCGACCCGTGGCTGTGATCCGTGTTACAGATGAGCGCGAACTCGCCCTTGTTGTTGAAGCGCGCCAGGTACTCGCCGCTGTTGCTGGTCAGAATGTGCTCGGGCTTCATGGTGAAACCGGGGCGGAGGGTGTCGCCGAAGGAGCTGGGCCGCACCGGGGAGAGACAGGACTCCAGGTCGGTGATCCACCAGGCGACGTAGTCGGCACGGTAGCTGAGGTCGACGGCGCGGATGTAGGCGGATGCGCGGTCGTCGAGGATGAAGCGGGGAGGGTCGAGTCTGTCACGACCGCCGCCGCCGCCGTGGCTGCCGCTGTATTGGGGTGGCTTGTACTGGCGGTTGGAAGAGCGCCAGATCATGCCATTGGTCTCGCCGCGGACCTCGAGGACGTGGTCTTGGCCGAATTCGAGGTAATGTGCGTCTGTGAGTCTGGTGTCATCGTTGGTGAAATAGTAGACGCTGGTGTTGAAACGAGTGTTGCGGATGCGGAGGTTTCCGGAGGGAAGGAGGGAGAGCTCGTGGTCGCCGTTGTCGGAGAGCAGGTTCTGACCGATGACGAGAATCTCGCCGGGCTTGAGCTGCGAGATCCTCTTGCCCGAGAATCCGGCAAAGGAGCGACCACTGGTCCAGATCAGGTCATTCGGCCAGCCGGAGCCGTAGAGCTTCAGGTTGCCGTTGCCGCTGAGGATTAGACTGCCGTTTGTGTCACGGCGGAAGAAGCGCTCCCTGTCATCATCTTCGAAATGCATGGCAAACTTGTCGACGTTGTTGGAGGGCTGCCAAATCTTGGTTCCGTTGGCACCCCAGAGGATCACGTCATCGTTGTAGCCGACGGTCAGCTTCGTATCGGTTTCCTTCCGGGGGTTGGTGGAGATGATGATGAAGTCTCCTGTCTTGGTGTAGCGAACAACAAACTGGCCGTTTTCATCCAGCGTTGCGGTCATATCGCCGTTGCTGGAGGTGATAGACTGACCGGCAGCCAAGTACTGTCCAGGGCTGATTTTGTCACCGGATGTGACAGGGGAGAACTGCGTAAGATGTTAGTCTACTATAATTTCTTAAAAGCACTATTGGCCGAGGACTTACATCACGGGGTTCGTATGTTTGTGCCGAGCCTCCATTGACGGCCCAGGTGGTGATTCCGTCGAGCTTCAGCACCGCAGCACCGTCGTCTTGGACGATCAGTTCGCAATCACCTCCGGTGCGTCTGTATCTTGTTCGAGAAGACCACCGGGAACCCTGGTCATCATCGAATGTTGTCAAGTTGCCGTCGCTAGTCAACAGAAGCCAGCCTCCACGTCCGTAGGTACGACCGCCTGAAGCCCACCTGGATTCGCCGCCCTCATAGAGAACAAAGTTGCCGTCGCTCTGGAAGGTGAGAGTGAACTTGCCATTGGGGGAAGTGAGCACCTCTCCTGCTAGAAGTCTCTCACCGCCCTTGATGCGGTCTCTCTTTGCCTCAGGTAGCTCCGGGCCCGTCTTCGACGACCAGACGATCTGACCGTCAGTCGAGATAACCATATTGCCGTCATCTCTGACCGCAAAGAATGAGTTGCTGTTGCCTCTGCCAGCAGTGCCAGTTACCCATTTCTGAGAGCCTGACCATGTAAGCAGTTCCAACTCTCCGTCTCCACGGAAGACGAGCTTCTCTCCAGGAATGCCAGCAGTCTTGCCTCTGGCCCAGATCGGACCCTTATTCTTCTTGTAGAGGACCAGATTGTCGTCAGCCTGCATGATCAGGGTGTACTCGCCGCTGGGAGAGGATATGCGTTGGTCCTTGGTCAACTCCTCGCCAGCATTGAGACGGTCCTTGGCTCCCACTGTAGGGTCCGCCGGCTTCTCCGGCTCCTTCTGTGCCGTGTTGGTGGCCCAGATCTGATTTCCGTTGGAGGAGAGGACGACATTGCCATCGTCTTGCACAGTCAACAAGGAGCTAGCATCGCCCTTACCCCCGGTATGGCTTGACCATACTTGTCCGTTGTTGTCGTCGAAAAGCCTGAGATTGCCGTCGTCTTGCAAGAGGCCCCTAGCAGCCTTGCGATAAGAACTGGCGGTATCAGTGCTCCAAAGTACCCGGCGGAAAGACACGTCGGAGAGGACAAAGTTGCCATCGTCTTGGAAGACAAGTTCGTATTTGCCGTTCTTGGACTTGACAGAGCTGCCGGGTTCGATGATGTCGCCGGCCTTGAAGGAGTCCTGTGTTTTCCATGAGTAAAGGGCGTCTAAAACCGAGGGCATCACAAAGCTTACCATGATGTAAGTGATATTCGGTGGTGACTGCTGTGATAAGGAAGACAGATGTTCAAAGAGCACGGGGAAGATGATGATTCAAATTGAGCTTCCGTTTTGTTTACTCCCTACCTACCTGGCTGTCCCTTCCTTATATACTTGTACTTCTCTCTCTTGGGTCTCACAATACCTACCGATGATGGTCTTAAGCCGTAGGCCTCCAACGTAGAGCTGTCGCCGCCGGGGTGACCCCTAACAACAAAACGTCCGACTATTGACTCGGGCAGACCGAGGACACCGTCTCAACTGCACAGCTGGTGACTTCAAGCCACTCGGTTGTAAGTCTTGCACCATCCTTCTCAAGGAAACCCTCGGCACATGTTGATGATAGCTTGAACAGCCCAAACTCCAAAGAGGGAGCAGTGAGCACCCACAATGTGGGGTATACAGGGCAGTGTTGAGAGGAATGGAATGGATTATTGAGGTCTGGTGAGGTCTGGACCCGACCTTGAGTTGCGGCTGAGAGACCTTGTGCCGGCTTTAAGACTAGCGAAGTCAGGGTTCAGCTCCTTTTCCACGTGGGTTGGTTCAATTCAGCCCGCAGCAAATCGATAGCGTTGATTGACATCGTCTCATTCGATTCTTGGAGGCAGCCGGAATGGGGAAAAGCGACGGTGGGATTGGATCAAAAGACGAAGACTTCCTCGCACTCGGCTTTTCGGTTTGTGACGTTGAGGTTGTTGAACGAGGGTTGGATCTGGCACATGTTCGGATGGAGGTAATATCGTTGTATAAGGAGGATAGAGGCTATCTGAAGGGAGGCATGGCTCTGGCTAATTGCATGGCACTCGCTTAACTGCATCTTAGCTCGCTGATAAGCTCAAAGGTCAATAGTCTGCGTCATCGATCATCACGTGGTAGCGTGTGCCTGGATCGCGTTTCGCAGGGGCATACAACCCAGACCGTTATCGCCTTTCTCCATTACGTTATCGCCCCTGTTCTCGACGAGGAGGTCCTCTTACGCCAGGCAATTCGGCAGACAAATCCAAAATAAGAAAACAGTTTCATACATAAAAATCACGATACAGAGCATCCGTATAGTTACCCTGCCGTCTCTCCATTCAGCACAAAGACAAGCTTCCTCCGAGCACCGGCGGCGCACCGAGTATCGCGGCGACAAAGGCCGACACCAACTAGCTTCGATCCATGCTATAACTCTACAACATACACAAACCCCGAAACGAGTTGAAGTTGTCGCTGCCAGATCATCGTCAAGATGACGGTCCAGGACGCCGTCGACGCCTCCGAACACTACGAAATCTACAACACCGACGACATTCCCTCCCTCTACACCATAATCATCGACACCAACCCGCGCGCCTGGGCCGCCCTCAACGATGTCCTCCCGCTCACCAAAGCGCTCGCCAACATCCTAATATTCGTCAACTCCCACTTAGCCTTCAACAATTCCAACCAAGTAGCCCTCATAGCATCACACACCAACCGAGCAGTATGGCTCTACCCAACCGCTCCCGACCAAAACCCCGACCGAAAACCGATAAATCCGAACGAAGACGTCGAAATGCGCGACGTCTCCTTCACAAGTAAACAACAACCACCACCGCCCGCAAACAAATACCCCCTCTTCGCCCAAATAGAGCGCTCCCTCCTCTCCTCCCTGCGGTCTCTCATAACCGCCACCACAACCGACGACATCGCCTCCACAACCACCACGCAAATCTCCGGCGCCCTGACCCTCGCCCTCTCGCACATCAACAAAACCGCCCTCCTCTTCGCCCCCACAAACAACTCCACCGGCCCAACCTCCTCCTCCGGCGGCGGCGGCGGCAAGCCCTCGGTCTCCACAACCTCGGGCGCCGGCCCAGGCGGCGGCAACGCAGCCTCCCTCCCCGGCGTGGGCGGGGGCGGGCTCGCCGGTCTGCACGCCCGCATACTAGTGGTGAGCGTAAGCGACAGCTCCCCCTCGCAGTACATCCCGACGATGAACGCCGTGTTCGCGGCGGCGCACGCGCGCATTGCCATTGACACGCTGGCGCTGCGGGGCAGCGCGACGTTCCTCCAGCAGGCGAGCTACATCACGCGCGGCACGTTCATCCGGGCGCAGGAGCCGAGAGGGTTGCTGCAGTACCTCATGTTTGGGTTTGGAAGCGGGAGCGCGCCGCAGGGGTTGGCGGCGGCGGGGAATCAGCGGTCTGGTCAGCAGCAGCATGGGGGCAACAAGAAAGAGGATAAGGCGAACGAGAAGGCTGTTGCGGCTAAGGGAGGGGGCAACAAGCATGGGGGCAAGTTCCTGGGGAGTAATGCCAGCGTGGCGGATTTGTTGGTCACGCCTAGTGCGGACTCGGTGGATTTCCGGGCGGCGTGTTTCTGTCATCGGAACGTGATTGATACGGGGTTTGTGTGCAGTATTTGCTTGAGCATCTTTTGCGAGGTGCCGGAGGGCGGGGAGTGTTTGACGTGCGGGACCAAGTTGGCGTTGGGGAATTATGGGAGGAGGATACCTATGCTGCCTTCGAAAGCGGCTGCTGGAGGGGGACAACAGCTGCAGCAACAGGCTAATGGGAATGGAAAGGTGCAGCAGGTATAGGAATCGAGCACACAGAAGTCGATTAAATGGGTTTCAGAAACGTGGGATAATATCCTTTGTCCTTGGTGGGAGAGCCTGACAGACAGAGACAGACAGAGGCACTGCAGACCAAAGACGGTCGAGACGGAGGAGGTGAAGCCTAAGTGACTGGAAAGCCTGTCAAAATCTGACAGAAAAGGCTTGGAGAACCATATATACACTCATAGAGAGCTTTGACATGCACAGCTAATACACATATAGCTAAAGCAGCTTCTATGGCAAACATCATTGTATTGAACATAGACTGCCTTCCCATGGGATTCACCCCAAAGTTACCTGTCACCAACAACATCCTGCATTCATGTCCATCGTTATACCACATTGTCTCCTCTCACCCTAAGGTATCCATACCCGAACACATTTGTTCAAGCCATCCGCTCACAACTCACAACTCATCATCACTCTCAGTCTCACTCCCCTCATCCACAGCGGCAGCGGCAGCAGCAGCAGGCTGAGACGCTCTCGTAGCCGTCGCTCCCGCCCTTTTGGTATGAGAAACCGGCGGCGTTGGCGTCTCCTTTCCCTTCCCCTTTCCTGCAGCAGCAGCCGTCGTCGTCGTCGTCTTTGATGATGCCACTGCCGTGGCGCCTTGTCGTCTAGCAGGTGGCGGTGGTGAAGGAGGCGGGCCAACATCGAGATCCTTCTCCCCGGCTTCTACAGTCTCATCCTCCTCGTCGGGTTCACTGGCTGTTTCGTCGTCATCGTCGTTGTCACGGTCTGGGGTGTTGCGATCGGAGGTTTTGTTGTTGCCGCTTTCGCCTTCCTCATCTTCGTCCTCTGCATCGGTATCTTCGTTGTCGAGGGTTTTGCTAGAGGATGATTGCCCCATGGTGGTCTTGGATGAGGGTTCCGAAGGCTCTGGTCCTGGCTCGTCGTCGACATCCATCTTTTCGAATTCTGCGTCGTCGTCGTCGTCGTCGTCTGATGATACGTCTTTGGTAGCCTTTCGTTTTCCTGGTCTGGAAACACGGGCTGTCCTTGTGTTTGTTTTTGCTTTTGTCGCTGATCCTGTTCCGCGCCCTCCTATCCTTCCGATCTTGGCGCCGCCATCTTCTTCTTCTTCTTCTTCTTCTTCTTCTTCTTCTTCTTCTTCTTCTTCTTCTTCTTCTTCCTCCTCTTCGTCATCCAGTGGATTTTCCGAGTCAACGTTAACTTTACTCCTCGCACTCTCAATCACGGAAGAGAGCCTCTCCTGTGAATCCGGCCTTGGTCTCGCTCTACTACTCAACGCCTGCTGCTGCTGACGGATCCTGGCCTTCTTCTCATTCAACAGCGCCCTAAACTTCTGCAGCAGCTCGGTCTCTTGGTCAACTTTCGACTGCGTGAGTTCCTCCAACTGAGCCTTCAAATCGGCCACACGGGCCTCGAGATCGGCGACCTGCACGGCGGAGGTGGATACCGAAGTGAGGGCGGTCTGGCGGGAGATGGCGAGTTGCGAACACCAGTCGAAGAGCTGGATCTCGGAGGAGGGGGAGTGGATAAGGGTTAGGGCGCCTAGTCGTTGGTTGATGCCGGCTATGCGCCGACGGATGGTGATGGTGATGGACTTTTTCTTGCTGCCCTTGGGGGAGTCCACTTCGGCGCCTGCTTCGATGCCTTCTACTGGCGAGGCTGTTATGAAGAGGGAGGAGAGGATGGATTCCCATTCTGTGGGGGAGCAGGAGGAGGTGCTGGAGCGGAGGTCGTTGATGTGGTCATGTTTTACTGGGATGTATGTGTTAGTCAAGGGGTCGAGATCATGTAGTTTTCCTTAATTAACTGAGATTTATTCCTTTTACAAATGTCACTTCAAGAACCAGACTTTGATAGAACGCATCATGGCTTTGCGATGGCTAGGTACCACTCAAAGTTATGCACCACCAACATGAGCACGGCAGGGTAAGATGCCCCTGCATAATAATTCCATGCTGCGGCGGACATAATGAATGCATAAACCCTTAAATACCTCCTAAACAGCGAAAATAACGACGAGATTCCAGGGTACTTACGCGTGAGCGCATACGGTTCTTCACCCTCCGTAGCAACGATCTTGAGATTCAGCGGTTTCGATCCCCTCGCGGATGACCCTCCTGAGTGGGTAACCTCGCCCAGAATGAAGTCATCCTCCTGATCGGTATCGGTCCGGGGGATACGGATAATGGTTGACGAGGATGAAGTCATGTTTGTGTGGCTTGCGCAATAGTGTTATGAGTGAGACTTTTATATAATGATGTAAAAAGGTGGGATACAGAAGAGGGGGACTGGGGGAAAGATGGGATCGCCGTCTCCGGTTTATGCAGGCTGTATGTGTGTCAAACGTCACGATCCGCGATCCGCGTTGACGTCGCCTTGGTCTCCGGTCGTTGGGGTCCCAGGTTCCGCCCTATGGGTGGATTAATCGACCTAGATCGGACGAGCTGGAAAGGGGGACAGTGTAAGTGTACAAGCGGATGGTCTACCTCAGATGAAACAAAAGCTGATGAGATGAGATTGGGGGATATTGGTGATTTCTGCGCTTATGCTGCACGTAATGGTCTCGGAATGATATAATCCACCGTTCTAAACCCTTTGACTCGGAGATGGCGACGAATCGGAGTCGGACGTCACGAAGGTGTGACGGTGTGACGGTGAGCGATTGTGGAAAGAAGGTCAGATTCTCCAACAGAAACGGAGGGCGACTGCACTGCACTCTGCACTGACGGCCCGCACCCAGCAATTCTCGAGTGATGACGGGATGCGGGGAAGTGGAAACAGCTGCACGGAATGGACGGGAGCGCGTGTTGACGTTGTTGTCTGTTCTTGGAAACGCTTGACTGGGGCTCAGCTGGACGGGAGTCGTCGATGATGGTAGGTAGCACCAACAACGATGCTATTTCCGTTTGCCGTGTCGGATATCGTCAGGAGGATGTCTCAAAGGGAAGAGTTCCGGCGTGCGCAGCCGAAACAGGAAGGGTGTTGCGTGTTTGTGAGGTCAACGGAAGTGAAGAGACAAAACAAAAACAATAAGGCACCTCGTATATGAATTTCATATGTGAATTGCGAGCCATAGTTTTCTGTAGGCAACAACATCAAAGAGCCCCATCGCAGTCTATCGATTGGGTCCAAGGCAGCAGTGCCCTTGAAAGAAATAGTGACAGGAAACAATAACAGAACCCACCAAACCGTTCAGTCCAGTCGCCCTGCATATGATGAAACCCAGAGTTCCAAGATATCTTCAACCTATAAAAGTCTTTTTGAACTCTTCCCTTCAAGTGTGAAGAACCCGGTGAAGAATCAAGCCAATTGCCAAGGGGCGCCATGCAAGAAGTCACATTAGCGGCCGGCCGGCAACACGCAGCAGCACCTGGCAGTGCGGGGATCTGTCCGCTCTTCAGATTCCCGTTCGCGTTCCTGACGCGGTCCACCGCAAACAAGGCTAGACCGTTCGTATCATTACTCCCGCGATACGCCTGAATACGCTGAATACGTTGTGCGATGCGGCGGGTTTGATAATGTTACAAGAGTCTTACATTACTCGCCCTGAACTGGAACCTTGATGGAGTTGGAGCCAAAGCCCCGGGGGGTTGAAGAAGATGCACATGGTATGTACATGGGCAACCCGATTCGAGATTCATTGGGTGGTTGGTTAAAAAGATGCATCGATGGATGAAATTTCCTTCATTTTAAAATCGCGCACAGAGTCATGTCATGTGTTACAGTCTATACGGTATTGGCTTTGATCTTGAAGTGTGTTCTAGCCGTACCTAGACTTTGTAAATTCCCATGTGTCTCGCACCGCAAATGTTGAAATTGATCGCGGAGCCGGCTGGGCGGTTGACGGATGGCTAGCGTTTCGCACGAACACTGGCAATCAAAGCGCGCCCCTTGTCCTTGCTGTCCCTGCCACCTTTTCAGCCAAAACACCCGACCTCCCAACCCCGTTCTGCGCACGCTTTGCTTGGCACTTCAAAGTCCTTCAGGAGGCTGTTTGGTCGTTGTTAGAGAGAGGCTGCAGAGGCCTGCGCTAACCCTGGCACGGGCCTTGGTTTGGAAAGCTTGGCTTGTTCCAACTTTGGGCGTCACCCACGCGCATCCAGCCAGGCACGACGCCAGGCTCAGGGCCACCTTCCATCTCTTTTCCTCCAGTCTCCACTCCCCGACCACTCGTGCTTTCTCACACTGCGACCACGACCACGACCACGACCCTGGACCATCCGTCCCGACTGCACGACTGCGGTTCCCTGCTCCCGTTGACTTTTCCAGCCATTCATTCATTCATTCAATTCAGGACATTCCATTCAGGCAGTGTTGGAGTGCTGCCACTCATTCAGGTGCTGGGTGAATGAATGCTCCAGCCTTCCGTTTCTCCATCTCAACCAATTCGTTCCTCAGTTTCATTCACAACCTGCCCGTCCACCCAACAACAATCTCTACGACTCGTCAACCACATAAACCTACCACCTGTTGAACATAGGTTATCCATTGCAATTACTAGCTGGCCCACTCGATCAATATCCTCTACGGCAGTTATCAATACACACACGGCGCATTCGTCTATCGATAGAGCATTTACCCGATTCTGGTACTTTCCTTACCATTACGCTTACGACTTTCACGCCCCTCATTGTCAGATCCTGTTCGTCGCAACTGAACTCTGCCGCACCTGAGCAGCAACGACAACAACAACATCCCCCTCGTGAACCAACATATCACACAACCCACCCGCCAACAACCAACTCGCCTACTTCGCCCTTTTATCATCATCATCCACCGTTCCCGCCCTGCATCCGGACACCAACGCCCTGGTCGCATCGCGCCAACGCTAATCACTCTGCTCATCCCGGCTGCTTGGAATATCACCCGATAGGTATTCCAACTTAGCATCAACAAGGATTCGGCCATCGCATTGCCCGTGTAAAGGGGGACCAGGTGGAATCCTCGCCGGGGCTTCGGGATAGTGATCGGCGGCCCCAGGGTCTTGGGTGACGACTATGAATCCTCACCACTGACTAGATCGCTGTCGTCACTCCACGTCGCAAAACGTCCCCATTTAACACCTTTCAGAGGGACACACCCCCGAAACTACCACCAATACCCATTGACCGCACATCACAACGTGGACCTTGTCCTGCAGGACCACACGACACCGCCGGCAATGGAGACCCTACGACTAAAGACTCGGCCACCGGTCGAAGACGATATTGAAAACTGGGACGATGATGATTTCCTCATCGAGGGCGACGACTTCAGCATCCAGAGCCACTCCACCACCGCCAACGCTCATCCCCATCGCCGCGATTCTCACTCGTCCTTCCGGTCCGATTTCGAATCCATCCATGGAGAGGAGGAAAAGCAGGTTCACCTGCCAGGAGATGATGAAAAGTCAACGTTGGATGCTCTAGCTGCGGCTGAGAGGGCTGGCATTCCACTACCGAAAAACGTACCCCCCTCAGCCCTTATGGGGGGCACCATCAAGAGACTTGGTGGTAGGAAAATCAGAAAGATTATTCAGGAGGATTGGGTTGATGATTTGGAGTTCCCTTCCGATGCCGGCCAGCTGCAGATCAAGAAACGGGATAGTTCGCAATTCCCAGAGGCCATACGGCAGGTTAGCGGCTTGTTCCAACCACGTCCACAGCCGGCGCGCAGAACCAGCGGCTCTTTTTCAGGCCGCCTGGAGCCTGTGCGGAAAACCAGCGGTTCGTTCGGCCGTCCGGAGGCCATGCGCAAAACGAGTAACACGTTCCCAGGCCGCGCCTTGCCCCCGCAGAAACTCACCGTTAAGCCTATGGACGTCCAAGTCAGGAAGGCATCCCGCCCGTCGCTTACTTCAACTGGCCTTATCGACTTGGAACGCTTTCGGGATATGGATGATGACAATGATTTCTTTGGGGATGGGACTGAGACTATCAAAGTGAAGAAGAGGCGCAACACCCTAAAGCCCATCACCTTTATAACGCCTGCCACTCCTCTAAAAGTCACTCCGGATGAGGACGACTTCGAACACGATTTTGAGCTCCCGATGGATGGGACTCTTCGACTCTCGAACCGAAGAGAGACCCCTAAGCTTCCGACCCTCAACACCTCGGATGACTCCGAGTGGGGTGAAGGAAGTCTTGGAACTCGCTTTGGCGGTACCCGTCGCGATGCCTTCTCAACCTCATCTGTGTCGGCCTTCAGTCCCAGCATAGCAAGTTCTACTGTAGCAGAAAGTGAAGACGAATTCGATGGCATCATCCTGCCCCCTGGACCACTCAACTGGGAGGAGCGACTGCACCGTCGCCAGCAAAGCACGTCTCCAGAACGGATTCCGGAAGAACCAGTTATTGTGGAAAGAGTACAGAAGAAAGATAGAGAGGAGCAAGAAGACTTCCTCTCTGGACTTGATATTGGAGATGGGGAGGTATTCGACTCCAAGAAGTTGACCTTACATCGTAACATCAAGGTCAAGGACACAAGGGGTGATAGCCCAAATCGACCCAAAACTTCGGTGGCTCTCAAGTTCACCAACAAGCCCGTGGCTGCTTCTCGTCTTCCACGACCTATGGGGTCGATGGGGTTGTTAGTGAGCCATGAGCGAACTCAAACACAGTCTTCGCTCGAGCCTGTGTGTGAGACGGGAGAAACAGTGACGAGAAGCTCTTCGCGACGATCACTGACACGCTCGGGACATCATTCTCAGGCTTCCATCACAAGTGTCATGTCCTCAGGGGCATCGCAGCCCGCGCCGTCTACAACAACCACACGTAGGAACATGGCACAGAAGACGACTACAACATCACAAAAGGCTGAGCCTACTACTACAAATGCTCAGCTTCTCCGCATGAAGCGATCGGTGCCTGGTCTTCGGCCTCAAAACCAGGCACGACCAACAACAACACGCAACTACGAGCGCCCCCCATCTCGGACCGAGGCAACTCGGGCGCAGAATTCTGTACGACCAAAGACACCAGTGGAGCGAGTGCGAAATATGGAAAGCACTGTCACCACAGGCCGGAAGGGCTCCGTCCCCTCGGTTACCCCTTTCTTGCCGGCTGGAGCATCGTCATCCCAATCGTATAATGTCAATGCCACCAGGAATACACGGAACTTGCGTCGACATGAATCTGAGGGCGGTATCGATTATCGGCCTATCTCCCGAGGAACCTACTCCCGGGCCTCCAACAAGCGCTCGCCCAGCCCGCGCAAGCACAGATCCGTCGATTTCACGGCTGCCGAAGGCAACTGGAAGCAGCTTAACAAGCCGTTCCGGGTTAGGAACTTTGGAGACGGCCACGAACTGGACGGATTTGACGATCTTCCCACTTCCACCCAGGCGGAGGCCAAGTATTTGAGGCAACCTGTTAACACTGGACCCAAGGCCCAAGCCCGGAATAGGCTCTACCAGAACATCGCCCCCAACGATCGGAATAACGTTACGCCCTCGCCTCCCGTCACGTCGCGGCCCCCGACCCGGTTCAACGATTCCAACGTCCCCAGTTTCGCTCGTGATACCGCCGCGAGCCGAAGAGCCCGGGAATCCTGCCTGGCCCAGCGCAACGTTTCTGGACAACTTGCTCCACTCACGGCCCAACGCGTCGCGCAGCTGTCAACCAACAGAGGTAACCTTCACCAATCAACCCCATCAGCACCACCCCAGGCGACCATGAAGTCTTCCAGGAAGCTGCGCAAAACTCCCCAGCTGAAGCCGCACCTCATCTCAAACTTGAATCCCCCAAAGGACTCAAAGAGTGAGTGCCTGATAAAATGATTTCATAAAACATATCAATGCTAACTTTGTTCGTCACAGTTGTTAAGGGCATGTGCTACAATCCAGAGACGTTTCGGTGGGAAGGGAACGACAATGTGCTGCGGGCGTTTGAGGCGCCGGCATCATCACCGTCGACGGCATCAGTAAAGGTGCAGCATGTCGTGCGCGAGAGGGAGAGCGCGACGCCGCGCCCGGCTCTGATTACCAACATTGGGACGACCAAGGGCGTCCAGGTGGTCAAGGGGATGGTGTTTGATCCACAGAACATGTGTTGGCTCAAGTTGGGTCCGCAAAACGACAAGGCAGCAGAGCGTGGACGGTCGAAGAACGGATCCGTATCGGAGGCGATGGATGACGAGGAGGATGTGTTCAAGGATATTCCCGATTTGGAGGACCATACGATCACCTCCACGGATGGGGGTGGCGGCAGGACCAGCGACGTCAAGGATGACTGGCTGGTTGGCGAGGAGTTCGATGTTGGGCCAGAGTTTGTGCGTCGGCAGCGCGAGGAGGAAGAAAGATGGAGGAAAAAGTGTCAGGCGTGGGCGACGGGGAGGTCGCAGCGTGGTGAGGCGTGGAAATGGGCTATTCGTGATATTGTCAATGGGACGGTGGAAAACTAAAGGATACCCCCTTTTTTTCTTGTCGGTCGGTCGGTCTGGTTGGTTTAGGTTGGGATGGGATTTTTGTCTATCGCGTTATTGGCAGGCGGTCGGTCGTCAGGCGGTTGTTCGGTTAAAGGAAAGGTTTTATGATGCTATGATGACTTTTTTCTCTTATTTTCATTTCATTCCATACCCGATATGAACTTTTTCTTGCTTCTTCTTCTTCCGTCTTCGATGGGGTTTCAAAATCATATATAGTATAATCTTGTGTGATGCTGAGATTTGGCCCTCTGGATTGGGGGGCTACACCAGCAATGACAGTTATGACTACAGTTGTATATTGTACTATAGTACTGGGGAGGGGGCGGCAGGTGAGAGGCAGATGGGGAAGTTGAATGGTGGCGGATGTGGAAGCGAATGAGGAAGAGAAGGTACGCGGTGGTGGCTAGGAAGATGGTAGATGGTGAGAAAACAAGGACCGTGAAAGGGACGAATATGAGCAAAGAGGTAGGCCATAGTCCTCAGAGTCATGGATGGATTGGCTATAGATGATGGGGTTGGAAGACAGCGGCATATAATAGCAAGCACTGGGCGACCAGTATTGTTTGGACATGTAGTTGTTTCTGAGATATCATCAATCAAAATCGATGGCAGCAGTAACTTGACTGCTAAGCAAACACCTATGAGAGATTCGAGAATCATGAAGCGGGATTATTGACGTGAGCAGTAGTACAACTGGTCAAACAACTGCAAAGAGCTTCCATCCTTGAACATCCCAAAATTTAAAAAGCTACCTTGTTCGCAGTTTCAAGCTCTCCTTCAACCCACAGGCCATTCGCTGCTTCAGTTGCAAAACAGGTCACAGGGGGCCAGGATTCTTGGCTCGCGGTTGCAGGCTGGAAGTCAAGAGAAGCATCTCCGATAAGATAAGAAAGCTTCGACCCCACTTTCATCTTCTCCCCTGTCCGCCAGACCCCACCACCCCGGTCCCCTCCGCCGTCACGGAGGGGAGCTGTGCCAGACTGCCAGGAGCACTGACGTTGTCCGATAGGTAGCACCACCAACCGAAACACCAACAACCACCTCGAGATCAATCAACATCCCGTCGCGAACCACCACACCACACAATTATCTGTCGTAGTCATCACGGCGACGAATACCATAAACGACAGTAGCTTTGCGCGCGAACCAAAAGCTCCATCCCAGCCTTGTTTGCGACAAACATAACAACCTAACACTACCTTTACGTACGAATCGCAACAGCCAGCTACTTGCTGCCCGCCCATCACAATGGCCACCGAAGTAGCCTTCGCCAAAACCTTCTTGGCTATCCTGGACACCAAGCCAACCAAGATCTCGGCCGATCACGTTGAAGACCCGAGGACGTATCCTGCTAGTACTCCTGTGAGTTTTTGTTGTCTAATCCCAGTGCCTTCCTTACCTCCCCCATAACTCCCACTGCATCCATCCCCCCTTCCCTTCCCTCCCCTCCCCTCAACCCATCAAATCAACACCAGCTAACTTCCATTTCTTCCCAAAAACAGTTCACCCTCCCCCCCCACCCCTCCCTCCGCCCCTTCCGCAAGCCGTCGTCCTCCTCTCGCGCCGCCCCCGCCCCGGGCTCTACCCCCGCCTCCGCTTCCACCACCTCTTCCACCGGCACCACCACCCCCGGCGCCTCCTCCCCCTCCGCCACCTCCACCGGCCCGACAGTAACAGTGCACATCCGCTCCCCCCGCAACCCCACCCTCTCCCTCACCCTCCCCACCCCTCAACCTCTGGCAACCACCTCGATCCTAGACATCAAGACCTTCGTCTCTGAAGAGACGGGTATACCCGTGGAGAAGCTGAAGGTGTTGTTCAACAAGAAGCCTGTTGGTGATGTCAAGTCTCTTAAGGAAGTTTTGGGGGGAGCGACGGTTCCCGAAAATGGAGAAGTGGAACTCAGTTTGATGGTGATGGGTGGGCAGGCGACGTATGATTCTGAGGAGGCTAGGGCTGCTAGGGAGGCTAGGCAAGTTGCGAAGGCTGCTGCGGAGGGTGTAAAGGGGGGTGAGGCGCCGGAGGTGCCGGAGGTGGAGATGAAGGAGGCAGAGACAGAAGCAGAGACAGGAACAACAACTGGGGAGGCAGCAGCGGGACCGGTAGCGCAAGGACTCAGTGGCGTGGCGGTGCTGGACACGGAAGAGTTCTGGGACGATCTGAAGGGGTATTTGCAGCAGCGGATAAGGGACGAGAAGGCTGCGGAGGAGGTGTTGGGGAAGTTTAGGGGGGCTTGGGGTGGGAGGTCTTAGGAGGTTTCCCTGCTCCTGGGCTAGTCAGTTAGGGGTTGAAGAAGGAGGGTATGAAATGAGGGGACCATGGATAGAGAGGAGTAATGGAAGGGGTTGGAGTTGGTAAAAGTGAGGTGGTAGTAGAGCGTTATATGGTCAACTTGAGGAAGTAATATCGATTTTTATTCATGGTGACTTGTAGGGAAATATGCGTCTTTGAGAGACCTGTTAGAGACCGACAGGAGTGATGTGAAGGGTGTGGGTGGAAGGGAAGTGGTGAAGTGGTGAAGTGATCAATGTACAAGCAACAAAACGGGGCTGTTAGTACTGTAGCTGGGGAAGATCGAGTGTTGCAGAAGTTGCCCATGTGAGCTATGATGAGGAAGAACAGCTACGACAAATATACCTTTTCAAGTATCCCAATGGGTACACCCATGACAACCTGGTTGGTGAACATGAATGTACTCAAAGTACAGATCAACTCATTAGGTAGAAGAGAGGCTTCGCCCTCTCTTCAGATCTGGCAGACATCGATCGATCCACCGATCCATCCCCGATAGGATCTAGGAGACCGACATTGTCACTGCTAATATACATACGTACGCAACGAGCAACATGACATGACATGACAACCTTGCACGGCTAGACTCTGAATCATCAGGTATTCAACTTTTTGTTCCATAGACTCTACTACCCTGATAGCGTACCTAAACATAAGACATCAAAACTGAACTCCTCGCAAGTAAAAACAGAGCAGAGCATCTGATCTCTCCATAATGATGAGAAGAATGTAGTGGGTGTATGTGACTAAGGTAGTGGTTGTAGTGGGAAGTAAAATAGTAGTAGTGTGTGGTTTATATTGTCATTACAACAACGACGACAGCAACAGCAACTGCGACATCTTTCGACAACGCAACGCGACGCGACGCGCAACAATTCATCTCTCTTCTCGCTCTGTGTTCTTAATACGATTATGGAAAAATCTAAGCGGCAGCACCCTTGCTCACGGTCTTGATAATCTCTTCGTACTCGATGGCGTCCTGCTCGTTGGCCTGGAGCTCGACAGCGATACCGTTGAGGGTGCGCTTGAGGGCCTCCTTGGAAGAGGCGTAGACCATCTTGGACTGTTATTTTTGGGAGAGTCAGTTACTCGCTTCGGTAGATATAAAAAGAGTCGGGAGAAAAAAACAAGAAGAACGCACCTTGATGCTAGCATCATCAGGGGACCAGGCGATAAAGGTGACCTTGTTGCGGGAACCCTCGCCAGAAGCAAGCTTGTACTCGAAATCGTAGACGGCATATCGGGGACCCTTGCCAACGGCGCCCTGCAACGGTGTGTTCATTAGCGATCAGCGCTCTGCCAGGAATGTTGGGTTTCTTCATATAGTCCACGGATGGGAAACGCCACGGCAGGGGGTGATATGTCTTGGCAGTCCCCTGTGTCTAGCCGCCATTTTGTGTAAGAACCCCTCAGTTCCAAGACCCCTCCTCCCGTCTCCCCCCTTATTCCTTTCCAGGCGGGAGAATAAACAAGACAATATTCGCCCGCAATGGATAAGGGATTAAGAAGTGAGGGTGGGTGGATAGGTGGATGGTGGTGGTTTCGGGGTCCGTATAGTTCTCTTTCGCATTATGGGCTGGATTGGGCTGGGAGTCGGTTGCGACACTGGCAGCAACCAGTCACCAGGGAAAAAAGACCTACAGTAGCGCTCTTAGTCTGGGCGTTGACGAGCTTCTCGCGGAACTCGTCGTAGTTCTCGGTGGCGCCCTCGCTGGTGCTCTCGATGACGATCTCCTTGAAGTCGTCAGAAAGCTTGTAGATGATGTACCTGAGCTGACGGGCCATCAGCCTGTCGAAAGTCCTCCGGCACTCGGGGTCGACGTTAACTCTGTAGAGTGACGCAAGCAGAGCACGTTAGCTATTCTGGGTTCTTCCATGTGTTCTCTGTTGTTGCTGTTGTTGCTGTCTTTTGCAGGTCCCGCTCCCAATGTCCCAACGCGCTAGCTACCCGCCACCAGATGCAACTCTGTCGCTGCTGCGTGATATAGGATGGGGGATTTCGAGATAATGGGCTGGCTGCATCGCGGCAACGGGCGGGCAACGGGCGGGCAAGGCGGCGATAGGGTAGCGTCAGGTTGTTGCGGTTCCCGGACCATCGGTGAGGATGATCCAGGGGGGCAAGCAAAATGGCGGGGAGGGGGTGAGATGTAGCAAGTTCACGGAGGACCAACCCAGATTGAGACTGCGACAAGGCAAAGAAGTCAGCGCCATGTTGAACAAGCAAGGCGAGGGGGTCGCGCGCGCGGGGAACAGGAGAGAATGATTTACCATGATGTCAGATTTGTGTTGTGGTGGTTTGTATTAAAAAGTCGACGACGACGGGTGAACCGATCGCGAGAATGGGGGGCGGGCGTTATATGTGGAGAGGGGAGCCGAAAGCTGGATGGCGCGGGAAGGTTGTCAGTCAGTCGGGTCGGGTCAGCACAACAGGGACGGTAGAAAAGGCAGTCGGGGGGCGGAGCGAGGCGAGGGGTAGCAACATGGAAACTCGAACTGGAAAAGGCGGACTGGACTGTAGACTGGAGCACACGGCGGCAAGGCTACAATTCGACCTCGCTGGCGAATACGTACGTACGATTAGGAAGAGTGCTATGGGAGATGGTTTGTATGTAAAGTGGAAAGGTAGAGAAACGGGAGTTGTCAACACGAGGAAAGCAAGGACGGGGAAGAGCAACGGGGACCGGGAAGAGCTCTTGGAAGAGACCTGAACTTGAGGTTGGGAGCCTGACGCGAAAGGAGCGAGGGGTTTCCCACCGTCAGCCAGCAGCCAGCAGCCAGGCAGAGAGAGGCCAGGGCACCGCCGAATGCCACCATTCGCTGACCAGCACCGGCCACTGGGCACCGCTCGGAATGGGCACTGGATGGGCAAAGCAGGGCAGCTGCTGGCCAGTGAACAGCATTGTGGACTCCGTCACTTTGGGTGTGGGCTCCCGTCCAACAGGCGGACGGAGAGGGACGGTGCAGAGTGGATCCCGCTCGACGTCGCTCGGGTCTTGCCTGGGTTTGATACCGGTGGTAACTCCCGTCTTGAGGTGGACGACGCCGGCGTGATAGTAGTAAGTAGTAATTACTTACCGTCTATGAGAAGAAGGGTTCCCGTTGCGTGAGTAGTGTACCTTTTTGTCATCATACCTCATAAGTAAGCTCTTTGAGTGGTCTCAGCGAGGTGTCTGCGTCATTCACGAGCTACATCATCAGCCCCAGCTCCCCGAAAGCTGTGATAATACTGAACGGAGCAGGGGGGTGCCGAAGAACGACGAACAACATGTGAGATTACGTTTCACCACCCGGGAAATGAGCATGTCGTCTTTTACACTCTCTCTTATAACGGTCATACGGTAATGAAATTGGATGGAGAGCTGGATGGAGAGGTTGAGGTGGATGTCGATGGAGGGGGGAGCCACCGCCTGGAATATGAGATGGTGGGGTTACTTGGTATTCCGTCGACTTCAGGTCTCGTCGTCGTTGTCCATTCCGTTCTGTTGTCACTGCGTGAAACAAAACGGCGGCCACGCGGCGTGCACGCCGTACACGCACACCTCACCGTTGACAGCGTTGACAGCTTTGACAGCGACGGGGAGACTGCCACCTGGTAGAACAGTCCCACTACACTAAAAGCATGTTTACTTGGCGCCGTTTCAGTGTTGCAACATGCAATTTCTGTCCCACCTCGAATTCGTCAACCTGTCAGCCACCACCATGATTGGTCCGAGCTTCCTCCACATCGACTTCATCCAATTCACAACGCGTTTCCGAGTTCTGACAACCATCTTGATATCTCACAGCCACCATGATAACGCAAGCTTTGTTCGGACTTTTAGGCTTGAATGTCAGCATGATGGTCTATTGCACTTCGATAAACATCTCTGCCTAGTAACGCATCAGGTCCGCTGAACCCCATTTACAGTTGCCTAAAAGCATGCGTAATGCTCTTTTCCACAACCTCAAAGATCGTATTGGATCCTACTATCTTGATTGCACAGCTTTCACATAGGTAATCAAAGACGAGACAAAAGTAGCAGTATTGTACAGTTTCATTCATTCTCATGATTCGCTCTACTCTAACCCTCCTCTGTGGTCCGTAGATTTATAGTACAAGGGAGCATCATCATCATCCAAACAATGCCCGCCGGAATATGCTAATAAGAACACTGAAGGAAAGGGTAGAGAGGAGAGAAAATTACATGACACACATTTTTACAGTCCGTGATAACACCAAACCCGATGCCCCCCAAACCCATGTTGTCGCCATAAATCAAAGGGAAAAATAAAAAGACACATTTTTCATCTCCTGACCGTGTGATTCACAGTTGTAGTTTGTAATTTCCTTCTCCTTCTTACATCATACCACCCATGCCGCCCATGCCGCCCATGCCACCCATGCCACCCATGGCAGCAGGGCCCTTGTCATCGGCAGCCTCAACAATGGCAACCTCGGTGGTACCGAGGAGGGAGGCGACACCGGAGGCGTCAACGAGACCAGTGCGGACGACCTTGAGGGGGTCAAGGATACCGGCCTGGATCATGTCGACGTACTCGCCCTTGGCGCTGTCGAAGCCCTTGTTGAAGTCGTTGACGAACTCGTCAGTGAGCTTGCCGACAACGACGGAGCCCTCGAGACCGGCGTTCTCAATGATGGTCTTGGCGGGGCGGGTGATGGCATTGCGGACAATGGTGACACCGAGCTGCTGGTCGAAGTTGGCGGGCTTGACGTTCTTGAGGGCGTGGACGGAAGCCTTGATGAGGGCAGTACCACCACCGGGGAGGATACCCTCCTCAACGGCAGCGCGGGTGGCGTTGAGAGCATCGACGAAGCGGTCCTTCTTCTCACCGACCTCGACCTCGGAGGAACCGCCGACCTTGATGACGGCAACACCACCAGAGAGCTTGGCGAGACGCTCCTGGAGCTTCTCCTTCTCGTACTCGGAGGTGGTGGGATCGGCCATGACGCCGCGGATCTGCTCGCAGCGCTGGGCAATGGCGTCCTTGGAGCCCTCACCGTTGAGGATGATGGTGTCCTCCTTGGTGATGGTGATGGAGCCGGTGGAGCCGAGCATGTCGGGGGTGGCCTTCTCGAGCTTGACGTCAAGCTCGTCGGTGAAGACGGTACCGTTGGTCAGGACGGCAATATCGCCGAGGATGGACTTGCGGTTGTCGCCGAAGCCGGGGGCCTTGACGGCGGCGACCTGGAGCTGGCCGCGGAGCTTGTTGAGAATGCAGACGGCAAGAGCCTCACCGTCAATGTCCTCGGCAATGATGACGAGGGGGCGGCGGGTCTGGCTGGAGATCTCGAGGGCGGGGATGATGTCGGAGGCCTGGGAGATCTTCTTCTCGGAGAGGAGGATCAGGGGCTTCTCGAACTCGACCTTCTGGGACTTGGCGTCGGTGATGAAGTAGGGGGAGACGAAGCCGCGGTCGAAGCGCATACCCTCGGTAACCTCGAGCTCGTCGTAGAGAGTCTTGCCCTCCTTGCAGGTGATGACACCCTCCTTGCCGACCTTCTCCATGGCGGAGGCAATCAGCTCACCAATGTGCTTGTCACCGTTGGCGGAGATGGTGGCGACCTGGGCAACCTCCTCGGAGGTGGTAACATCGCGCTTGTTGGCCTGGAGGTACTCGACGACGGCCTCGACGGCAGCCTGGATACCGCGGCGGAGATCCATGGGGTTGCAGCCGGCGGCGACGTTCTTGACGGTCTCGGAGAAGATGGCGCGGGCGAGGACGGTGGCAGAGGTGGTACCGTCACCGGCGACCTCGTTGGTCTTGCCGGCGACCTCCTGGATGAGACGGGCACCGAGGTTCTCGAACTTGTCCTTCAGGGTGATGGACTTGGCAACGGTGACACCATCTGTTGACCGGGGGGTTAGCCTCTTTGACACAACACCTTCGGCATAGTATACTAACCCTTGGTGATCTTGGGGGAGCCGAAGCTGGACTCGATGAGGACATTGCGACCCTTGGGACCGAGAGTGGTAGCGACGGCCTTAGCGAGGGTCTCGACACCGGCGAGAAGGGCGGCACGGCCCTCAACACCGAACTTGAGCTCCTGTATAGCGGGCGGGAGTTGTCAGTATGCGCCAATTGTCATCCGATAGTCATGACGGCATGGCCGGGTATCAGATTAGAAGCGCCGACGTACCTTGTGAGCAAAGCGGAGCTGCTGGGAAGGAAGGCGAGTGGCCGCCTTGCCGACGGAGGCTCTGGTCAACGCGCGCTGCATCTTGGGGGTATTGTGTGAAGAAACGAAACTACAAACAGAGAAAAAGAAGTATCACTGGGGTATCACGGTCGACTTCAGGGAAAAGAGAGCAAAGGAAAGCTAAGATCGCGGACTGCCGAAAGAACTGGGGAAAAAAAGAGCGGCCGTGGGCGTGTCGGCGTCGAAAAAAATGCTAGACTTAAACATCTCGAATGGCCCGAGCTCCCCGCTGCCGCTAGGTCGCTTGTGGGTTAGCGGCTTGCTGCTTTCCCTCGATTTCCGCTGCTGTCGCTGTTTCTGGAACCATCCGCACCCCACCATTCGCTGCTGCCAACAGCGGGCATCATTCCCCCTCATTCATCACGGCCACTCGGTGTTTTATGTCGCGCAGCATATCGATGATCGGATCAGAGGTCCTGAGTTGACAAAACACCCAATTTCGAGATTCACACTCTCTTTTCTTGACTGTCAACTGCCTCGAGACTGTTGGATCGGATTGATCACAAATTGGCCAATTCAGACATTGAGACATTGTTGGCTGGTGAGTAATCGGTACGATCCTCTGACGTCCATGCATTTCCATGTCAACAAAGTCGCTCCTCTTCCCCGGGGAAGCACCTCGCTCTCGGCAGGCAATCCCCAGAGTTACCCGGCAACCGCGGTCTTGGCAAAATTAAGCGCATTGTAAAGCCGACCGTCTCCTCCCAGTTGAGCCTCAACACCGGCTTCCACGACTCGGCATCCCCGGCATCATCGGCGCCAGCAGTCACAGGTCGAAACCCTCCGAATCAACTCCTATCTTCGGCACAACCGGTAGCGGCAGTAGTGGAAGCCGAAAGCGCAATGACCGGCCGAACCGAAGCTGGGACTGGGAGTCGTCTCGGTCTCTCACAGCTTTCCCATCACATTGACACCACTTCTTCATCCCGACCTTGTTGGTATTTATCATTTCCTTCTCCGCCAACTTGATCGCGGCGAGTGTCTGCCATTTGACGGCTACATATTCTCTCGGGTCTGGACAACTTTAAATTCATGGTCTATTCACCAATCCCTGTCCAGCCCACCTATGCCCGTCTGCTTTTCTTCTTGATCACCATCAACCATGTTGGAGCAGAAGACTAGACTGCGATCTGGCATGTGATTGTGTTTTTCTTTATTGATCTTCTTTGCGTCTCCATATTCGCGTTATGATGCGGACTCTATTTTTGCAACTGGTATTAAGGCTCGACGATTGAGATCACTTTATTCCCGCTATTGGACACTGGAAAAGTCAACTACTGTTCGATGCTCGGTTATCAGGGCACGAACAAGATTTTGCAGTATGATGCTCCTTTCGGTATAACACGTCCCTAACATATAAATTGAGGAGCCAATCACAAGCCTTCATTCCAACCTTTCTTCTCAACTAGAAGACCACTCATTAAAGATAGTCTCTTTGAACGCCTGTTACGCCGTACTCACTCACTTCGAAAATTACACTTCAACTTCTGCTTATTGATTAAAGTGGCTTCGCAAATCACTGACTATTACCATAGATCTCACCGGTCTGTTAGGATGCCTTCAAACTCCGTTTCAATGACTTCACCTTGCACTTTCCCTCAGTCCTTTTCTGTCTTAATATCACATGTACATTTTTGCTCTACTCTACTGCTTTCCCCCTCAGTTGCGAAACCGTCATATTAATTTTTTAATATTAGCGTTGCCAGTACCGATCTCGATCGTCCAGTTTCACATCTAACGTCGAAATAGATGACTCCATTGCAGTTAGGCAGACACTCTCTTATACCACCTCTAGGGCTCAAATTTTCATTCCTCATGCTTGTTTTTTTTTTTTCGCATTGATCGTAATGCTATCGTTCAAATCGCGTCGCTTTGATTTTTCAGGTGTTTGGACTCTTTTTCAACTTTCGTCAGCTACCCGAGATATAGGAACGACATGACGAACCGGACTCGACGCCGTCATATCAAGCATACCCTATGCGATTACACTCACGAGACATTCACGTATGCTTTTTGACGAACGGAGTTGTTTGTAAGTACGTCTCATTGACTTTGAGCTCTAAACTATGATGCCAGCTCCGGGTACCTGATTTTCCAGTTTTAAGTGCAGGATAGAAAGCTAACGTGAACCCGTAGATCACAAACTTTCCACCACACCGCACCCTATATGACCTGAAATGACGAACGCAACAGTCTCAGCAAGATATTCGCGGTGACCTCCAACGCCACTAAAGCTCCAATTCCACTTAGCACCAGAATTTCCGCAACACCTTCAAATGCTCAGCTTGAACCTCCACCATTGTCCACCATCTCTTCGCCTAAGGAAGCAAAGTCCTTCGTCAACCGACGACATGTTCGCGAGAGCAACGTTGGCCCTGGCTACCATGCTTTACCGATGTCTGTCATAGCGCGCCCACCGCTGTTCAAACCCCTTAATGCCAAGCCCTGCCTTGATGGTTTCTCTGCCAATATGTGTTGTGTAATAAGACGACAAAGATCGGCAAAGAATCCGCAAGGAAATCAAAGAGAAACAGAAGAGTAAAGAGCTGGCTCTTCCCTCTGGTATAAAAACCTCAGTTTGTGTGAGTAGTCTTGTCATCCACGATGTCTGACGACACACTAGGATGAACAAACCACGCCACAACAACCGCAAAGAGAAAAAGACAGCAAAGAAAACCGAAGGAATGAAATGATTGAAATCCGCCACAAGGAATCCCAGACTTATTGGCGGGTGAGGGGCAACGCTCATATCAAGCATGCTTCGCCCTCTTGGAAGGCGACTGCTCACGCTCATTGTCATCGTCATCCGGCTCAGACTGAAAGTCAAACATGTGGCCGCCCTTGCTGGACGCGCGGTTCTGGCCCAAAAACGGATCCTGGGACCGACCCTGTTGGCTCAAGGCGTGGGAGTACTGACTGTCCTGACCGTGACCGCCGTGGCTGCTGCTGTCTTGAGTTGACTGATAATTCCCACCTCCGGAATGCAGAGCACTGGCAAAGTTGTAAAAGTCGGGCCGCATCAAGGGGGCCTTACCCACCCGGGCGTCAGAAGCGCCACTCAGACCCAGGGGAGAGCGGGGATCGCTGAAGAATGGCTCGCCGTTGTCGTCACCATCGAAGGCATCGGCGTCGCGCATGAGGTTGGTGATGGGAGGGAGACGATATTCGTTTCTGGTGTAGCCGTTGTTGTTCGTCTTGCGCGCTGGAGCGGGCTTGGGGGGAGAATCGAGGCCCTCGAACTATGGGGGAAACGGGTCAACAAACAGGCTAGATGGTAGTGTTGGAGGAGGGTGAGTTTGGGAACTTACATCAGCATCTTCGCCCTCGTCCTCAAACTGAGGGACATACGAACGGACACGACCATTACCGTTGCCGGCACCACCACCAGCACCAGAAGCCTGGCCATCATTCTCCGAGTCATACCGCAAGTAATACTCATCGGCCTCAGCGCCGTAATCCTCAGCTTCGCCCTCATCATCAGCAACATCAGCTTCGCCCTGTTGATACTCAACAGACTGATGTGGCGCGCCATAGCCCTCCATGTCATCGTCATCCTCTTCAGCATAGGTGGAGCGAGCAGTCATCTGCTTCCTAGCCCTAGCCGACCGGCGACTGGCCGACTTGGGAACCTTCTTAGCACCCGGGCGGTACTCCTCATCGGAATCAAGGTCGGCCGGGTCAGGCGAAGGCTCGCGTTTGATTTTGACAAGGCCACGAGCGCTACCACGGCTGGCTCTCATGCGCCCACCACCACCACCACCACTACCGCCAGAGCTGCCATCACCAATAGGACCGACGCCCGCAAAGATACCACCACCACGAGGGGTGCTACGAGGGGTACCAGCGCCGCTTCCACCGCCGTAGCTCGGACCATTATTACCTCCTCCTCCTCCTCCCCTACCAAAGTTCTCCACAGCATCCGGCAAGTTAAACTTCCTATCCTCCATCGGCTCATCAAACCGGACGGCCCGGGTCGTCAGCTGGTCATCGGGATTCTCCTGGTTGGCGCGGACGTAGCCGCGGATGTGCGGGTCGACGAAGACGCGCGAACCCGGTTTCTGGCAGATGGGCGGGACCAAGTGGCCCTCGGCGATCAGGTGGCTGCGTAAGCGGTTGAGGTGCTGGTGGATGGCGCTTCCCGTTGAGCCTGGGTGCAGGCGGTGGGCGATGGAGTCCCAGGGGATGTCGACGCGGTAGCGGCTGCATTCGTATTGGATGTGGAGGAGGAGTTTTTCGGCCATGCGCGGGCCTAAATGGGAAAGGGAGAGATGGAGGGGTTAGTGGTTACGGTTTGGGATATGTTTGGTTGGGCACCCGCGCGAAAGTGTTGGGCGGGGCGGGGTGGTGAGGAAGTTGGAGGGGGGAGGGTATGCTACTCACGGCTCCAGGTGATCAAGTTTCTGCCTTCGACGCGACCATTCTTCTTGCGCTCTTCGTGGCTCGGGGGAAGGTAGGTGAAGTTCCACTCCTTCGCTGGGGTGCTCTCGTTCTTCTTTGCGCCGCCGCCGCCGGCGGCAGGTCTAGAGGGGGTCGAGGGACCGGCGAAAGCGTTGCTAGAGGCGGAGTTGACGCGGGCATGATGAGACTTCACCGCGGGTGACTGGCCCAGCTTGGTGGGCGACTTTCTTGTGCCACCCATCTTGGTATTTGTTCTTGGGATGGTTGTCTTTGCTTCGTCTTGGTCGGGTAGCTTGGCCTGCCTTTTGAAGATCAAAGGATGGGGCTATTCCCTCTTTTTTGCCGGAGTGTCGACCCGTTTGGTTGCTGCGACTGCAAAGACTGGAGGTGAACAAGATCAGCTTTGGTCCGCTCACTGACTGTCAGATCAAAACAACAGGTGGTTTGGGTGTGATCTCGATATTTCCAGAAGATGGGAGTTAGGTCCAGAGTGAGGGAGAAGTCAAAGTTGTTTGACGAACTCCCACAAAGAAGGCGACTTGCGACGATGATGATGTGATTCGAAGCAAGAAATATCGGCGTCAACACGACGAAGTGAGGTGGAAGTCGGTGATGACACTCCATCAACCGGCAAGATAAAAACTGTTCTTCCTGTGAAGGGGTACTCGTTGACTTACCCTAGCGCAAAAGTGAGCCGATGGTGATGTTATACCGCACTCGACGGGTTGCTGCCTCGGATTTCAGAGCAGGGTGAAAGAGAGAGCAGGAGGTGAGGTCAAGTTGAAAGATAAAGATATACCCGAGGGGTAGATTAAGGAGTGAGTGGGTCACTTCCTGGTCAAGATTCGCTCAATAAGTTCTTGGCAGCTGCCAAATTCACCGTCTGATATCTTTTCAGGTGCTCGTCGAGCTGTTATTGGACCGCGGGGTATAAGTTCAGGTGAAGGTTGTCGAAAGGCGGAAGGGAAACCTTGGGTTCCTAGGGCAACGAACGGGAGATGGGACAACTTCCTTTTTCACTGTGCGAGGTTTGGACAATCGGATGCGAAAGGTATGTCACCTCGATATTCGTTCACTTGTCTGTTGACTTGAGGTCAAATTGAAGCTGCGATTTCTCAGCACCCGGTCGGAGGAGCAGTGCTTTTGTCATCGTCTACTTCGCAGGCTTTTTGTTTATGACATTTGGACGGAGAAGTACATGACTGAAAGAGCGCTCCGTATTGGAATGAGCCTTTCACTTGCTGGTTACTCACTCCGCAATGTTACAGGCGTCAAGTGGCGGTACGAGATGTATAGCATTCCTCTTTAAAGAGTTATACTTCGACAAGATCTGACACATGGCTGGGTTATCACTGACATATCTGTTTTCTTCCTTCAGTTAACACGATTCAGCGGACAGGATACTTGATGTATCGGACCTTTCGGCATGGACCGCATTCCAGAAACAGTCTCGGAAGACAAGCCTCAAGGAAAGTACTCCAGATGGACCTGTATCTAGAGGTACTCGAGACGTGAAAGAAACCGGGCAAACCGTCTGTCTTGGTGGGAGACATGAGACTGTGGGTATTACATCCAGATATGTAAGTGGCTTTGGCGTTTTCTTATTCTAGGGGAAGTTATATCGGAGCCAAGTAAGAGTTGGTGTGAGCAACTCGCAAATATTGTGATTTGTAACCCGGCATCGGTTTTTCTCAAAGCTGAATGAGTCCTTTCTATAGAACACTTTGGTATCTCAAACACAACGTAGCAATTCAAAGCTCCAGAGTATTAAATGAAGAGAAAACCTACTTGGACTCCAAGGTTTTCCTAGGCATACACAAAGTTGCAGCTCTAGGGTAAGTGCGCACAGGCAAGCCTTGGAGTCAGCGCTAGAGATAACTCAAATATGCTTGGCAAATATAAATAAATATAAATATAATTCAATTCAAGTATAGGTCGTACTTACTCGTCGCAACTCAAGTAAAGCTTTATATTTACTTACCGATTTGCCCGCCTTTCTTAGCACCCGGCAAAATCCTTAAGTTAGGGTTCAAAGTACAAAAACACATGATTTTTACCCCTAAAAGATCGACCCACCCTAACCCTTAAGTATACCAATCGGCTACCCAAAATGTTATGTATATTCTAATTGCTAATACCTAATGTATATAGCCGCTCAAACTACTTAAATTAAAAAAAATTCTAGTATTTTTAAATTATATACTAAATTGAGCATTTTGAAGTAATATCGCCAACCTTCTCTCCTAATTAGCTCAACGCTACTAAATTAAACGCTATCGCACTCAATTATATTTAATTGTATTCGATAATTATTAGTTTCTTCTCTACCCTACTACCGATTAGTATTAACCTCTATTTAGCACTATTAGTACCGTTATAATACTTATCGTTTAAAACCGTAATAAAGCTTCTTCGACCGTAAGTAACCCGCCGACTGTCTCTCTTAATAATTCGCCCGCGTACGTCGCCGTAATAAAAGCGTTAAAAAATAAGTGTTACCTCCCTTTAATTAAATAATTCGACCTATTGAAAGAAGTTTATATCAACGATTTACTTACTAATAACTTCGTTTAGCCGAAGGTTAAAATTAAAGGGGAATATTTTATATTAGAAGGCTAGTTAGATTTTTAGGCTAAACAGTCTTTATAAATTCTTAAATATAATATTTTCCTAATTAAAATAGATAATAACGTTAACGTTTAAGCGTACTAGTATTATAAAATATACTAGAACCTTTACGTTCTACGGGTAATTAACTTTTATATTATTTATTTCTATTGCGAATCTAATATTAGAAAACCCGTTAGTAAGGAAATTACGGAGAAATAAGCGCGTAAAAAGGTTAAATTGGTCGTAAATATATTTTAATAACTTTTCCTCCCTATTATAAGACCGATTAGCGATAAATTTTGTAAATTATTAGTAGAAATAATTATTAATACGAAGTTCCTATATTCTTTTATCGAGAATAATACTTTTAAAGAATTATTAAAGTTAATAATTAGTAATATAATTAATAAACTATTATTGAAATCGTACTATATATTCGTTATTTAGATTTAGAATAAATATATCGTCTACTTTAATAAATTGAAAGAGCGTTTAATTAATAGCTACTTTAAGAAATATATTTCCTTTAATTTCTAAACTTCGCTAAATAGGCTCGTAATATTTTCAATATGTATCTATTATATTAATTACTCCCGTACCCTTAAAAATAACCTAATAGGTCTTTAAGAAGTCCGTAATAATTATAGCAACGAGAATATCGCAGCTACTATATTTTACATTATTAAAAAGTTTGAAATCTATATTAATAATATTAATTACTTTTAGAACGATAATATTAATACTAGTAATTACTATATTTATTATATTTTTAAAGGATTTTTCCCCTCCTTTACCGCTAGTAATATTAAGTACGAAATTCTTTAATGTTATTTACGTTACTTTGGTTACGTTCTAAATCTCGGCGCGAAAGTAGTTATAAAAGGAAGGCTTCTTCGTATCCCTGATTCTAACAATCTATTTACCCGCCTTTCTACCGCTAAAGAGGATATTTTATTTTAGGAATAGAAAAAGGTTAAACTGGTTAATTGGTTGTATAATATTATTCAATTTATTCGAAAAGGTTTATAATGCTGTGCTAAGTTTAAAGAAATTGTATACTTTAATTGTAATAATATATTTAACGATAAAGTTAATCCTTTTTTTAGTACTATTATTAATAATGATAATTTCTCTCCTAATATTAGCGTTATTTTTAATAATATTATGTACTAGAAATCTAATTATTGTATAATCCGTCGCGCTTGGAAATTTTGTAAATATATTAATTATTACGTTAAAGAAATAGTTAATTATTTAAATAAATTTAAAAGATTACTTAAGAAGGACTAGTTTAATAACGACGATTAGAGGATTTTTATAGCTATTATAGAGGTAATAAGATTGTTTAAGGACTTTACTAAGAAATTTAAAATTAAAATTCCCTTCTTTTTAATAATTATCCTTAGCCTTATTACTTTATTGTTAGGTCACTAGGGACCTGTCAGGCGTTGAACCCGTGCCAGTACCAAGGAGCGCCGATGTCCGTATAGTATAAGTGCTGTAATATAGCGTTGGAACGGTTCGGAGCCGTTACGGACTTAACTACTATAGGATAGAATTTGCAACAATATAAATAGCCGGTCGAATTCGCCTCTAAAATTATTAGGGTTAATTATTAATATATTTTTATCCTCCCCTTATTTTAACGTTCCCTACGTATTTACGCTATCTATAGGCACCTTAACTTACCTTCCTCTACGATTTTAATACGTTAATAACTCTTCCTATAGGAGTTGAGTTATTACCGATAGGATATAAATACGTAGCGGACAATCCATTTTTCGGATTACTGAAGAAACCCCTCCCTCTACTTCTAGTACGTAAGAATTGCTTATTACCCCTCTTATTACAACTGACAATATCTCTTAATAATAATTTCCTTCTTCGTCCCAATATTATTAACCAATTATTAAATAAATAGACGATAATAATTTAAATAGCGACTACGCTTTTACCCCTTCGTATATTTCGCATAATCCCTTTTATTACTTAAAAAATAATATTATAGTATAGAAATAAAAATTCTTCGAATCCTACGTAGCAATTATTAAATTACTTTTAATTTATTTCCTATCTTATTTATTTCTTTATAATTAGAATAATTTTGTTAACTTATTAGAATAAAATTAATTTAATAATTACCTTCTTATTCCTTTCGAATTCCGCTATTAAAATTATTTCTTCTATAATTAAATACGCTTCTCAGCCCTCCCTATTCCTATTATTGCTCCTTGAATCATAGCGTCTATTATTCTTATATCTATTTAATCGATTTAATTTATTATTTCCTCCGAATATTACCTTAAATTCAATATTTTTAAATTTACTAGCGAAAATTCCTTTTAATTATATAATTTTGTTTTCGATATTAACGATTACTATTTTATATACCCTTAAATACCCTTTTTTTTCATTATTAATTATATTAAAGGTAATCCTAAGAACGCTTAACTTAAATATATTATAGCCTTTAAGAAGAAAATTAATTACGACCCTATTTATAATATTCCTATTTAGAAAGACCTATATATTTTCTTAGAAAAGGAGTATAACGGTAATATTTAAATTATCGAACACTCCACCCTTATTAATTTTAAACGTATATAATAAGGCGTTACTAAAACTATTCGTATATTTTACGACCGTTTTTATATTAAAGAATTCCATTTGTCCTACGAATAACCAGAATATTTGCGCGTCCTATAATAGGCAAATCGCTTACGTCCTTATTTGCGTAGCGGCGTTTTATTAGTAAATAGTATTAATATATTAACCGAAGCAGTAGCGTATATAAAGCGATTGAAGAATTTAAAAATTTTAGAATTAATAATATAGCATTAATGCTTTTAAATATTATATCCTTATTTATCTTTTCCCTCTTTTCTTCTTACTTTTATTCCTATTCTTATTCCTATATTTAATTCTAGCCTTAATAATTTCGCTCGTCCTCTCCCTACGATTTTTACCAACTCTAATATTATTTATTATTATTACGGCCAATTTAGATATATATACGGCCAATATTGGGTAATAAAATTGCATAGTATTTACTACAAGTACGGTAAGCTTAAATATTCAGTATTTTCTTATACTAAGTATGTTTATTATAATTGCGGCAAATTAGGCTATATATCGTATTAATACTTTATTCCTTATAGTATTATAATTTAAAGCGCGAATATTAAACTAGTAGTATTAGTAAAGATTGCGATTACTTCGGCTTAAAGAAGCGTAGGTATATTATAGCTATATTTAAGTATAAAATTATTAGTAAGAATATATAGAGATTAGTAGAAAATTTATAGTTTAATAAATTTTAATATGAAATTAAATTTTATTAAAAAGTATTTGCTCCTATCGGATATTAAAATAGAATTAGTAAACTACTATTTTATTAATTTGTTTCTTTAACCCGTTTCCGTATATAGTTCAATTACCTATTATCATAGGACTAGCCTATAATGTAGTTGCACTATACTAACTACATATATACTATGCCAGAGCTGGTGCCATAGCCTAATTAATAAAAAATATCCGACAAAGTATTGGCTAATATAATCGCTAATACGGGAGAAGACGACGAAGAGCCTGAATTATGCTTTAAATTATTCGATTAGTATATTACAATAGCGGTCGAAAATATTAAAACCTTCGATATTCGCCTGATTAAGTATAAGGTTACTAACGACTTAAAGTAGAAAATAGAAGAATTCACTAAATTATTTATTTATAATTCCGTCCCTAGCGTTCCTTTCTAAATATTATTCCCTTCGAACCTCCTATTTTCCAATTATTTAACCGAAGTAAAGTTCGTTGAATTATATTATAGAGACTCCCAGGCTATATTCTAAGAATTTAAATTCTTATTTATTATAAATATAATATAGAAGGAATAAGTATCGGAACTTTATTGTTTCGTATTTTATTTAGATATTAAATTTAAAACTATTTATAATTAAGTCCCTATTTTAATTGACTGATATAGTATACTTACTACTAACCCTACTATAATATAATAATTAAAAAATTCCTTTATAGAAAAAGAAAATACTATTAAAGGATTAAAAGATTTTATTATTAATTTAAATATTAGTAAAAGAATAAATAAAAATAAAGGAAAGGCTAAAAAAATAATATTCCTTAATATTAAGAAGAACGTTAATAAAATTCCCTTTAAAGCTTCTACCCGCTTCTTAATTTTACCCCCTAAATATACCGATCCCGAGAATAGAAAACGCTTTAATTCCTACTACTATAATATTAAGCAAGCTGATCCCGTTAAGTATTATAATTAAAATAAGGAAGATAATATTCCCTTCGAAATTTAGAACGATTTAATTTAAAATAAGTTCGAAATTAATATTAATTACTACTTTACCGACTATAATAAATTCTTATACGTTAAAAGTCGTTTAACTAGATATATTTATTATAATTTAATACTATACTTACGTAAAACCTACCCGAATTAAATTAAAATTCATTCTACTTCAATAATTTATTTATAGCGCTAATATTATAACCCCAATTCAAAAGAGAATGCGTTTTAGAATTTTACTAAATTAAAGATAAAAAATAACGATAATTTCGATTTTTTTAAAAATAAGTTTATTCGGATGGTTGGCGAGTATTAATATCTTAAGACCGAATGGAAATGGGATTTATTCCAATACTTTCTAATTGAATATAAGAAATAAATAGGCGCAAAATATTGTAATTTATCTATTTCCTTCGAATTATATTATATAGACTATTCTAGTTTTAAATAAATATTAAAAATTATTGCTGATAAGAATAAAGTCACTTCTAAATCTAGTAAGAATAATAATTTTAATAGAAATAATAAGGGTTTTAATTCCGGTTTTGGCCTTACCCCCAAACTTATTAATAGAGGAGGTGGCGCTATTTATTAAAGTAGTAACTGTAAAGAAATTACCCGAATTAGAAAAGTTAAGACTTTAACTTAAAATAGTATCCCGCCTCCGATTTTAAGTACGTATTGAACGTACTTTAAGACTTTTACGAAATTAACCCGGACGCCCCAGGCCCGCCTTAACAATTAATAAATTAGTTTAATAAGGATATAGAATAGTATAACAATAACGAATATTTTAAAGTGGAGGGATTAAAGCGTTTATAATATATTACGAAGAAAAAATAAATACAATTTATAGTATTTTATAAGATTATTTAGTAAAATTTGCAGACGAATCTTTTATATAGGGGGGGGGGGTAATATAACGGCGCTAACGGATTAAGCCTAGGTGCTATATACGAATATAATTCGTAAAGGTACTAGAATAAGGTATATAAAGGATTTTGGGTATAGTACGGTCTAAGGGATACGAGCTATTTAATTAGTTATGCTAAGATTAGCTATAGGGTAGATCCTAGTATGTATAGGGTTTATTATATAGGTTAAGGGGATACGAGTAAAGGGATTAGTTAATAGCGACCCGTATATAGGTCCTATTATCGCTTATATAATTAGGGTATTTATTTAAGTTTATACGCTTATATTTAATTCTCTTCCTCTTTTCTTTTCCCCATCTAAAATCTTCTATTTTAAATAGAATCTTAACTTTGCCTTCGACTTACCCATACTGTGCCCTTGCAGGAGCCGTCGTAGATTTAATTATTATAGGATAGAGTTTGCAACGATATAAATAGCCGGTCGAATTCGCCTCCAAAATTATTAGGGTTAGCTATTAATATATTTTTAATCCTCCCTCTATTTTAACGTCCCCTACGTGTTTGCGCTGTCCGTAGGCACTTCAACCTACTTTCTTCTACGATCCTGACATTTATTGAAAAGTTACGTTAAATAAAGGTTAGATTTAAAAAAAATATTATATTTAAACCCTTTAAAGGTGACTAAATCCTAAAATTAAATATTTATATAGTTACCCCTACTTCTATTTAATAACTTCAATGCACTATTCGTATACGTACCCCCCCAAACTCCTCCTCTTAAATCGATTTATCTTCTAAAATCCTTAATTCTTAACTATTTTAATTAGTCTCTTTTTAATTCGCCTCCTTTCGACTAGCCTCCTCTTGTATTCGAATTGCCTCGTCCTAAACTATATTGTTTTAAATTGCCTTATTAAACGATAGCTCTCCTATTAATTACGTTAACGATTTAATTAACGAGGGTATAAAAGCTGTCAGTTATATTATTGATAAGGTTGTTAAAAAGTTAAAATAATATAAGGATAAAATAGAGTGATATTTTGTATATTAGATCGCGTATATTTTATACCCTAATTATTATAGTAAGTAAATAAATAAATAATTTGTTAACGAAGAACATAAGGAGATTATTACTAATTTCTAACTTATTTACGATACTAATTACGTTAATTAATTTATTAAAGATCTATTAATTAATACTAGTAATTAATAAATTAAGATAATTAATAACGATTAGCTTATCGATTATAATTTTTATAATACCTTCCTCTTATAGCTAAAGAAGGAGGATAAATTATACTGTTACTTTAATAATAAAATCTACGCTATTAATAACGTATTAAGGTAATAGAAGGCTAATTAGAACTTATACCCTTATTTATTATATATAATATTTAACTTTTATTTTATACCCTCTATAGTAAATAATTACAAACGCTCCTTCAACGGTGCTAAATTGACTTTCGATAGTTAAAAATATAGCCTTACTATAGAATTCATTAATACTATCGAAAGTTTGAAATTTTAGTTGCAATCTAGTTTAATTTGAAATGATATAGTATAATAAGTTAATATTACGACGCTATTGAGTATTATTAGGAGGGATTTACGGTTGTAAGGAGGTTCTAGGTAGTGTAGGAAGGTAGAAATCGTAAGAATTAGAGCAGTTTTGAGCCTAAAAACACTAAAAACGTGACTTCATATAGCAAATATGGTTAAGTAAGTATAAATAAATATAATTTAATTTAAATATACCTTCGATTTGAGTGGGGCAACTTAAATACGACCTCAAGTTGAGTTAAATTGAATTATTTCTAGCGCTGCTTGGAGTGCGGGTAGTTGTTTTTCAGATGAAGAGTGCCACACGTCCCGAGCCCGATCCTTTGGAATTCCCATTAGATCTGCCAAATAAGACCACCATAACAATGATGTTTTATGTATCGGTGACCGGGGTGACATGGCCAAAAGATATACCTCCCACGTTGACAGTTCATAATCAGGCACAATACTATCTCCGTCATGCGAGATTCCCAACAATGCAAAGATATAATCCCTAGGATCTGTCGCCTTGAATTCTTTATTGCACGTCGCGTTTACCCAGTCATCAAGCGTTGTCTGTGAATGCACGCGCGAATCCCTAAGCTCGATATGATTCGAAGCACCGGACTGTCGTGCAAGGTACGTTGCCCATTCGGCCGCAACACCCATAGAAGCGGCCTTAACGATCCGAAGATTATGAGAATCTTCAGCGCCCGTTCGAAAACTTCCTTGGTAGCAAGTGCCCGATTGCACAAAACCACATAATCTCTCGCAAGCACAAACTCCTGCAAAATCCAAATCCTCTTCCAGTACGTCGCCTCGCAAAGTAAGTCCCGCAATCCGTACTGTTCCCTTGACGTCAAGCTTTGTTTTGCCACACACCTACAGAGCTCCTCCTCTTCCAAATTGATTAGCTTCATCGCTTCATCAGTGTGTTCGGTCCCCATCCCCAACCAGACAATCACCATCTCAGCGGTCTCGTAACTTTCCTTCATCAACCGGACCTGATGGCCCTTTTCCCGATTATCGAACTGGTTGATGCAGAGGGCGTCCACCCAGAGATATAGGGGGGATTCACCGTAGAGCCGGTGGTGATTGTGGAGGATGCTGCAAAGGGCATCATACAGATTCTGGCGAATGTGGATGGGGTGGTTGTCGAGAAGTATCGCTGGAGTGTCTGAGGGGTTTGAAGGGGGAAGACCCCATTCGTAAGAAAGGGCTTTGTACGGTGGGCAGGGTGTTTCTCCGACTGCAGATAAGTTGACTTCGTGGAGGGTAGCTGAGATGACTGGGATGTCTTGAGTGGAAGAGGATGCTGGGGGCTTGAGGAGAAGGAGGCGGATGTGTCCGTCGGACTGGAGAGGCTGGTATGGATAAATTCCGGTGAAGCTTTCCGACACTTTGCCATCAGTTGGTGACAACTGCGCGTTTCCTGAAGGGGAGAGAGACTGCTCCCTCTGTAATCCAGAGTCTGATGAAATGTTGGAGGACATTGCGAACGAGTTGATTGCTTGAGGCTATGGCTGACGCTTGCCTACAGGTAGTGTTCCACCTTGGGCGGCGAAAGTAAACCTTGATTGATGTGCAAATTGAGAGAGAAAGATGTAACAAAGAAGAAAAGAGAGAAGAGCTGATGTGGAGGGATCATGCTACAGGTTTTTCGACACAATGGAGGTTGACCCAAAGGTCGTCAACCCAATTGTACACAGCCTCAACCCCCACCGTCGTTATTCCGGACTCGTTCGCGAATCAGAAGCTGTCAAATCGATCTCCTGCCACAAGTTGTGTCGAAGTGACAAGGCGGCCTCGAAGGCAGAATTACGCCCAATGTCAGACTCAATAACAGCTCGCTCACCTACAAAGTCGTCCAATCACGCAACGAAGAACAACTCATCAACCTCGACCAATCGGCTCACATTCCCGTTCAAAGCCACACTACACCTAGCGCCCTCAGAGCCTGAAAGCCAGCAAGGCTATATGAGGCACTGATTTGGTGGCTGATGCCCAGGATTTCTTATGAAAACAGGCAGGAACGCGTGAAGATTGGAGGAAGGAACTCGTGACCAACCCCAGAGTTTTCGTTTCTCAGGGATTCATGAGGGATTCTCAGGGTTTTCTCCTCTTCCACCGAACTTAGACCAAGCAACGCCATTGTTGCCCACAGTCAATCATCTGATTGACAGACGATAGCTTGTTGTATGTATCCGAAGAACCCTTTACCCAACAGGACGAGCAAACGTCTTCGACACTTCACTCGAATTTTTCCCAAGGAAGAGGATACCGAAGCTGGCATATGCCTTTGAGTTGTGCGCCTTCCCTTGACGTTTGAGATGATTTCTATATCTATTCCTGGATGTAAGTTGGCAGAAAGGTGATATTCAGTTGCTGTTCAAACCTGCCAGTTGTCTGACCGTTCAAGCAGATTCGTGACAAAACCTATAATGCCGTACCCCGCTCTTACGAACACTTCGGCGCCTACTCTAAGTGTGGGACTTCGAAACACTTGGTACCTTTGCGAACGGGTATGCAGAAATTCAAAAAGTCACTTCGAGCCCTGAGGGGTGGTGGCAGCGCCGTGATCGATCAGGACACTGCACAGCGCGAACCTCTACAAGAGCCCTCGAATACTTCCGGTGACGAAGTTTCGGAAACCAGCATATATCCCTACCAGCCTCTCCAACATGGCAAGCACATCCGCCTGCTTTACCTCAGCTCTGATTCAACTGCATCTTCCTCCGCTCCAGACGACCTGATGTCGGATCGACGGGTTATTTACGCCACCTTGAAAAGCGTCGAGTTGAACCTTGATGGTTCAAGCCCTCAAACTTACAGAGCTCTCTCGTATGAGTGGGGGCCGCCGCCGGAGGAACATACAAATCTCCCAACGATCAACCTCGATGGCCATACGGTCCCTGTTCGTCAGAATCTCTACGACGCCCTCAAGGCAATTGTCCGTGCTGGTTTTGACAAGAGTGGTGATGCACCTATGCCGCTCTGGGTGGATGCCTTGTGCAACAATCAGAGTGACGATAAGGAGAAGGGCCATCAGGTGGAGTTGATGAGAGATATCTTCGCGGCTGCCGAGACGGTGTTGGTGTGGCTGGGGAGACTAGGGGAGGAGGCCGAGGAGGCGATGAAAATAATGAGCAACCCCCCGGATTCGGCGGACGGAGAATTCTTCGATGAGAGTCTTGGTCTGAGTTTCGCAGACGCGCTGTCAAGGATGGGTATAACGACCCCGAAACAACATTCTATCATGCCAGTCATCCTACCGAGAACCGACTGTCGTATTAATTGCGGTCGTTATCATTATCGTCGTTTGTTCGATGGTTGGTACGAGATATGCAGGCTGCTACAGATTACCAGAATAAAGAGGCGAGAGAGTTCCATAATCTTGCAGGAAAACAAGGCCAGGGCTATCTTTACTAACACTCGCAAAGTGGCTATGGGGCTTGCGGCGCTTTGTTGCGCGTCGTATTGGCGTAGGGTGTGGATTATTCAGGAGTTTGTGGCAGCGAGTGACTACGTCATTCTATGTGGCAACTACTTCGTGACGAAGAGGAGGTTTGAAAAGGTGCTGGATCTAACGGTCACTAAACCAATGGCGCGTGGCCGGGTCTATTGTTCTTGGCTTGGGTTTTCCAAAACCGATCATCCGACGCATCGGGCTTTCTGGAGCCCATCACTTCAAATGATCAGTTTGAGAGAAACGAAGATGAAAAGTGCAAAGACGAGACTTGCGGAGTGGGTGAGGTTATGTCTGGACAATAAGTTTCGAGCGACAGAGCCGAGAGATTACGTTTATGCCTTGTTGGGAATATCGGACGACTGTACCGGGAAGATCACGCCCGACTATACTAAGTCGGCGAGAGGTGTCCTTATAGATGCCGCTTTTGTGATGTGCCCCCCTCACGATCCTGGTTCGGGAGCGATGCTTGAAGACATCTTTGCAAAACTCGCGTGGATTTATTACAATCGAGGGCTGTGCGAAGGTTATGCGAAGTTAATGGGGTTATCCTATGCAAATGGGTATGTGGCTTCTATGGTCACAGCGAGTACACAAGGTGCGTTTGGGACTACTAGTCTTTTGATGGGTATGGCTTACGGTGCAGCTTTAACTGCAGCTTGGTATAAACCACTTCATTTCAAACTCCCTTACCGCCTCCTTGAGCTGGCGATAGCCTCCTTCCTGGAGAACCCGTCAGTCCCGATATTTATAGTCACGAAGATTACCAAAAGACACCTTGAACCCCACGAATTCGTTCACTGTTCCGAGGAAACTCTGATCATCAACAAATCGCTCCTCAATATTTGGCATCGAGCTCCGTATAGAACCCGAGTAAGACCCCGCTGCCTGATCGTCTCATCAATACATACATAGCCTGACAATTTCAACACCAGAAAGAAAGTCATACAAGTCTTTTCGCAACTTAGTCTTTGTCTTGAAGAGGACTACAATTTCACGGCAAGGCTTCTATCTCCGCAGGCTTTCATCATCGTGAAAAAGGCTTCATGCCGAAAGCCTATCAAATCAGCAATACGACCCAACCCACTCAGCCATTAACAGCATGATAGCATGATAAACATCAGCCACACAAGCAACTGTGCATATTTGGCTTACGGATAGTGATTGGCTCGATCTCTGTCCCTAAGTGACCTGTTTGGTGATTGGGGGGCTGTGCACGTGGTGTTAGGCATCAAAAGCTGGAAAAACGAACAACGCTGGACAGTTGAAGTCAAATTCTCGACAGTACAGTATATCGCGAATCTTTTCTTTTTCACATCTTTCATACTTGGTCAAGATTTCCTGAACCGCGCAGACTACCGAGAGAGCCATCTTCCGCACCTCGCATTTTCCGCACCGCGGCAAGGAAGATAGCCGGACAGACAAAGCGTAGTTTCCATCATTCCTCTGGATATTATCCAGCTTAACGACGACAATGTCGGGCTTGGGAGTGGTTGGTGCAACTTTGAACACCATTACATTTGTTTTCGACGTTGCTGATTGTGTAAAGCAGGTTATACCAAAGGACGAGGAGTTACTTCGACCCTCGGGAGATGATGTCGGCGGCTCAGCCGCTGAAAACCCAAGTGCCTCGGGTGTTGGCACAAGAGGATACCCGTACCGACCACTTCTGTCCGAAAATCAAATCCGCCTCCTTCTCCTCGAGCCACTCGCCCCAGGCCCAACCCAGGATTCTCAACCTATCTGTGCCACCCTACACCATGTCGAGTTCGATTCAGAAAGCTTGAGTACTCGACCATACAAAGCCCTGTCATATGAATGGGAAGTCCGCAAATACCAATTTGGTAAGGATTATTATTATCCCTTCTTAATGATAGATGAGTACGAAGAGAGTATCCGAAAAGAACCAAAAAACGTTAACCCGGCCATCCTTCTTGATGGCCATACCGTTCACATCGGTAAAAACCTTTACCACGCACTCAAGAGCATAAGACATCTCGAGAACGGGACAGGTGACAAGTCAAGTCTTTGGCTGTGGGTAGACACACTATGCATCAACCAAAGCGACATCCAAGAAAGGGGACATCAGGTGCGGTTGATGAAACGCATTTACGAAACTGCGGAGATGGTTCTTATGTGGTTAGGAAGAGGAAATACGTTGACCCGTATGGGGATGGTGGCAATGAATATGGAACCGGATGATTTCGAAAAGCTTGTCGCCAGAGAAGGATTGATCTGGGGTGAGCTAGAGGGGATCCGTAGGATTTGCGATATGGGCTATTGGCGGCGAGTGTGGATTTTGCAGGAAGTCGTTTTGGCGAGGGACTACCTGGTTATCTGCAATCAAGACTTCATATCGATGGAGAAATTTGAAAGAGCGCTGAGAGTTCTGTGTCAGCACGCCTTGAATTGGAGAGGGTTTTTAAGGGGCTTGATCAATCGGCTACCGAAGACTCCAGCACAAGAGATTATAACGTGGAGGAATACAAAGGGCACAACGTCACCACTCATTGAATGGTTAAAAATATGTGTGAGGTGCGGCTTTGAGTCAACGGATCAAAGGGATTATGTTTATGCGCTCTTGGGGATCTCGGATGACTGCAAAGGCAAGATTGAGCCGAATTATTCGAGATCAGCCGAGGAGGTATATTCTTCGGCCATTGCACTGATTGAGGACAAGGCTAAAGGTTATAATGCAATTTTCTGTACAAATCTTGCAGAGTTTATGGGTTTGGACAAATGGGAAGCCACTCGCGAAGTGTGAAAAGAAGTTCTCGCAGCCAGAACGGAGCTTGTCCTGCCTTGCCTGCGCAGGTAACAAGGTAGCTAAGTGCCACAGCCAAACCGTTGGCGCTCGTTACTCGACAAGAGTCGAATATTTCGGAAAGTGCGATCAGTTTACTGGTGTCGGTGGTTCAACACTTGAACCGCACTTCGACTGGTGTTTGCCAACCTGCGAGCCAGCCGGCCAAAGGAGACATCAACTTTCAAGATGGGGAAAGAAATCAGACAGGCCTTTCAATGGTGATTCAAGCGATGATGGCTGCTTCCTGGAATAAATATTCTGGAATGGAAAGACTCTGGCGAGGTACAGCTCCCGAGTGTGACAGTCTGGACACTTGAGTATTGGTGTGGAATAAACGAATGCCGAACGCCCGAGACGCGATGCGTAGAGAGAGGTAGTGCCAACCCGTGAATGAGCAGCTCCATAGGTAGCGAAAGCGTGGGTGCTGGAACGGCTACCAGGAGGGTTCTTTCGATGGGCAAGGTGGTGGTTGATTAGAAGAAAGTTGGCTTCGGGGACGCTCCAAGAATCCAGGTTTAAATACCCCTCGTACTATCCGCCCAGTGCACCTTCCCAGTAGCCAAACCAGCACGCCGTGATCGTCAACGCAGACCTCCCCTATCAACCAACCAGCCGGATCCAGCCCACATCAATGGCCAGGGCACGAATAAGCCACATACCGCCCTTCCAAGAATATACTGACTGGCAATGATCGGCCCCTCCCAACTGCTTCAAGTCTGGCTTCCGAGCTGGCTCAGTATCGTGGCTTCCTTGAGCTGGCGATGGCTTCCTTCCTTCCAAGCGAGGCCTGTGGGCAGATGGCAGTGAGGGGGAACCCATCGGTCCCGACATTTTTACCCACGGAAGGTTCAAGTTGCCCAAAGACACCTTCAACCCAGTAATACGTCCACTGCTCCGAAGAAACTCAAACCATCAACAAATGTGTTCCTCAATATTTGGTATCGAACTCCGTATATAAACCGAGTGAGACTCCGCTGCCTAATCGCCTCATCAATAAACAGCCTGGCAATTTTCCCATTAACAAGAAACGCCGCCCAATGCAAAGAAAATAACAAACGCATAGCGTGAAGCGTGAGAGACTGCACAAACCATGGCACACGCAAGCCCAAAACACCGCACAATTACTCCAGCTTGGCCAGGATGGCCTTCTCTCTCTCCGCCTTGCGCTTCTCGAACTGCTTGACGGAGTGTTTCCTCTCGTTCTCCTCCCTCCTCTTGATGGCCGCAAGCTCCTCGCGCTTGATCTCGGCCGCCTTCTTGACCACCTTGGGCAAGTGTCTGTGGCGGGAGATACGCTTGATCTCGGGCATGTGGGAATATCTCTCGACCAAGGTTTTGTTGTACTCGAGCGCCTGTCTCTGCTTGGTCGCCTTGACGCCGCTGCGCTCAGAGGCATTGGCACGCCACAAGCGGATGTTACCCTGTATATCACGTTAGCCGTGCTGATCAAACAGTTGAGAGAAGAAAGGAGACAACGTACATCGTCACTACCGCTGAGAAGGTACTTGGAGTCCATGGTCCAGGTAGTCCGGAACACCCTCTGCATACGCTTGGTGTGGTAGACATCGCGAGACATGCCCTGGTCGCGGCGCCACACCCTGATTGTGCGATCATACGAACCAGTCACGAGCTCCTCGCCGGTAGGAGAGAACTCGACGTCCATAACCGCCGCAACGTGACCCTTCTGGATATTTTGCGCCTTGGTGAAGTTCCTGGCGTCGAAGAGGTAGACGTTGTGATCTTCCGAGGCAACGGCCATGTTCATTGCCTCCATGGGGTTGAAGACAATACGGTTGGCGGCGAACTTGAGAACAGTCTTGATGACGGGCATGTTTGTGCGCAAATCGAAGAGAATAACGGAGCGGTCTGTGCCGACGGAACCAACGATCGAGGTCTCAACCTGGTTGAAGCAAACGTCGGTGATGGTGTCGGTGTGGTTCGGCCACTGTATTGTCTGAGGAGCCGTGCTGTGCTCCAAATCCCAAACACGAATGCAGCCGGCACCCGAGGAGGCGACGAAGGAGTTGGCGGTACGATGGAACGAGAGAGCCGTGTATGGTCCACCTTCTTGCCATGTCGCGAGTGGCGTAGGAGAGTCGGTCTTGGTATAAGGGTCCCAAAGCTTGATGCCGTCGGTGGCGCATGTGAGGAGCTTCTTGTCGTTGGTGAAGGTCATTCCCTTGACGATGTTGTTGTGGGCGGCCGCCTTCCATGCTTCGTCCCGTGTTGTGAGATCCCAGACCTTGACGATACCATCACCGGAACCGGAAGCGATTGTGTGTAGCGAGTTCTTGTCCTTGGCCATGGTGTAGACACCCTGAACGTGGCCATTTCCTAGCTGGCCGAGGAAGGGCTTGGCGAAGACTCTCTCCAACTTGACGGCATTGAGGGCTCTCTTGTACTCGCGAGCGCGCTCGAAGGGATGGAGTTCGGGCGCAAGGTTACGGGGTGCGCGGGTGACGTCGTTACCGGGGGCTTGTTGGGCCGAGATGTTTCGGCTGAGGGCTTTGATCTGTTGCCGCAAATGTCAGTGGTGAGCCTGGAAATAGGTATGCGAATATTGATCGACGTCGCGTATGGTAGGCTAAGTACCTTCATGGTGGTGGTGTTTCTCTGTTGATGATGTCGAAGGTGTCGTGGATGAAGGCTACCAAGGCCGACGGGTATCGAGTATAAAGATGTTGATGAGTTGTATGAGAGCGGGTAGGGTTGAAGTCTGTCGGTTCACCTAGTCGCAAAGCCCAGGTGCTGTGATACGGTCTCGACCTTTAGATGGATGGATGGATTCCGGGAGTGTCTGTCGCCAATTGGGGAGCACAGTCGGATACGGGCAGTTTGACAGCTCCCGTCCCCTTCCTCTGGAGAAATTTTGGCGGGGTCTGGCGGCAAGAATCTTGACCGCCTTCTTGGCTCTTTCCTAAACGCTTAGTCTTCGACTGTTAGAGCTTCACTGCTAAGGATGGACAGGCCTGAGCTGCCGAGAGCTGGGCTTGCCTGCCGTGAGATGGCAGGGATCTGTAGGTGGATGTCTCCAGCTAATTACGTCGCGCCTGGCAACCTAGCGGTACGTACAGTGAGTGGTCTCGTTAGTGGACATGCCGCCTGCACTTGGGTAACAGCTGCTCCAGCAGACAGTGGTGAGGTTCGTCACGACAACGGGGACCAACCTAAGCTCCAACTTCAACACCCGAACAACCTCCAACCACCAACCCTCTCCGACGACACTCTGCGACAACCGGTACGCCGCATATACCACCGCGACCTCGAGTAATCAACATAACATTCGATAGCCAAACTCTCGATTTATACTACTACCGTTTACCACTTGGCGACCGGGACAAACAGCACACGACACAATGGCCCAGGGCGAAGCATCAGAGAGAGTGCGCGAGGCGCAGAAGGTCGTCTCGACCGATCCTCGCCAGGCCGAGCAGATTTACAAGGATATCATCTCCAAGCCGCCATCAGTCACCTCTGACGCGGCCATTCGGGAATACGAGACAGCTTTGATTCACTTGGGAGAGCTCTATCGCGACGAGAAGTAAGAGTGGCGGGTGTATCGTGGTCATCGAGGAGGGGCATGGTCACTAACCTCCCATCAACCTACAGGAACACACAAGGCCTTGTAGACCTCGTAACTCAGAGCCGCACAGTTCTCTCTTCGTTCGCAAAGGCAAAGACGGCAAAGCTTGGTACGAACGACCCCGCCATCAGCTAGGCTCGCTATACCAGCTTATGAGGATACTAACACTTGCTCATACAGTCCGCCAGCTCCTCGACCTCTTCGAAGCCATCCCCGACTCTCTCGACATCCAGATCTCCGTCACCAAGTCGTGTATAGAATGGGCCACATCAGAGCGCCGCTCGTTCCTCCGCCAGAACCTCGAAACCCGTCTCGTCGCCTTGTACATGGCCAAGCAGTCCTACTACGATGCCCTGACGCTCATCAACGGTCTCCTCCGTGAGCTCAAGCGCATGGACGACAAGCTCGTCCTCGTCGAAGTCCAGCTGCTCGAGTCGCGGGTATACCACGCCCTCGGCAACATTGCCAAGGCCCGCGCCGCCCTCACCAGCGCGCGCACGAGCGCCGCCTCCGTCTACACCCCTCCTCTGCTCCAGGCCAACCTGGACATGCAGTCGGGCATGCTGCACGCCGAGGACAAGGACTTCAACACGGCCTTCAGCTACTTCATCGAGGCGCTGGACGGCTACCACACGCAGGACGAGCCGCAGCGGGCCCAGGCCGCGCTGCAGTACATGCTGCTCTGCAAGATCATGCTCAACCTCGCCGACGACGTCAACCAGCTCATGACCTCCAAGCAGGCCGTCAAGTACGCCGGCAAGTCGCTCGAGGCCATGAAGGCCATCGCCCGCGCCCACAGCAACCGATCTCTCGAGGAGTACGAGCGCGCCCTGGCGGCCTACCGGTACGAGCTGGGCAGCGACACTTTCATCCGCAACCACCTGCGACGCCTGTACGATGCCATGTTGGAGCAGAACCTGATCAAGGTCATCGAGCCCTTCAGCCGCGTGGAGATTGACCATATCGCCAAGATGGTCGGCTTGGACACCCAGCAGGTGGAAAGGAAGCTGTCGCAGATGATCCTGGATAAGGTGATCATTGGTGTGCTGGACCAGGGCGCCGGCTGCCTCATCATCTACGATGAGACGCACCGGGATGAGGCGTATGATGCGGCGCTGAAAACCATTGAGAAGCTTAGCAATGTGGTTGATGTGCTTTATACGAACCAGGCCTCTCAGCTTGAGTAAAGGCGAGGTTCAAGACAGAAGAAGCGGGTTTGACTGGATGGTTTGGGGTTTTACAACTTGGGGTTTGTCTGTAACATTACGCTTAGACATGATATTAGTTGGGCGTATTGAAATGAGCACGATAAACCGCATGAACATTTTGAGTTTTTGAGCCCAGTGGCCTTAGTTTTGTTGCAAAAATGTGATATTGTATGTCCAAATTTCAGAAACTAGAAACAACCAATGTTTGTACAAAGAACCCTTAACAACTTGGGATCTCCTACTCATGCATCCATACTTTGGGTATCCAGTCCTTTCTTCTTCTTCTATCCTTCCTCCACTCTCCTCTCTTCTCTTCTGTTCTAGAACCCTTCATCTTCTTCCTATAGTACTTCCTACACCCCTATCTAATCTCCTCCTCACAACAAGTACATCCACATTACACACACACCAACACCAACACCAACACCCTCTAACACCCTAGCACACAACACCCCTTCTCCTCCCCCTATCAACCCGTCCCTCCACCCTCCTCCTCTCCCCCACCAAGAACGCATACACCCTCCTCACAATCTCCCCCTCGCTCCACCCCCCCTTTTCTTCCTCATCCATCCCGAAAACACCTCCATAAAGTTCATCACTCCCCCACGCCCGTCTAAACATCTCCCGGAAATCGTAAACGACGTCCAAATGCCATTGCTCGATCACCACGGACTCGTCGATGGGAAGACCGGTAAGGGGGTCGTGTTGAGTGAGGTCGGGGGAGGGGGTGAAGGTTTGGCCTAGGAAGCGTTGGAGGTTGGAGGGGAGGAGTTTGCGTTTTCCTTTGGCGAGGGTTTTGAGGGAGGGCGGGTTGTTGCGGTGGTTGTGGATTACGGTGGAGAGGATGGCCCAGTGGGAGGTGGTCCAGAGGGGGGTGGGCGGGGGGAGGGGTTCCTGGGTTGGGAGTTGGTGGTGGTGAGAGGTGGTGGTGGTGGTGGCGGAAGCGGCGGCTGAGGTGGAAGCACCGGTGGAAGCTTGGCCATTATGGTGTTGAGAGGTCGAGGTCGACATCGAGGTCGAGGGCTCAGAGGGTTGTTGTTGTTGAGTGAAGGAGGAAAGTGGTGGTAGGGGAGGGTAGAGCGGCTGCAGAGGCTGCAAAGGCTGGAGAGGCGTGACGATGTTGCGGTTGGAAGGAGGGATGGGAGGCGGTAGTGGTCTGCGGCGACCGTGGCCGAAGAGAGAGACGCCGGAGCGGATGACCGGGGAGTTTTCGAGGGTGGATGTGGGTTTGATGAGCGGTGGTGGTGGCGGTGGTTGACGTGATGCAGCAGCAACCTGTGGTTGTGGTTGTAGTTGCTGTTGTCGTTGCCGTCCTCGTCCAGGGCTCAGTGGGCGAGGGATTGGCGGCGGCGCTCTCGGCAGTGCCCGTGCTGGTGCTGGTGCTGGTGCTGGTGCTGGTGCTGGTGCTGGTGCTGGTGCTGGTGCTGGTGCTTGCGCCGGTTCATGCTCGTACCATTCGATATCCTCATCCATGTCCATATCCATATCCATGTGCATCTCTGCCTCGTCGTCCGGTTTGTGTTCTTCGTCCTGGTAGTCCTCCTCGCACCTCTCAGGCGAGTTCTCCTGAATCCTCTCCGAGCCAGCTGGACTAGGAACAGGACTGCTCTCCGTGTGGGTACTGGGCGAGCTGGTGATAATCACTGGAGTGGAACGACCCCCAAACACAGGACGCCTCTGTTCAACGTCTGCGTTGCGTCTCGGAGTAGGCGACTGTCGGACGCTATTGGCAAACTCCACCACACGACCGGGCGTGCGACTCTTAGTCGGCGGTCGCAAGGCAGACTTGATAGGGGAAGAGTTCTTGTCGGGCAGAGATCTGAGCGGTGGTGGCTCGAAACTTTCCTCGGTAGATGATTGTTCTTCTTCGAGTTCCACTATCTCGTCGTAGTCGTCCATGTCCTCTTCAGGCGCTTGCTCCTCTTCATTCTCCTCGTTCGGTCCGTATTCAACGCTCTTAGCGGGCGGGTCCGAGAACAGCTTGGAAATGGACTCCTTTATACCAAACAGCAACTGCTTAGGTTTGTCAGTTATCGAATTCGGAGTGGTGCCTGAGCCTGAATTGTCGTCTTTGAGCGGTACAGCAGTCGTGACAGTGGTCTTTGTTCCGCCGCCCCGTTCGAACAAGGGGAGCTTAGCCCCTGGTTCGCGTCGCATGGGAGTGAAATTCTGTTTCTGCGGGACCGGAGTGTAGATGCTTCCAGACTGTGGTGGTGAAGAGGAGCCGATGATTGAGGAAGAGTGCCGAAGTACACGCTGGGCCGGTTGCAGGGGTCGTGAGGGTTGCCCTGACAACACGGGAGCTGTACCCAGAGGTGAAGGCTGAAACGGCTTCTGGGAAACTGGCACGGAGAGATGTTGAGATGATGGAACGCGACCTATAGGAGTCGTTCCCAGCTTCCGCTCAGCCTGGCCTGTAGCAAGATTCTGTGACCTTTCCGAAAGGATTCCCGAACCCGATGACACCTTTCCGTTGGCTTGGCTCTGCCTATCGTGGACTTTGGGTTCAGGCAGAAGAGAAGCATTACCCTCTGGACCCTGTAAGCTTAACTCCGGAATAGGTGCAGGCGACGAAAAGAAGCCCGAAAGATTCGCCTTCTTGTTCGGAACCGGCTTTAACGCAGGCCGGAACTTCCTGGCCCGATTGGAGTGAAGCAGGCTAAACTCTTCCAGCTCGTCGCTTTTGTCTGCAGCTGTGTTCAGCTGATCGCGAACCATCTGGCTCTTGTTTGATTGCCAGCGGGAGCTCGGTTGGGGCTGGTGGGTGGAGGGAAGAAAGCCGACAGGATCATTCTCCTTCAAGTGAGATTTGGCTTTGACTGCGGGAGAGGAACGCATGGCTTCGAGGAGGAAGAGATCCTCCTCTTCTTCTTCTTCCTCCTCTTCATCCTGCCCCTGCGTCTGCTCCCGCTGTTCGTCTTGGTGGTGGCTTTCTTCTTCCATATGATCCATCCGGTGGTCTTGCTCGTGCTCGTGGTCGTCTGTCCGCTGCTCAAGCGGAGATTCTTCACGTTGATGGTGTTCGTCCGTATGGGAAATATCGTAGTCTTCACCTCCGGTGTAGTTCTCGTGGCGAGCCTTCTCCACTTCAGTCACTTGTGGCGCTCTCGAGCTTCGCAGTTGATCACCTCGCGAGGAAGCCCTACCACGCTCGAGCAGCGACTCGCCTTGGCGACTTTGTTCCGAACCACGACTCGCCCGGTGCTCTTGACTTTCCTCCGCATAGTCATTTCGGGTTTCCTCCGCCTCGCTCCTTTCACGTTCTGTCGAACTTCGCTGGTGGTCACGCCGCCAGGAACCTCCGCCTCGGTCGGACTGAGACTCTTGTCTGTGGCTGCCTTCTTCCACATACCCTGAGTGATGCCCTTCCCTTTCTTCTTCATACTCATGCCGCTCGTCCTCCACTTCGGTCACCTTTCTGGTTTCCCGTTCCTTTGAGCCTCGTCGGTGATCATCTCGCCTTGAATCGCTAGCTCGGCTGGACTGCGACCCGCGCGGCCCACGCGACCAGTGGCGGTGACTTTCTTCAACGTGACTCGATTGGCGACCGCCTCTTTCCTCTTCATACTCACGCCGCTCCTCCTCCACGATCTCTTCCGTCACCTCCCGCACTTCCCTCGCTTCCTGTTCTCCGGAACTTCGCTGACGGTGACCATGATCCCAAGAAGAAGAAGACGAAGCTTTACCCCGGTCGGATCGGTTGGAGCGGGAGCTCCCATGTCGGCGGCTCTCCTCGCCACGCCCACCGGAGTGATAGTGTTCGCTCTCGTGCTCGTACTCTTCCCGGACCTCCTCCATAATTTCCTCAGTCACCTCTCTCGCCCCTCGTTCTCTCCTTTCCCGATCTTCCCTCGTCTCTTGCTTTTCCGACCTCTGCCGAGAAGACGAAGCTTTACCTCGGTCGTCAGACCGATTAGAGCGGGAGCTCCCGTGTCGGCGGCTTTCCTCCTCACGACCACTCGAGTGACGACCCCCCGAGTGATAGTGTTCGCTCTCATGCTCATGCTCATACTCCTCCTCCCGTACCTCCTCCACAATCTCTTCCGTCACCTCCCTCCTTCCCCGCTCCCTTCCTTCCCTTCGTTCCCGCTCTTCCCTCGTCTCCCGTTCTTCCGACGACCTGTGCCGAGACCCATGCCGAGACCCATGCCGAGACCCATGCCGAGAAGAACCATGCCGGTGGCCATCCCGTCCATGTCTCCTAGAGTGGTTACTACTTTCCCTGAAACTGCTAGACCTGGCATCACCCCCTCCATAGATTCTCTCTTCCTCTCTCTCTTCGGTCACCGTTTCAACTTCGACGCTTTCCCTAAAGCGAGCTTTGGGTTCCCGCTCTTCTCCCACGGATCTTCTCAGAGTAGAGTTTTCCGGCCGTCCATGTCTCCTGCCAGAATGACTACTCTCCCTGAAGCTGGACCTGGCCCTGGCATCACCTCCGTAGCCTCCCCATATTCGCTCTTCCTCTCTTTCTTCAGTCACCGTTTCAACCTCGATGACTTCCCTATGATGACGAGCTTCGGGTTCGGGTTCGGGTTCCCGATGATGATCCTCACTTCTGGCTGATGATCTCCGAGTAGAGTTTTCCTCCCGAGTAGTAGTACGCTCCCCTCCAGAGCTGTAATTATGGCCGCTGCTGTCGTGGAAACCAAGGCTCGCGGAGGCGGACCTGTCGCGGGTCACGTTGATTTCTTGACTGTGACTGGATTCCTCTGCTTGCCAGTCCATTGCCTCATGCTCATGCTCATACTTTTCACGCTCGCGCTCGCGCTCGCGCTCGGAGAAGGAGGAAGCGGCCTTGTTTGTGCTGCCGAAGCTGGTGTTGGGTTGAGCTTGTCTGGTGGAAGAACTGGTGCTAGCTTGACGGTGACTGCCGAAGCTGGTCTCGGCTTGAGCTTGTCTGCCATGAGTGGTGCTAGACTCAGCTGGAGGATGTCCGAAGCTGGTGTTTGCTTGACGCTGTGTGTCGAAACGGGTAGTCACTGAAGGTTGTTTTATGGCATAGCTGCTGCTGGCCTGAGCTTGAGATCTGTCAAAGGTTGTGCTGGCATTGGCTTGTCGGTCAAAGCTGGTGTTGGCCTGACTTCGTCCACTGAAGCTAGTCTCCGCTTGCGCCGGTCCTTCAAAGCCGGTGGTGCAGCCCGGAGCATACGATTCTCCGAAGATTTGGCGTTGGTTGCCAAAGCAAGCATCGCCTTGAGCATGCAATTCCCCGAAGACTTTGCGTTGGTTGCCAAAGCCAGCATCGCCTTGAGCATGCAATTCCCCGAAGACTTGGCGTTGGCTGCCAAAGCCAGCATCGCCTTGCCTTCCTCTCCCAAAGCTGGCAACATCCTCAGATTGCCTGCCAAAGCCATTGTGGCCATAAGCTTGTCTATCAGAACCGGTACTCGCGCGGCTTTGCCTCTCAAAGCTAGTGCTGGCGCTGGCACTGGCACTGGCAGTGCCGCTGGCGTCTTGACTTCCGGAACCACGCTTGCTCATCATGCTGCCAAAGAGCGGGTTGCGCCCGGTGCTTCCTCTAGAAGACCCGGGCGGATCTGGACCGAATGGGTCGTCCATAACAATGTCAACGGCACTAGTAGTGATGCCAGCGGTGGCTGATGCTTGTCTTGAGCTTTCCCCGGCATCAACGGAAGCTTGCGTCGAAGCATTCCGTGGCGATAAAACTTGTGCTCCTTGGGCCACCAAATTCTTAATTGAGTTGAATAAGCCAAAACCCGATCTTTCGGGCTGATTAGGAGTATTGTCAAATTGGGCTTGGGGCAACGGCTGAGGTTGAGGCTGAGCCTGGGACTGGGAGGCCCTAGAGGCTGACGGTGACGGCGAATGGCTGTCTTTGACCCCAGGCATCCCTCGGAAGGGACTGCGCAAAAAGCTTCCCCTACCTGGAGGCGACGGAGGGTCCGAGGTTACCTGCCGCAGTGCTTCACCAGCTCTGATGATTGGGGATAGAGCCGGCCGGTTCTGTGAGTCGGGTGGGGGCATCAGATTCTGAGGGTTAAGAGCCGGAAGACCTGGCGAGGTCAAGGATGTAAGTCGGTCGGCCGGGGTTTCGTTCGAATTCGATCGGACTCGGCGTAATGGAGGTTCGGGGCGCTGCTGCTCGTGTCGGGAGAAGCTTCCAGTTGGGGGAGAGGAAGGCATCTCATCGTCTAGAGCGGGCTCGGCGGACTCGGTGGGCTGTCTATGCTCGTCATCGTCAAGCTCGGCGTCGTCGTCGGCCTCTACGTTGGCATGAGAACCGAAATCGTACTGAAAGTCGTAGTCGCGGGGTTCTGGAGGGACAGGAGATGGGGTCTCATCAGGTGTCAGAATACTGTTCGACGCATATAAGGGGGTGGAGTTATTCACAGATGAAGGCCGCTCAACAGAGGGCTGGATGCTTGTCTTTGTTGTCTGTTGCTGAACATCTGTCTGAGATTTTCTAAATAACGGACTTGATGGTTCAGGTGGCAGAGCGCCTCGCGATTCTCTTCGAAGGTGGCCGTGATATAGGACGCTTGATTCCTGTCTTTCGAATTGGTCATAGTCCAGAGACCGGTTTGACGAATCCATCCCATCGTTACCACGGACATCTACGTCCAGTTGTCTTTCAAGCGACCGATGTTTCTGTTGGTGTGGAGACTTTACCCACAATGACTTGGGCTGTTGTGCTTGTTCTTGCCGTACTTCTGCTTCGGTTTCCTGCTGTTGCTCATACTCCAGGTTATCCTCAAGCTCCTGCTCCTGCTCCTGTTCCTCTTCATGGTGAGGTTCAGACTCCGGCTCACGTTCAGGTTCTTGTGGTGATTCGGACCGCTGTTCAGGCAAGGGTTCGAAGTCTGGCGTGTTCCCAGCTATTGGCTCAAATTCTAATTCCCGTTCGCGTTCCAGGCGACTTGTTCGATTTGCTTGCCGCTGATGCAAAAGGCTAGATTCCAACTGTACTCGGTGTTGATGTTCTTGTCTTTGTTCTGCCCGAACCCAACTACTGGATTCTGACGCGGGTTTCGGCCCAGGTTCCGGTTCTGGTTCATGCGTTTTCCCCTTGCGCGGCTCTCGTTGTTGTCGCTTTCGTGGTTCTTTTTGAAACCATATGTCGGATTCTTCAGGCTCTTCTTCGGGCTCGGATGCAGGCTCATGTTGTGGTTCTGCCTCCTTTCCACGTTCAGACCTTGATTCGGGTTTCGGTTCCGATCCAGCATCGGACCCAGGCTCAAGCACAAGTTCCGACTCTGGTTCGCGATCCAGATCCGGGTCCCGTTCTTCCTCTCGTTCTGGCTCTGGTTCCGAATCTTGTTCCGGTCCTGGACCTGGTTGGTTCTGGTGCCTTTCCAGAGACTCTTCGCCCTCATGCGCATCATCCTCCTCTACTTCCTCCACCACCTCGGCCTCTCCCCTGTTATCTCCCGTCGAATATCGATATAGCGGGTCGTAACTGGGAAGGGGTGCCCTTGGCGTAGTCGTCAAATTGGGGTTGACAGAATAATCGATTGTCCTATTATGACTTGATCGGTCGTCCGATTCCTGCTGACTTATTCGCAACGACCCGATCGTCTTACTGATGTAAAAGCTTGTCGTGTCGCCATCACGAGCATCCTCGTTTTGCGCTGCTTCGTGCCCTTGCTCCTCGACATAGCTCGAAATTTGCTGCATAGATAGTAGCGAATATGGATCTATCATGGTGAATTCTTCGCCTGGCAACCTAGTTTCTGTTGGCTGAACTGGTGTATCCCTCGGTGTCGCATTGTCATCGTCGAGCTCCGATTCGATGTCGCTATGCGATTCGCCACCACCAAAGTCTGCGAACTCGACGTACTCATCTCCATGTGAAAGTTCCGACTCTAACTGGGGTGTTTCTCGACGCGCGGGTTCCGGTCGCAGCTGATCGACCCTGGAGGGTTGCGCTCTAGGTGCCCCGTTCCATCGTCGAGCGGCCGGTGTGTCTTGAGGTGGGTTAAACGAGTTGTCCAGCCATAAGTCGCCTTCCGACTCGTCAGGCCTAGGGGCATCACTCGAGGGAGCTCCAACACCTGTATTGCCCAAGATAACGTTTGACGGTACTCGTTGAACAATGCGCTCGCGACGGATGGGTTCCTGATTCCGATTTCGGTTTCGGTCTTGTTGGTCGCGCCTGGATTGCGCTTCGGGCCCAGGCTCATGGTCGGAGTCGTCTTCTTTGAGCGCCGTAAGATCTCGGTCTATCAGTGCCGAAAACTCGTCGTGTGCAATCGAATGCTTCCTCGGACGGCCTCGTTTCCTTCGCGCAGAGCCCGGACCCAGCAGACTAGGCTGTCTCACCGGCGAAACACCCTTTCTCCGCTTCGGCGCACGACTGCTGGGCCCTGGTGTCAAGCTTATCCGCCGCTTTGTACCTGGTGTAAACCCGAGCTTGCTGAAATCGATTGTGACATCCGAATCTAGAACGTCCTTGGACGATGATCGTCTCTCGCGCAGTCGGAACCCGGGGGTCGCTGGTCGCATCGGGCGAGTCGTCGTCTTTGGTGTCTCGGAGCGCAAGGCCGTGCCTGGAGTAGCTGTTCGTGGTGGCCTTCCGCGCGGCCTCGGTGTAACAAACTCGCCAAGTCGAGTAATATCGTCGTCGCCATCATCCTCCACGCCGCGCAAGGGAACCGTAACCGAAGTCGTCCTTTCTCTTTCGCGGATGCTGCGAGCGGTTGGCGTCGAGTGCTGAAACAGACGGCGACTAACACTGCTTCTTGAAGTAACTCTCGAGGACTCGGCTTCGACAGTGACCAGCAGGCGCTGGGGCGATCGCGCGTCTCCAACGTCCAATTCGAACATGCGCTTTCTCGGCGTGCTTTCTCGGAGGGCTTGGACTCGTTGTGTTCGTGGAGTGGGCTGGTTTCTACGGGAACCGCGACGCGCCGATGCGGGGAGGTGGGCTGGGATAGCTGGTGTCACGGAGCGAGAGGCTGGCGTGGCGGCCGTCTCGAGGAGTGGATCCGTGGACGACGAAATGTCGTCGACCGACATCATGGACGCGTCTTCGTCCTCGTCCATGGCAGCCCTGGTTGTGGGCGCATGAGGCCCTGTGTGATGGTGGTGGTGGGTATAGCGCAGTTAATGGAGTGGATGGTCAAGCAAATATGTAAATGTTAGCAAAGGATGCATCAGAGGGCGCATGCGCATAAACCTCCTATCCAAAAGGTGCGGATCTGAATGCTAGCAATTGTTTACTTTGGGATTCCCGTCGTTGTTGAGGCGACCCGACCCATGATTCATTGACAGTTTTGGATCCGTCGCCAAGCAACAGCTGTAACTGCGGGCCAATGAGAACGCGACCGCAAACTGTCCCCGCGGTTCGGAAAACCCCGGTCTTCAGCTGGCAGGCAAGGCAGGCACGGCAGGCTGGAGGGAGTCCACATTTTCAGGGCTGGGAATGCTTAGTCAGGCACGGACCCCTCCCACGCAGACGTCATCGCCTCGGCATAATGTTTTGCAGTATTTCGAGACTCTTTCACGATCAACAACATGGGATTGTTGGAGGTTTGCAACACTGAAATATGGGGAATTATGCCGCCATGTGTCAACACAATTCTCACATCCTGGAAGGGAACACATCTTGGCACGGGTAGGGCAGCTGGAACAAAGATAACTCCATCTTTACACCGTCCCAACCCGGATTACTAATTCTAAACCTATCCCATCCGACATCTGACGACACCACCATATCCGCAGTAGCAAATCCCATGTCGGATATGGGCGCGCCCTTTACATGACGTGATCGTGCTAGCGAATGGCTTCACATTCGTGAGAGTCTTCACGCCCTTCGACTCTTTCCCAGCGTTGAGCGCGTGTGCAAGTCAAACTTCATGACGGAAAAACGTCAACACCAGGATCGGCTGGTGTACAACACCTTTGTTAAATAACTATAATCCACCATTGCTTTGAAATCACGATTGTTACTAATGTTCGTGCCGTGAGCTCTTCTTCTTCACCGTTCTCAACAGTTTGTCTCCTTTTACATTACACCAAGTAGAACGGTGATGTGAATGAAGATATAAACCAGTTCGCATCACCTCCTCCATCATCGTCGTTTGGACGATATTTAGCAGTAGCAGCAGCAGCATCAACATCAGAGCAGCCATCTATTACACTCAAGACATATTCTACAAAGACTCTCTCCCACTGCCCCTCCACCATCACAATGGCCATCACCACCTCTGCAGAAGACCGCGTCCCCCGCGGCGACGTCGTCGCCCCCTTAAACTTCTACGCTCCCCCCTCGGACGGCTCGACACCCCTCCAGAACATCGACCCTCCCCCCGGCGTTCCCGAGCGCAACTTCTCTTACGAAACCCTCCCCATCACCATCCACGACATCCGCACCAGCTCCGACCGTGATCCCTCCTCCTTCACGCTCGACAACGACGCCTTCCAAATCCTCCAAGGCCTGCCCCCCTCCGCCGAAGAAGACCCTGCAAAGAATGGCGGCTCCAACTTCACCTCCGACGCCTCCATCTCCCAACTCTACTACCCCGAAGTCACCTCCCTCTTACTCCAAAACATCCCCGGGTCCAACAAAGTAATCATCTTCGACCACACCATCCGCCGCACCACCCCCTCTGCGCCCCGCGGTCCCGTGCAGCGCGTGCACATCGACCAAACCGCCTTCTCCGCCGCGCAGCGCGTGCGCCGGCACGCTTCCTCCCCCGAAGAGGCCGAGCGGCTGCTGCAAGGCAGGTACCGCATCGTCAACGTGTGGCGGCCCCTCAACAAGGGACCGGTGGAAAGTTTCCCGCTGGCGTTTGCCAGTTCGCAGACGGTAAACGACAAAGATATCGTCCCTGTTGAACACAGGTATAATAATGGGTATACGGGCCAGACGGCGGGGGTGAAGCATGATGAAGGGCAGAAGTGGTACTTTTTGAGCGGGATGACGGGGGACGAGAGGATTTTGCTGGAGTGCTTTGATAGTTGGGCGGGTAAGGAGGAGGAAGGGAAGAAGGTGAAGGGGGGACGGGTGCCGCATACGGCTTTTGAGGATCCGAGACAGAGGGCGGATGCGGAGGGACGGGAGAGTATTGAGGTGAGGGCGCTGGTTTTTGGACCTTGAGTTGGGGAGTGTTGCTTTGGGGGTGGTGATTGAGGCATGGTTGGAGGATTCTGGGTGAATCGGTCATGTTTTGATAGGGTTAAGGGATGGGTTTGAGGTATCGTATGCAGATAGATGTTCGAACCAATGTGTTCGGGACACTGGAATTTATCTTTGCTCTTCTGTTAAGCTAGTAACTTTTAGCGATATCTAAACAAAATGACTATCAGTCTTTCTCTTGTGATGAGCTGATGAAACTCATCCTGCCAGTCGTTATGTGGTTGCCGAATCCGATATGGATGCCTTGGAGGAAGATATGCATAAAGCAAAGCGAAGCCTAGCTGGCTCCCAAAACACCAAGGCTATGTCAAACAACATGCGGTAGAACCACGAGATAATGAACGAACCGAAAAGGATCTATACGTAATACCTAATGCTAAAACAGCAGATATGAAAGCATCGAATGCTCAAGTAGCACCTGTGATAAAGTCCAGTAAGATTTCCCTTGAACTCCGTAACCCCTTCAATGTATGCGCAACCCTCGATCCAGATCTGAACTAACGCCTCTCCGTACCGCTTTTCCTTCCTGCGCGCGATGGAGGCAAAACAGGCATCATCGTAAAGGAGGAAACATTCAGTATAATATGTGAAGCACCAAGTGCCAGACGGCGCTGGGCACTCTCTTTCGTCGTCGCGAACCGCTTGTCACCGACCATGCTCTTAGTTCTCGTCGAATTCCGTTTCTTAATTATGTCTGGGCCGCCGTCTTCTCTAACCACCGCGGCCGCCGCGTCCCTTTCTGCTGCTGGTCCGGCTCATAGCCACGCCGCCGTTGGCACTAGACTGTCTGCTCATAGAGACACCCCCAAGCGCCTTAGCAGGAGATTGATGATGAGACGGAGTACCCGAGCGACCACCCTTTGACGGGGTGCCGAGACCGAGGCCATTGGTTGGCTCAGATCTTTCGGGCTCGACAGGCTCCTTGATCGGGGGAAGACCAAGGCGCTGCCTGAGTTCGTTCTCCGATGGCCGCTCGCCCTGAACAAAGGACACGAATCTGCGGTCCTTGATCGGGAGCGACACCGATTGGAGAAGCTTCATGCTTCCATGCTCAGTCTGCAGATTGGCGCCCATGCCGTTAAGTTGGTCGTACTGCTTTAGGGCATGCATAACCATCAAGTCCCCGGTCACGTCGTCAGTTGCCAGTGCTGCCGGTGTATTAAACTCAGACTGCTTTGCATGGCCCTTGACGTATTGTGACGGGAAGGCAGGAGGCTGCTTAGGGTCCTGACTACTAGTCAAACGCTCAAGGTTACCGGGGAAGTCGAAGTTAGCGAGCATCTCCAAGCCCATGAGTTTGTCGTCAAAGTTGGGATTGTTAGCCCCAATTTTGTTGCTGCGAGTAGCGTGCGACACGTTCCTCTCCATCATCGGCGCCGAGGGAGCCGACTCCGAGTCGGGATCATCAGGGTCGCCGCTACCGGAAACACTACCCTCAGGGGACGAGATGGGGCGGCCATAGTCATCAAATCGTGGCTTATGGGTAAGAATGTACTTGTGCGCCGCCAAAGCCGACTGGTTGTAGGTCATTGACAATTCCTTGTCCGTGAACAGCTTGTCGATGCTGTAGATGGGACCGGTGGTCTTGCGTTGGACCAGACGGTCTGTCTGCCAAAGGGGTGTAGTGCTGTTGGGATCGAGGGCGCGACGTTGTGGCGCTGGTGATCCATCGTCATCATTCATGTTGCGCTTTCTTTTCTTGCCGTCCATGCCAGTCATGTCCTCCATTTCTCTCCGCAGGCGGGTGGCCCGCTTGCCATGTGTGCCTCCAGGGCTGGCTGGGTTTGTAATGCTGAATTGGTTGGGGTGCAAGAGGAGCGCGGACGCATCGGCAATCTCGAGGGCCTCCTTTTCCTTGTTGAGTCTGTATTTCTTCGAAGTGATAATGTTGATCAATCGGTCACGGAGGGTCGAGGCGAGCGCTTTGTGTTCTCTGTTCGCAAGCTCCGTCTTATAGGCATGCGTGTTGAGGTATTCGGCGATCTTTTTCTCGTAGTCGAACTGTGGAACCAAGAGTCAGCATTGGCAGGAGAAACGGTTAGGACAGGGCGACGTACTTTGAATTTGGTGAGAGCATAATCGCGTTGCTCTGCGAGATCCTGTACTTTTTCCATCCACTTGGCAAACTTAGGGCCAGCCATGTCAAGGAGGGATCGCGGAACTCCCTCGGAGTCGGTGCCATTGAGCTGGTTGAGTCGTCTCTGATCCTCTTCAAAGCTGTCTAAAGGTCGGTCGACATAGGGGTCGACTCGCATGACCAGACTGGTGTCAATCTGGATCTTCTGTAGTTGTTCACGAAATGCCTGGTCTCTGTCCTTGCTCCATTTGTCGGAAAGGGTTGCAATACGTTCGGCGAGCATTTGGCGACGCTTGTCTCTCTTGGACTGTGACTGCGACTGCCCGGGAGGAGGGGAAGCGTTGGAGCGGCGATCAGGCCGTCCGGGAGGCGCGTCGGCCATGGTAACGTCGGTAGAGGCCATGGCGAAGGGCCGCTCGTAGATGTGTTTCTTGGTTGCTTGGTTTTGATAGTATCCAGACTAGGTAAGACCAGGCGAGGTAAACCTCAAGGCGAGGCAAGTGGGCGGGAGAATGGGTGCCCGGTGCAGAGATTTGAGGCTGGAAGACTACAAGTCAAAAGTCGACTGGACGACGGGAAGAAAGTTGCCCTCGTCCGCCGATGGACGGGCGCGCAGAAAGGTTACAGCGCAAGGGCGAGGAAAGAGGAACGGCTTCTGGTGGTCGAAGCGGATTTGGACATAGTCCTCGTATGGTCTTCGTAAATATTTGTCGACAGCGAGGAGACGTATGGTGCAGATGGAGAAATATGTAGGATAAATTGGGGTTGACAGCAGGATGAGCCGAAGTGGAAGGAGAATGCGGGCAGCGGCACGCAAGAAGTCGGCTCACGTCCGGCCACCGGCTTCACACAGGGTTGAGTCGCTTCTCCCCTTCTCACAGGGCCCTTACTTCCTTGCCCTGGCATTGTTTACAGTGATCAAGCTCCACCGCACAGGCGCTGTAAGAGCAATCTGCCGCGGGAAGCAGCGATACACCTGCAGCTGATGCTCGTTACTGTGGCTCAACCTCCGCAATGTGGCTGACTTATACGCAAACTGCCTGCCGGAAGCTACAACCTCGATTGGTGCTGCGTAGTGTAGACAATCCACTAAATGCTTACGGCCAGAGCCGTGTAAGAAAAAGTTCGTGCGGCTCGGGCTGTCCCTCAAGGGACCCTCTCACCGTGGAAAGTGGGGTGAACTGCACAAACAGCGGAGCAAGGTCAGGACGGCAGCTGCGTGCGCGGGCAGGCAACGTCAGGGCGGGCAGCTGTCCCGTCGCATCATCGTATCCCGCTTCCCATTCAACAACCTCGAAGACAGTCCCCGAGCTTCACAAATGGACTGGAAGACATAGACCATCATCACATACACCACCATGGAGCACCTCTCGATAAACGATCAACCCCCACCGCCGCCCTTCCCTCAGGGCCCCGGCCAGCCAGGACCCGGCATGCCTCCGCCGGGACTCCTTGGAGGTGGCCGTCCTCCCCAGCCCCAGCAGTTGCCCGCGCAAATGTTCACCACAGCTGCCCAACTCCTCGACCTCACCGATAGTAAGAAGGAACATTGTGGAAATATCTTTGGACAGGAGAGCTAGGCTGACCATCAACAGAGAAGCTAATGGTAGCATTGCGCGACGGACGAAAGCTCACGGGCATCCTCCGCAGTTGGGATCAGTTTGGTATGCCTCCATGAACCTACCTCTCACAACACATGACCACCTACACACGCACCGAGCACGAGCATGAGGAGGTGACTGTGTTAACGCGAAGCCACTTTTTCCCACCATACTAGCCAACCTAGTACTGCAACAAACAAAGGAGAGGATATTCGTGCCTCCAGGCACGCAGTCACCCGCCCAGGCCAGGGGGCTCTACGCCGACGTGGACCGGGGCATCTTCGTTGTTCGCGGCGAGAACGTGCTCCTTATGGGCGAGATCGACCTGGACCGCGACGACGACCCGCCCCCGGGCTATGACCTTGCCGACCTCGAACTGGTGCAGACGCTAGCCAAGCAGAAGAAGGCCGAGGAGAAGGCCAAGGAGAAGCGCAAGATCAAGAAGCTTTCCACCATTGGCTTCGAAGGGGAGAACGTTGGCGAGGCGCTTCTATGAACAACATGAAATCACGACACCCTTAAGCTTTACAGATGGGACCGGAGGAAAGAGACGGGAGGAGAGACGACCAGAAACATTATCTTGCTATGATCCATACATAACCCCTCAAGTGGAAGTGGAGTGATCAGGAGGGAATGGGATGGGCGGTTGGAAGCAGAATATTGTGAAATGCTATCCGCCCAATCTGCGACTTTACGAATGGAAGATCGCAAAAAGCCTGACACCAAGGTCGCCGAGAAAACACCATGTGTATTTTACTGTTATCGAACTTACCAATTCGATGGATTTCCTCGAATTGAAACATATGGTCAATGACTAGATCACATTTGGGGTAGGATAGCCCGCGAGAGATATCTACGACTAACACCTTTTCCCAGGACTACAAGTGCAAGGTGTTCCAGAGGGCCATTTCGAGGTGGAATTTGCCGTACCAGCCGTTGTTGACTAGGCCGGATTCTTGCGGGGGGAGGGAGGAGGCGTGGTTTACGGCTAGGAGGTAGAGGGAGAGGAGGATGCGGCGTTGGAGTTCGGTTGCGGGAGGCGGTGATGTTTTTACTGGTGGAGGATGACGATGACTTGGACTTGGATTTGGACTTGATGACGCGGGAGAGGTTGACGAAGGCGCCGGTGGTCCAGTAGGTGTTCCACCAGGTTTTGGTTTTGGTGAGTAACTTGGGGAAAGAAGTGGTGGTGGTGGTAGCACTGGTTGTTGCATCTAAAGGCTCAGGTGAAAAGGTAGCTGTAAGCCGCAAACTTCTTGATGTCGTTGTCTTTTTGCTGTTCATCCTGAGGAAATACCGATGGGTTCCCTCAGCCGGACCGGTTACCGTCGCTTCTTCCCCTTCCCATTTCAGCGTGAGATAATACGTTGTCTGGCCCAAAGAGTGCTGGATCACGGCGGAGTGAGGAGACGTCTGGCGCAAGATGGTCATGTGGTTGGCTGTTGCGTTCCACAAGCCGACAAAGGGGGCGTCAAACTTGTTTCGGTCGGAATAGGGAAAGTCGAAGAAGAGACCAAGCCCGCCGCCGCCGCCGGATCGAAGCAGCAGCTTGGAATCGATTTCTACCAAGACGGTGTCGGAGTCTGGATCGACCGCTGTGTTTACAGAGACGGGAACACTCTTGTAGATAAATGATGACCTTAGTATTCCTGACCAGATATCGAGTGTCTGCGTCTTCTTCTCCAGGTCTGCCTCCGTGACGTTCTCATCATCATCATCATCATCATCATCATCATCATCGGGGAAGGCAAAGCCAATGTTTCCCAAGTTGATACGCTGGGGGTTCTGGATAAGCCATTGCGAGATGTCGTTCTGGGCTGGGTTGGGCTGGTTGTAGGTCACCAGTCTGTCGTGAGGCCACCACTGCAGGCCTGTGAAGTCATCGATAGATGTCTGGCTGGGCGTGGTGGGTAGGCTGAAGTTGTGCCAACCCCATGTTGAGAGGGTGGCTTAGGGCTTGAAGGTCTGCAGGCCGGTGATGTCGGCGCCGAAGGCAAAGTTCCCGTTTCCCACTTGTAAAGGTGTTGAGTCTGAGCTAGCGTTCCGTCGAGGGTTGTAAGCCTGTACTACTTTTTGTCTTTCGTGGGCAGATATTTTGCCCTCGACCAAGCAGGAAAGGAGGAAGAGGGTGAGATGCCACATTGTCGGTTGCAGCTCACTTGAACTATTTCATGGTCATAGTCCTAGACCAGTCTTCTTGATATACTTTGCCGGTGTAGTTTCTACCCTCTTGCTTGAGGCAAGTAGCTTCATCTTGGCGAGTACTTCTCCTCATCTTTCTGGGCACTACCATAAGGCGAACCATGAATCGTCAACGTGGTGAAGCCATTATTAGCCTGTCTGCCCGGTAGTCTGGGGAAAGTGAGGGGGGTTGCGGTCCCTGAATGGTGAACCACCCGACAACCACTGGACACTTATACGGCTACTCCCGCACAACGGAATCTCCGAGATGAGTGGCAGTGGATGTTTACTATCGATCTGCCATGTGCTTTGCTGCTCTAGCGAGATCGGGAGCGCCGTCGACCCGAGACTCGGAACTTCCCATGCTCCACCGGATGGAGGCTGTGTGTGGATGTTGTTATCGAGAAATCCATATCCGAATGGATCCTTTCAGCCAGTCTCATAAAAACAAGACAGCTCTGGTAGTGTTCAAAGAAGCTCAAAGCATGTGACGGTACTTGTGATGGGCAGCTGTCAGCATCGCGGCAATTGTAGTAAAAACCAGATTCAGTCATTTATTCTGGTCATTGTTTATAGCTTGGACACTGATGTGAGGATATCGCTCTGAAGAGAAGCATTTGATAAAGTGAAATGTCGAAGTTGCCTGCCGCTCTTGAGGTTGGAATGGGCGGCCGAGACCCTTCAAACCAGTGGAGCCGTGAGTTGAAGTGACCCCACTACCGACGAACCTAATGCGGGGACATGGCAGGCGCTAAGAGCTTCCCGGCTGCCCCTGCCCAGCTGCTGGGCCATCAAAGAGCCCGCCCGTGATTCGCTGCTGCCAGCGCGAACTTGACTGTCGTTGTCAGGTCGGGCGCATCCCTCAAGGTAAACAATTAAAACATGCCCCGTCACTTCCTCTCCCTTTCAATGTCCTTAATAAACACCCAACCTCTGCTTCTACCCTTATACCAACACACGGCTGGTTGAGAAGTCAGATTAGCGCCATTTGGTCTTGATCTTCTAGCATCCGGTATCTGGCGCATTTGCTTGTATCGGTACGTTGTTCGCATTTCTACGGTCATGCGACAAGGACCATTCCTGTTGCCAACTCAATGTTACCCGCCAACAAATGATATATCAGCTGCCCCTCCGCTAACCCCTACAACTACTTGTCGCAGTTCACCCAATATCCTTCCGAACATCTCGAACATTTTTGCCCGTCGCCATGAGCTCCTTTCTTACGACCGTGTACGTTGAGCCCTCCCCCTTTTCCCGCCCTTTACGAGCCCACCACGGAAACTTGGCGATCCGATGACGTAATTTGGAAACGAAAAGCGAGGATGAGCTCGCTCGCCGTCGCATCCATCTCCTTTCCAGGAGGCCAACACAACGCATGACTGGAACACCGTTCGACCTCAATAGCAGACAGAGATGCCATGCCGGGTGAAATAGCTGCTAACATGGTTTCACCATAGAAATCAGCGGACGCGCAACCAGTTCCGACCTCGCGCGAGCGGCAAGGGCGGTGCGACCAGCTACCAGCTGCGACAATATGCCGAAGCAACACTTGGCGGAGGTAGTTTGCGAAAAGTGGTGAAGCTGCCTGAGGGTGAAGACGAGAATGAGTGGTTGGCTGTAAACAGTGAGCATCAACCCCGCCGACCCAGCTTGTTTCGCTCAGGGGCATCCGCTAACCCGCTATGCTAGTGGTGGACTTCTACAACCAAATCAACCTCCTTTATGGCGCCATTACCGAATTCTGCTCTCCCCAGACTTGCCCCGAGATGAAGGCGACCGACGAGTACGTTTCGATCAGAACCTATACAAGAAGACCAACACGCTGACAGAGTCTAGGTTCGAGTACTTGTGGCAGGACACGGAGAACTACAAGCGACCGACCAAGATGCCTGCTCCAGCCTACATCGAGCAGCTCATGACCTGGGTTCAGGGCAACATTGACAACGAGGCCGTCCTACCGAGCAGGATTGGAGTTCCGTTTCCCAAGTCCTTCCCGGCGCTGGTGCGTCAGATCTTCAAGCGCATGTACCGCGTTTACGCCCACATCTACTGCCACCACTACCCTGTCATTCGGGAGCTGGGCTTGGAGCCGCATCTCAACACCAGCTTCAAGCAATATGTGCTGTTCATCGACGAGCACAACCTGGCAACCGGCAAGGATTTCTGGGGGCCTCTAGGCGACTTGGTCGACAGCATGTTGCGCAGCGACTAGACGACAAAATCTTTTATGGCTTTGGCATTGGCGCATGGTTATTTGACAGGGCTAAGCAGGTCGGCGTTAGGTTGGGCGCGGATTGTTTCCATTACAGGCATTCGTTTGGTTGGTATGGCGGGCTGGCAATGGACTGATAAGGGATTGAGGTACCACGGAATTCAGGAAGGGCGGCGCATGCTTTTGGTGGCGCGTAAAGGGCACCGGGATCTCTTTTGATTTTCCGTTGTAGAGAGGGACAGAGAGGCCTGGAGCTTCCCCTGGAAATAGACGCTTTTTAATACCATAATGCTGCAGCATCAAAATCGTCCAACTTCGCATGGAACTTCATGTCAATGTTAGGGATGCATGAATTAGTTGGGCGTGATGCGCAGACGGGATGGCACCGATAACGTTATCGGGATGTTGCTTGCCCCACTTGGCACGGGCAGTTCCGGAGAGAAAGCACTGGGCACCTAGCTGGCGGGCTAAAAGGTCTTGGCAGAGGTAAGCTCCAGGATTTGCAGCCTGAGGCAGACACGATTTTGCCGAGCGGCTCCAAACCCACCCGTTACTTTGACAAAACTGAACCGGAGCTTGACTTCACGACATCGAGGTCCCCCGTCCACCCGTATCATATCCCACACGCCCATCATGTTGTCGCGACAGGCCCTGCTCCGCCCCGCGCGGGTTATCAACACCCAGGCCCGCACCTACGCTGCCGCCGCCGCCTCCAGCAACGTCAAGCCTCCCGTGGCTCTCTTCGGTCTCGACGGCACCTATGCCACTGCTCTGGTACGCCCACGCGCCCCGGACCCCGACGCCACGGCCAATTGACTAGCCCCCGAGCTCCCGTGTTCGTAGGGTTCCGTCGATTGGAGCTCTCCCACATAAACCGAACCGACGATCGAAAGCAATGGATGGACTGGATATATAGCAGAGAGCTAACAGTTCCCTGCGTCATTTACACATGATATAGTACACGGCCGCCGTCAAGACCAACGCCCTCGAGCCTACCGCCAAGTCCATCACCGGCCTCGGCAACCTCCTCGCTAAGGATGCTAAGCTCGCCACCATCCTCGAGACTCCCACCCTCTCCCCCGCCGACAAGAGCGCCATCGTTGCCGAGCTCCAGAAGAGCGCCGGTGTCAGCGCCGAGACCGTCAAGAACTTCCTTAACACCCTCGCCGAGAACAACCGCCTCGGTCTCCTCCCCGGTGTCGTCTCCAAGTTCAGCGAGCTCATGAGCGCCGCCCGCGGTGAGGTCGAGATGGTCGTTACCAGCGCTCAGGTACGCTCGCTTTGTTCCGTTACGTTGTTTGGTGGTGGGCAGGAGAAGGATAAGAATGAGGAGGGAGACTACGAGGATGATGACGGAAGGGGAGCCGAGCTTACGGAAGGAATCACGACGACGACGAGGACGACGATGAAATTGGGCTTGGACATGGGCGGAAGCTCTGGCTGGAATTGGGATCCTGGGTGAACCGAGTCACAAAGTGATGGGAAACAGAAGTGCTAACGAAATGCTGAACCACCCCCATATAGCCCCTCGACAACAAGACCCTCAACCGCCTCGAGTCCGCTGTTGCCAAGTCCGCCTACGTCGGCTCTGGCAAGAAGCTCAAGGTCACCAACAAGGTGCGTTTTATCTCACCATCCCAACCCGGCAGAACTGAAGCTATACCCGACCCGGCTGCTTTGTGGTACTAGGCAAAACAAATACTTACCTTCTCACTTCAAACTTGAACAGGTCAACCCCGACATCATCGGCGGCCTCGTCGTCGAGATCGGCGACCGCACCATCGACCTTTCCGTCTCCGCCAAGCTTGCCAAGATGAACAAGCTCCTTAACGATGCCCTGTAAATCTACTATTTTCCGAGTTTCCTAAGAAGAGCAGAGCAAATCTTATAGCATGAACAACTTCCAAACCGACCGACTACTACGGCTCTCCTGATTGTTCGCGCGTTTCTACTGGGCGTGAGTGACGTTACGTCATTTGCTATAAAAAGGAGTGAAGCTTCCGTGTTGCGGACAGGGTCTCTGAAGCATCAGCATCAGCAGGATGACGGGAGGAAGGAAGGAGGAGGGAAAAGGGAATGAACCCCCTTTTGTGTGTATGATGAGCTTGGAATTTTCATATTTTACAGCCAGTCAGTTCAGTTCGTCTCACGAGTGCCCCTCGTTGTTCGTGTTTTGGACTTCTGTCAGAAAGACCCAATACAGCTGAGTGCAGTGCTTCCTTACGTGCCGCACTTGGCCGTTTGGGAGGTAAGCGTTTCCAAGACCATTTCAGCCACTTATTTATCGATGTAGGCACACAACGGAAGTGGTTGGGCTTATCTTCTGGCTGAACAACCATGTACGACCGAGGCTTTGCTCTCCCTAGGAATATCGCATATTCCTTGACATCCAAACCTCCAAACCAGGAAGAATCCAATGTGATTCCAAGAAACCACAGAAAGCCCCTCTTTCTCTCGTCTCCCCCCCGGGCATAAAGTCAAACGAAGCGGGAAGAGCTGAAAGCTAGTAAGTAGAAGAGAGTACTTAGACAAGCAGGAACTGAACTAGACAGATTCAAGTCTTGGAGGTTTTATTGGTTACTCGCTTGGGCGATGGTCCATCGTCCCACGTTTTTGTGTTGCTTAGAAGAGCTACAAAGAATTCGATTATACGGCTCGAAGAAATGGGTGTTTGCTCCTTCCCCTCAAGCTGATTGCTGGCGGTGGGGATCATGTGGATGGGGGAGGAAGTTGGGATGCCCAGAAGGGAAAGAATTGTCATGGGGAAGGAGCTTTCCTGCCATCTTTCATTGTGATGCAGGAACTCCTGCATCGTGCAGCAGAGCAGGTACGACAGACGCAGTGACCAGATCTCCTTATAAGGACGGCCGAGTCAGACATTCTCTGACTTGAGCATCCAACTTGACCATCATCAACTTGAACATGAATGAACCACACTCATCATTTACGGCGTTTCCATGCATCACGCTGCCTTCAGCTGAGACGATCGGGCCCGATCAGTGACTACCACTTCCTGCTGCCGGAGAGCAACCAACCTACCTCCCTTGCCTACTACGTATACGACTCCGCTGTCAAAGGCCTGCACAATAACTGTGTAGTTCAATGCGTCTATCAAGCGAAAGAGAGGTCTCCAATGCTAATTTGGGCGTGTCTTTTGACACTAATAAACACTATAGTATATACATGCTAATGATAAACCCGTATAGTAACCTAAACTCCTTTTGAATCCACAACCAGCACTGAAACACCGAAAGAAACAGCCACTTGAATGATCGAGCCCACTGCAGTTCATCTTTCTGCCGCGCCATTGCCTCTCTCTGCCCTGATTCGAGACAAAGTTCGACATCATCCGTCTGAAGTCCACTCATCACGCATCATCGTCGTATATCCAAGTTCACTTCTTCCATACCCATACTTTATGCCGCTTCCCAAGATTATGACAAGTTACCCGACCCCGTCCTCCGCTCTCTCTCTGCCACGCATGAGCCATGCGAAGTTGTCGTTCGATACTTGTGGCTTAACTGCGGCCAGGCATGCCCAATGTTCCCTTCCCATGTTTCCATTTTGCTTCATAACTGGGGACACTCGGTTGTTAGGGCACGGCGATTGTGTCTGACAATCGAGTAGGTTATTTGATGTTGATCGGGCAACCAGTCCATGGACCATATTCCGCGCGCGTATTCGGGATATCGTGTCGGACCTCTTTCAACGATGTGTCTCAACAATGTTGTTGGTTGGGACTAGCCTCGTCTGTCTTGCCTTTGGTTGTGTTATATGTGTCTTCGCCGATCCCAATGTTTTTGCCCGCATATTGTCTCCCTGGTATGCACCCTCGCCCCCTGTCCAGTGTCCAGGGCCTCGCAAGCCGGCCAACAACTAACTCAACTGCATTAGATCCACGGCGCTGGTGACATCCCCCGCTCCCCATACCGCCCCCGACTAGCCCAACTATTCGTCACGGACTCCATCCCTCCCGTCCCCGTCATGGTGCTGCTAATCGTACCTCCTCCTGGAAGGTCCTGAAGGTTCGTCGTCGGAGTCAGACTAACGGTACAGCTCTTCAAACTCTGCAAGCTCTGCCATCGACTTGGAATCATCAACGACGGTTCCGCCGATGAGGGCATGTCCGAGCTCGCCGCCTCCATTGGCACCACCGCTTCTAATTCGGCAAATTGGTGCCCGGGGTGTTCGACGGGACGGCCGTACGCGTAACTCGGACTGCGACTCGGGCTCTGGCTCGGGCTCTGCCAAACCGGCGACAAATAAGCCCGTTCCGGTTCCGCAGGTTGTCCAGGTGGTGGCGTAGCGCCAGAAGTACCTGTTGATCGGGAATCCGAGAACATGCTCATGTGCCTCATGTGCCTCGACGACTGATGACCACGGTCCGACGCTGCCGTTGAGGCTGCCACGTACGAACAGGCCTCTTCCGATAGCTCGTAGTACGGCTGCACGTCCTTGGGCGGGACAGGCGGACCATTTCTGCTGCTGAGACCACCACCACCACCATCACCTTTGCTGCTGCGGGTTCCGGCGATCCCGGTGGTTCCTCTACGTCGTAATCGCTTTTTCCGTCGCCAGCGCGTAAAGAAGAAGAGACCCACGGAGCCGGCGGCGAGAAGGGCGAAAGCTGCGGATCCGACACCGATGCCGATGGCTGCGCCGGTGCTTACTCCGCCGCTACTACTGCTCGTCGTCGTTGCTGATGGGTCGGCGGTGGTTGTTGGTTGAGGTGTCGTCGGTAAGGAGGTAGCGGTTGCCGTCGTGCCGGAGTTATCTTGCTCTGAGGTCTGGATGCGCCCATCTTGCATTGCTCCAAGGACTACCTGGATGCCATAGGCGCCGATGCCGCCTCGTCGCTCGAATACGGTGGTGTGAGCTCCGATGGTTCCATCGGATATGACAGTAACACCCATCTCGACCTCGGCTCCCTTGGGAAAGGTTGTGGTACATGCTAGTGCCTGAGCGGTGTTGTCGGCGCAGGTAAAGGTGAGGACACTGCTTCGGTGTTAGTATCCTGACAGCTTTTTTTTTTTTTTTTTTTTGAAAGAAGGTTTATCGTACGCCCCGCTCGGACAGCACAGAACTGCCGTTTGAGTCACACCCGCTGCCTCTGTCTCTGTCACAGGGAGCCCAGAGTGCGAACATGGTGCTGCTGTGTATCCCTTGGGACAAAATCCGGGGTTGTAGTAGTTGGTCGGGATCACATTGTAACCATCAGGAAAGCAATTCGAATCAGGTGTGTAGAGAGGACCGTGGATGTATTGGGATGTGCTCCCCTTCCAGACCTGATATATCTGGGGTGTGTTGGTGGTGCAACTGGCTGGTGGTGTGAACGTCGTCGTTAAAGAGCCAAGATTGGTCATGGTGGTGCCGCACTGCGCATTCAAGCGGGCAGCTTTAATTCATCTCAGATCCAACACCCAACCGAGATAAGAAGCATTATAGGTATGGGTTTGAGGCGGCGCGCGTATTAGAGAGAAAGATGTTCAATGTTCTCGCGTCACTTGCTCGGTTGACGGCACTTGCAACTGATGGGTTTGAAGGGAAAACAGCAACAACGCCGGGAGCAGAAGAGGAATGGATTGGGGGTTGCATAGTCCAAGTTCTTGCTCCCTTGACTACACCTGGAAAAACAAAAACCTGAACTAGCCCATGGACAAGATGGACTGTTGGTGAAAGATGCAACCTGGAGTGCATATGGGCGGGCTGGCGGGTTGGCACACCGTTAGGGGCACAACCCGCCCACCCACTCACCCACTCACCCACGCAGCCAGACGCCCTACTGGGAAATGTAACCTATCGTGCTCATGGGTGCCCCCATCACCGAATCACTGGTTGCCAAGCCAAGAGGATGAATGAGGAGATGAACCTCACTCATTTGGGTTTAGACGCGACAAGCAGCCCAATGGGATGGCCAATTTGGAAGGCTAGCCCCGGAGAGAATGTTGAGAGCGCAGAGCGGTCGGTCACCGTCAGCTTTTTTCGTGCGCGCGCGGGATACACGATGTCAACCGGATCCTCGGGCACTACCTAGCCGTGCTTTGTCGCGGTGAGGGTTTGAGGAGAATGAGCGTGATACATGGGTTCATGATGAAACCCAAGGTACACAGATTGGTGTCTTCTCAGTGAACATCTCGACAATCTCAAAAAGCCAGATAATTTTGATGAGAGTTCTTCGGGAAGGTCCAGCTGAACAGGCTAGTAACCCAATTGGAAACGAGGACCCATCGTGCCCTTGCATTGCCGCAAATCCCGCTCCCGGAGCTGACTGTGATCGGGCGGGGAGGGATCGGGGTTTTGGTGGCGCCTGGCGGATATCAATGGACGAGGAATTGAGAAGAGTTCACATCAAGCGCCGTGCCTTTTGTAGTGTAAGATATGTGCTGACATGGCTGATGTTATGGGCAAGAAGGTAAACAAACTTGGTGATTACCGCTGCCCTGGTGTTCGGGAAGGACGTGGTTTTAGGTGAGGAACACGAGTGAAAAGTGCTGCGGGATCTGCTTCCACAGTGAATAGCAACTCGGTGTGTTATCAGTGCCCTTGAGTGCCCTGAGTTAATGCTTCTGATCCATGGCAATGATCTTGGTGATGGCTTCATGTCACAGTCGGGGAGAGAGGATTCGGATTGAAGTCACGGGCCGATTGAATGATCGCTGACAGGACGGGACGGGATCACCAGTGCATGCTTTAGCGGAATGACTCCACCTGTCAAAGTTATTGTATGCCAAGACAGCTGTCAAGCCCTCCAAGCGAGCAGCTCCTCGGCCTGTCAGCAGCTGCCAATGGCTGTCATCTGGACATCCTCTCCAAGACTCCAACAACAGCTCAACTCCAACAACCCCTCCTTTTCCCTCAACCACAACCCACAAGTTCACCAAGACAGCGCCCAGCATGATCGCTTGAGTCAGGCTTCTTTCCGCAGCGACGACGTCGGATCTCTGTCATTTTCACATGCTGTGCTCAACTCCCCGGAATTGTTCTCCCACAGTTGCATGGCTTCATGGAGGCACCCAAGCAGCCTTTGCTTCCATCCGGAGAAGGGAGCTCTGGAGCGAGCAATGCATCTTGATGCTCGACTCATCTACTACGCTGTGTCACGGGCTGTCACTCATTTGAGTAGATTCTACATACAATGACACCATGTTGCTGTTCCCTTTCAAGTCCTTCCCCCCCGTCTGCCTTGCACACAGGTCCTTCCTGGCTGTTGTTGACAATAGCGGGAAACTCTCCCGGACGCAGTGACGCTTAATCCACACTTGGCTGACCAATTCCGTAGTACCTGCTATGCTTCGACTATTTGCAACGCCAGGTGAAGATGGAAGCTGCAATGATCCCGAGGGACGATGTATGGACAAGTTGCTTCACCTTTCTTACTGCGGCTCCTCCATATATCAACTAGTAGTGCGCTCCTTGAGCTTCGCCTCCTAGTCCTACGCCTCCACGACTCGAAGCTTAAGTGTGCTCACTTTCCTATGTTCACGAACCTATTCTTTCGCATCCTTCACTAGTCCCTATCTCCCAACATTTCATTTACCCGATCCTGGAGAAGCCGCGAGCTCGAGGCAGGAACCTCAACCGCAGCTATGATGGGCATCATCTCCACGACTCTGGCCTCCGTTCTGGCCGGAACCGCTCTGTCGCAGGCATCTCCAGCTATCAGGGACGAGTCTGCTACAGAGCGTGTATGGTCCTCTATCGCATGGGTTATGCATGGCGACCGGAGTCCTCTCGGTGTACCGGGCTCTCCCCCTAACCTGACTCCCTTAGGTGCTCAACAACTCCTTCGCCGAGGCACAGTTCTTCGCAATCGTTACATAGTGGCTGCTCATGAACCGGATAGTTTTGACGTTTCCAAGCTCATCGGAGCCAAGCTCGTGGGCCTAAGCACGAACGCCATCGACAATACGCAGCTGGATGTTCTTACGGGCGCAGACAGTTACAACTTTCACAGTGCTTTGGCCCTCATGCAGGGCCTCTATCCCCCGTCAACACGGGTGTTTAATGGGACAGATGGTATAGCAGCTGCCCTTCTTGCCAATACCAAAATCTTGGATTATCCTCTGGAAGGATATCAGTATCCGGTTATCAGGTCTCCATCAGTCGACGACCCTGAATCTGTCTCGTATGGAAAATTCCCCCCAAGTATCATTTTGCACATGAAACATTTTTAAGATAGCTAACAGTTAACACTTCTAGGGTTGACGCCAATAACCTCTGCCCCCAGTATCTGCACTCTCTGGACAGCTTTGAGAATGATACTCAGGTGGAGAAGACCTACAACGAAACACTAGTCTTCTACAAAGCGGAATGGGAAAGGATCTTCCACGGCGACAATATCGCGTACCCTTTGAATCTGGCAGACTACCATCATGCTTACGCATTCTACGACCACGTCCAGTACCTCTACGTGCACGACAACGCCACGAAAAGTCAACTCAACTCCACCTTTGTTGATTACATGGGCAGTCTCGCAGCTTCAGAGCAGCGTGAAAAGCATGGGAACTTGACTGTGTCTGGAAAAGACGAAGGCGACAAAATCCGTGCCGTTGCAGGCCGCACCATGGCCGGCAAAGTCATGAAGTGGTTCGACAGCAATATCCAGACACAAGGACGCACCAACAAGCTCAACATGGCCTTCACCTCCATAGAGCCCTTCTTTGCATTTTTCTCACTGTCAGTATTGGTAGATGGACCATCCGATGGCGATTTCAAGAACCACGTTCCCAACCCGAGCGCGGCGATGATTTTCGAGCTCTTCTCCAAAGGCGGCAGCGACTCGGTATACCCCCCCGATGAGGATCTCTGGGTACGGTTTCTCTACGACGACGGCAAATCCGGCTCCCTTCCACAGGAATACGCCCTCTTTGGCAACGGGAACTCGCAATCGGTCATGCCTCTCGCCGAGTTCAAGCACTCCATGGGAGAGATCGCCCTCAATTCATCCTCCAACTGGTGCGACGTATGCGACAGTCCTGCCTCTTTCTGTCTCGTAACCAAAGGCACCACCGGAGGCGACGACGACACAAGCGGCAGCCACGACCCTGGCTCACCCGTCGTCTCCGACGGTGGTAACCGTCTCAAAATGGACCCCACCATCGCCGGTGCCATCGGAGCCGCCTCAGCTATCGCCGCCATCGGGCTCGGCTTGCTCGCAGCCACCCTCTGCGCCGGTCTCCGCTTCCACCGAGCCGGCTCGGAGAAGAAACGGGAGCAGGAACGCATGTTTCGCATGCTGAATCTCGGCAGCGCTTACAACAACAAAGGTCCTGAGAACAATCGGGCGGTACCTGATGCCGACGTCACGTACGCCAGGAACGGAATCCGACACGAGCGCGTGGGAAGCTGGGAGATGCATAATGGATTTGGTACGAACCCGTACAACGGCACGGGCAGCACTCCCACGAGAGGAGGGAGCGGGCTCGATCGCGTTTATACCAATGATGCGGGGTTTTATTCGCCTAAGCCCAGCGGCAGCTCGTCGAAGCGGCCGGTGGAGGAGGATGATCGGGCGAGTTACTTTGGGGCTGCGCCGGCGAAGCCGAGGGATTTTACTAAGTGAGTTGAGTGAGTGAGCGGTATTGGGTGAGCGGTGTTGGATGCGCACCTTTTCACACATCCTTTGACCTTCCTTTTTGCATACCGTCGTCGTTCGTTCGTTCCCTTCCTTTCCGTTTAGTATCCTGTATTTCTCTACCTTACATCCGGTATTTTGCATTGGGTTTTGGACATGGTGTGAGGTTGGATTATCAGGATTCAGGAGGTGGCGTTCAAAGGAAAGTGTGTGGGAGTGGGTTTGTTTACTTTACCCCTTTTTCACTCAGTCAGTCCACATTGCAATTGGCGATCACAGATCGCCGAGTGCTATGTATGGAGCAGTAGGGCTATGGCGTTCGGGACTCGGGAGGGATCGGGAGAAGGGAAGCAACTCCATCGGGAGCCGGCGACAAAGCTTGACCGCTGGCTAGGTGAGTAAAAGAGGAATATCATCTGGCCATAGTGCGGTAGAGGGTGATACTAGTTGGAATACATTCGCTTCTTTGAGCATTGTTTAGTCGGTTCTTTTTTTTTTCTTACGGGGTGTGGATAGTTCATCACCTCATCGCCTCATTACCTCATATGTCTGTGTATGAAAATCTCCGTGAAGAGTGTCGCTCATTAACATTCTGATCATTGATCGTACCTTCTCCCTTCCCCTCCTCCCCCTTGATCCTCCACACAGTCATGCAAGTCTCTACCTTCCCACTCTTACACATCTATCACTCGCACCTTCCCCGAGTTCAATCAAACTTGCACACAAACACACACACACACACACACACACACACACAAAACAAAAAAGGACATACAACACCAGGTTATTCGCCGGTCGTCACCGATCCGACTACTAGTCTGGCGGTCACCGGCTTATCTAGGGGAGATCAGACGGGATCCCGAGTTTTTGGCCCTGGTGCCTATGGTCGTATGTGTTATTGTTGTTGGGATCTGTTGGTCGGATGTGGGAAGAGAGAGTTGTGTGGGTGGTTATATACCAGATTTCGAGGCAGGCTCTTACCGGATGGATTACTGTGTAGATGGTTGTGGTTTGACTCAACTGGATAGGTCTCTCGTCTTCCACTCCCTCATTAATAGACGTACTTTCAGCCCCCGACATCGCAGCACATCATATCACCAAAGCGAAGTGTTTCAGTTCTCCAGCAGAGAGCACGACCCCGCGACTCCCGTCTCCGCGAAGTGCGGTCAAGGGCGACAGACGAAAAGCCGAGGCTCGGTCACTAGATCATCAAACAAGACTGGACATAAAACGTAAGGTATTGATGTAGGGCTTCGGCTTTCCTTCCTTCCTCCTCAATCCTTACATACGAACTCTTACGAACGAACGAACGAACGAATCCTTCCCCGTGGATCGGATAGGCTCGTGGATGGATCTCGTGGATGGATGTTCGGTTAACTTGAGGGTTGGAAACTTGCGTCAAAAAGTTAGTATTGGCATTGCTGCAGCGCCTCGCGTCAACGGCACATATCATGAGCCTCAAATCGCTACACTCAAGCCGAGGTAAATTTGGGGTTTCAGCACTCATTGCTGCAGCGAGGTGAGCACAGTCCAACAACTTCCAACTTGGCACCCGTTCGGTCCATAAGGACGCAAGCTCTGGCATAGATCGATTGATATTCTTTTTGATGACCCATTGCTGGGAACCCACGTTGAGAGATGGTTCGTTCCGATCTCAAAGATAGCTGTGGGAATCAGTGGAGGAGGCTACATTTCTTTCTTTGGCAATGCCGCTTTTGTTGGCGTCAAGTTTCACGGCCTCCGTCGAAAGTCCTGTCCTGTCCTCGGCAGACGTCGTCTACCGAGACTCTATTCTACTGGGGTCCCGTCCCTCGCTCGCTGCTCCCCGGCTCCGCACTCGCAGCAGTCCGCGCCGCCGTCCGCCGTTCTTATCTGTGCTGCGTAGCGGTCGGAATGGTGAGTGGAGATAGGTAGTAGCTCCTAGGGCAAGCCAGGGCAATGGTATGTAGTGATCTCGTAGAATCGTTCGCCATGTCGGTGTTTATTGTTGCGTCTTGCTAGGAGTGACGACGGGAGGGTATTTTGGAAACGAATATTAGGGCTATACGAAAGATACGTACCTTTTCCGCCTACATCTTGCAAGCCAAACCAAACCCAAGTACCTGCGATTTTCTTCACAACCGCTACATCAATCTCAGCACAACCCGGTATATAGCTAACCCGTATAAAAAGGCCCCTTTTGGGCGCGCTAAATTTATTGGTGAAGTCCGTTTTTTAATACAGTAATTTTTCGTAAAATTGTAGTAAAAGTCTTAAAGAGGAGAGACTTGGAGTTGGACCGGCGACTTGGCGCCAAGAGACACTGCTTGGCCACAGAAAAGGGCGAAGTGGAGAAGGTACGTATCTTGCGTATAGCCCTAATAATCGATACTGGTATCTTCGCGTCAGCCAAGAAAAGACGAAGATGAAGCGGAGCCGTATGTACTGTACGTAACGTGAATGGAGTCCGTCTTTGGTTTGGTTTGTTGCTGTAATGTAACGGATTTCATTCTCCAGTTTCTCCAGTTCTCTACTATTAGTTCTCCAGTTCTCCAGTCTCCACGCCGCCGGGCCCGCGCGATCTCGGGATCTTATAGAGACTTGTCAGTTTGGAGGGTTAAATCCAGCCAGTAAGAAGGGGGCTCTGAATGAGGACTAGCCTCCCAGCCACCCAGAATCTGGCTACAGACCTCCCTAATACTCTAGGAGCCCCCAATTCTGGTTCTATAGCACTCTTTTACACACATACATCAATATAGAGATTTACCCACTTTTGACTCAACCGTGCATTCTAACAATTAATAATCTAATTTACAATATTTGCATTTTACGCCAATATCTACAGAAATACGAGTATTTATATACTAGTACCTCTCGAATCACCCTAATAACGACTAAATTAATAAAGTAATTATATCCTTATCAAAGGAATCTTCCCCCAAAATTAATCGTCCTTACTTCGATAGGCCTTCGAAATTCTATAACTGGAGTAATAAGTTACTTAACTACATTAAAAGTTTCGACTTTATTAATTTCGTACTAGGGCTAGAGCTTGCCATTTAGAAACTTCTATTTATTTATATTAATAATTACATTATTAAGATTACGGCCCTCTACTATATTAAAAGAATTCGGGAGGTCTTTAATAAGTTTAGAATTAGTACTATTATTTATATACCTCTGGCTTCGGCCCTAACCCCGGTAATTATAAACGTAAACGAGGAAATTGAAGCCCCGGAGGCGCCCTAAATCTCCGAAGGCGTAGAGACTACCAACCGAATTTTAGATTAATAGACCGACGACGCTACAATTAAATTAATAAATTTTACCGCCTTTAGTTTATAGGAGTACGAATACGATTATATTAACCAATCCTATAATACAAAAGTTTACGAGTCCTTTAAAACTAATAATATTAATATTCGAAAGTAGATATAAGAATCCGTATCCCCCTTTTATAAAATTAATATTTTTTTATCCCTCCTATCTATAATTGAATAGTACGTTAATATTAAGGACGGTTATAATTACCGAAAAGAAAATACCTAGACCGAAGTTCGCTAGAAGTATTACGATTATTTTAAACTATTATTAAGCGAACCTAATAAGAAGAATAAAGGGATAAATAAATAGATAAATAGTTAGGACGCTATAATAATTAACGCAATCCGCTATAAGGTTCTAAAAATTATTATAGCTAACGTCTAATTTAAAGACCTTTTAAATTATTTACGGCCAATTAAACCTATTTAGGTATTTAATATTTCTAAATATTTTAATAAGAAGGTTATAATTAATACCCTTAATTTTCGTTTACTATCTAGGGACTTCCGCCGTAAAGGATTGAACGGGCAACTTCCTACTAATATTAATAAAGTTAAAGGCTATAGGAAAACGTTCAATATAGGTTTAATTTTTAATGGTCTATAGGATAGTAGTATTAAGAACGAAGACGTTTAATTTAGTAGGACTTAGAATTATTATAAGAGGAAGTATAAAGTTACGATTATAAATACTTTATTATTATCTCTAAATACTCGTTATAAAGCGTATTAATAAAGTCTCTACCTAATTAAGTACTATTAGTATTTATTCCTTATTAAAGTAATTAACCCTAAATAGAAACTAATTAAAAAAATTTAAAATAGGGTTAAACAGAACCTCCGCGATAACTTAAAATTGAAGAGAAAAATCGACCGCCTCGGGTAGGAAATAAAATAGAATAATAATAATAATAAAAATACTTAATTTTCTAACGAAAGTACTTAGAAAGTAGGAATTAATTATAAAATAGTTATTTACTAAGCAACTCTTTAAATAGGAAAAGGAGATTTAGAATTATACCCTCTTAAAAATAGCACCCTTTTTAATTTTAGTAACTCCTTTTATATTTTTAATGAGATTACCTATTTTATTAATTTTCGTTATATTCCCTATAATAATAATCTTTAGGTTAAAAATTCCTATATTCTTATTAAAGGACATAATAATATAAATATTATAATTTAAGGATATAGAGGGTTTAGGAAATTCCGTTTCTATAATATAGCCTTCTACCCTAATTTTATAGTTAATTTCGTCTCCTTCTACTTCCTTTATAGAAAAAGTCTTTATTAAAACTAGCGACTATCCAATAATTACTTTCGAAGCCTAAATTACTCCTTCTTTTACCGTTTTACAATGTAATACCGTTAAACGGTATTTAAGGACGTCTTTCCTTCCTTTTCTAAAACCGCTTTCTTTATACAACGTAATTAATTTAATTCCTTCAATGGCTATAAATACTATAAGAAAAAGGCTATTATTTAGTATTACCGCTTCGGTTACTACGGTTTTTAAATATTTGATTACTTTATTAACGTTGTCAGTACCCGTTTTAAAGGTCCTTCTATTATATATTGCAATGCGTATATTTTATCAAAAATTAAACGATAAATTAGCTGTAAACTTTACAACTATAGTTATAGCCTAGGAGAGAAATTAATTATAAATTTTCTCAATTAAACAAAGAGCCGCTAAGGATATTCTAACGTTATATTTATTATTTATAAATATACTGGGTATATTTAAGACTATTATATAATTAATTATAAAACTACTACTATTACCTCCTTCTTTAATAACCTCTTCATAATATCAAATATTCGGTATAATATTTAATTAAAAGTTATCGAATATAATAATAAAATTAGTAAGTCTTATATAGTAAAAGAATTCTTCGTTCTTAGAGGTATAACTATTAAACCTTTTACTTTATATATTTAAATATAGAATAATAGCGTAGGACGTTCGGGAAGTGTAATTAAGGAAGAATTTAGAATAATAATATAAAATTCTTAT